TTCCAAAGTATTCTATCAGTGACCATTATCCAGTATGCATTTCTCACAAAAGAGGGTTAAAATCGAAAAAGAAAATTCATGAATATATTACGTTCAGATCTACTAAACAGTTTAATGAAAATGATTTTATCAATCACATATCACAGTGTTCATTTGATAGTGTATTAGAAATTGATGACCCCGAAGAAGCATTGTTGTCATTTTTAAATATTTTTACTGAAGTATTAAATCATCATGCTCCACTCATTAAAAAGAGAGAAAAACGTTTGTATCAAAATTAGTGGATGAATGATGAAATTCTAGATAGCATGAGAAAACGTGATTTTTATCATAAGAAAAAAGATATGTATAGTTATAGACTCTGGAGAAACAAAGTCAAATATCTCATCGAAAACTCTATAAACAAAATTATAATACCAATATCATAGAACACAAAAAGGGCAACAGTAGTAAATTATGGAAGCACCTACATACTGTCAGCGGAACCGACAATCATACCAGTATTAAAATCATAAGTGATTGTAACAAAAAGGAAATTTTAGAACCGAAAAGCGTTGCTGATGTATTTAATGCTTATTTCACAAATATCACAGATAATCTTAATATAAATCAAAACAGCAACAATAGTTCTTTTAACAAACTTGATGATTTCATATCGGGTCATGTACCAGATAACGTGTATTTTTCTATACCACTTATGAGTAATGATTTTGTGTGTTTACAACTAAAAGCACTAGATGAATCAAAAGCAACAGGTCTTGATAACATAGGTGCAAAGTTTTTAAAGATGTCTTCTCATGCTATTTCACTACCACTTTGTCATATTTTTAACTTAAGTATTAAAAAATGTATTTTTCCATCTTCATTTAAACTGGCAAAAGTCATACCAGTTTATAAGAACAAAGGTTCAAAACAGGATGTTTTTAATTACAGACCAATTGTAATTTTACCACTCATTTCTAAAATCCTCGAAAAACATGTGAAAACACACTTAGTAAAGTATCTTAATAAATACAACTTATTGTATAGAATGCAGTCAGGCTTTCGCGCAAACCATTCTTGTCAAACTGCGTTAACAGCTTTATTGGATAAATGGCTTAAAGCCAATGATGATGGCGATCTTGTTGGGGCAGTGTTTCTAGATCTAGCAAAAGCCTGTGATCTTCTCAATCATGAACTGCTTATTCAAAAATTAAACAAATACAAATTTGCTTATACTTCGCTACGATGGTTTACATCATATTTGGCTGACAGATATCAGATGGTATCTATTTCAAATACATTTTCAGACTTACAAAAACAAAAAACCGGTGTACCTCAAGGATCCGTTTTAGGACCTGTGTTGTTTTTAATTTTTATAAATGATCTTCCTTTGTCTAATCCTAATCATAACACCGATTTATTTGCTGATGATAGCACCATATCAGTCATTGGACAAAATAAAAGTTGTATCAGTCATAAACTTAATACGGTTTTACAAGATATTTTTCGCTGGTGTGATGACAATAAAATGGCTGTAAATGTATCTAAAACGAAGGCTATATGTATTGGCTCTAAACAGAAGCTTTCAGTTACATCAAATGAAAACATTAATATTGCTATGAATGGACAACAAATTAAAGAAAGTACATGTGAAAAGGTTCTAGGTATTTTTGTTGATGCATCTCTATCCTGGTCTTCTCATATTGATTATAGCATAAAAAGGGTTAACTCTTCTTTAGCTTTACTAAAAAGGATAAAGAAATATTTAAATCACAAAGCTAGACACATGTTCTATAACGCTTACGTTTTACCTCACTTAGATTATTGTTGTTCAATATGGGGAAACTGTAATAACTTTCTATTAGATAGTTTACTAAAACTGCAAAAGAGGGCAGCAAGAATAATTTTAGACGAACATGATTACACCAAACCTTCAAGCGAATTATTTCACGAATGTAACATTGTGCCGATTACACAAAGAATACATTATCATAAATCATTACTAATGTATAAGGCAAAACATGGCTTAGCTCCAGAATATATGTCCAGTCTTATTTTATCAGCTTCTGCAAACCAAAAATACAATACGAGATTTTCGTCCTCAGATAATTTTATAATTCCAAAACCAAATACAGAGTTGTATAAGTCTAGTTTCTCGTACAATGGACCAAAAGTATGGAATGCTCTTCCTAATTCAATTAAAAAATCAAACACAGTATTAGAATTTAAACATAACTACAAATCTATGTACTTTTAACATTACCATGATATTTGTACTGTAATGCCATATATAATAATTGTTTATTGTATTTAAATTGTATTACATCTTTATTTATCATTATTATTGAATATGTATTGTTTATTTTTAATGTAATTATTATTGTATTAAGAGAGCCTTATTGAAAATTGGTGTAATCCAAATGAGTTACTCTCTCTAAATAAAGATATTATTATTATTATTATTATTATTTGCACTGAGGAGAGTGGACACAACACCTGCATAAATATTATTACCTTTTTTACTACCAGTATATGATGTTTTGGTATCTTATAATTTTTGAATTGTGTATATATATATTTGTATTGTTTATATGCCTTCAACCCCTCGGGTATAAATGTGCATTTCATTAATAAGTAAATAGATAAATTGAAATACTGATTGATTCAGTGGCGGTTTTTGCAAGGCAATGGAGTAAACGCGAAAAAGAAGACGAAGATACTACTAGATCTCCGCGAATAGGTTAATGCAATACAAATTGGAATTTAAAAGTGAAGGGGTCTTTGAAAACACATGCTACATCAGATTGTTGCTAAGCACCTTTCCTTCCAATATGGAAAATATGTTGTTTTCCCATAACAACATCGTCTGGTCTGGCTGCTGCCAAAGATCATAAAATTTAAGTTGATTATATATTCATATCTCTCAATTATAAAATATCATTGTAATAAATTGCTTTGCTGATCATGAGCCCTTTATTGGAATGAAAATGTCTTATTCTTATCTTTATCTTTATCCCTTGTCATCTGTAATATGTGAAACGGTCAACCAACTCGTGATGGTGTCAGTAAAAACTTTCGAATGTGACATCTCAGAATTAGACATATCATTGAATTTGTTTTTATATGACCAACACAACAGGTGCCACATATGTGTGGAGCAGAATCTGCTTAACATTCCGGAGTACATGATAAACCATCCCCTGGTTTTGGTGGGTTAGTGTTGCTCAGTATTTAGTTTTCTATTTTATGTTTAGCAGACTAATGCGAATTAATGATCGGACTACTAAGGGAACTACCATTTAACTCTGAGGGGGGAGGAGGTAGGTTTAGGTTATTGTTGTTTCTAAAAAGAAATATTCTGATTCCCAATTGAAGAAAAAAATATTTTGCTCAGGGAGAAGGATAAAACATTCTAATAGAAAGTTTATTCCATCAAGTTTAATGTTAAGATTTTAAACAAATGCCATGGTGGTCGAATATAACGAAACTTTCAGGTCAGGGTACATTGAATTGCCGGACAATATGACGACTGATAAACCAGTGATGCGTAGTCTTGTTAAATGAGAATATACGAGTAAATCGACTAATCTATTGTTAATTATAATTCCAATCTAGACGAATATTTACGTAATATACAGTTTACAATTCAAATCACATATAAAATTAATTGTTGGAGAAACCATATAGGCGATTGGCACATAACTTCCAAAAGTGAGATCGTACTTAACACAACACAATACGACGGATTTCATTACATTCCGTAATATGACAAATTCATGCAACAGTCTCCAATACTGTGCAAACAAATACCACGAAACCGTACCCAATACTGTGCAGACAAAAACCACGCAACAGTGTCCAATACTGTGCGGACAAAAACCACGCAACAGTGTCCAATACTGTGCGGACAAAAACCACGCAACAGTGTCCAATACTGTGCGAACAAAAATATTAAAAAAAACAATAGTAATATAACACAACTTTCTCTGAATCTCTAAAGGTTCTGCCAAGATCTGCCTAGAATAACAAAAACCTTTTAACGTTTCATATTGTATCGTTCCTTTCTCGTCTTCAATTCTTTGTTTACAAAAACAAAACATAAAGTATTTACTACATGACCTAGAGAACATGCTATGCTAATCTCTTATTACAGGATAGCCATTTGACTTAATGACTTTAACAGACGATAACCAAAACTTAAATATGACAAAATGAATTACAGTGGAAGATAAAATAACACTTTAACGCAAAATTTCGTGCTACGTGCGACAAAAAAATAAATAATTTGATGCTTACGTGCTACGAAAAAAAACCAACCATACCCCCTTCTATGTTTGATGATCGTTCCCTAAAACACCCTTATGTGTTTATTTTTAGCTACACAGTGTTGAAGGCCGTTCTTTGACCTATAATGGTTTACTTTTACAAATTGTGACTTGGATGGAGAGTTGTCTCATTGGCACTCATACCACATCTTCTTATATCTATACACAGTAAAAGCATTGTGTGTTATGATATCTTGAGTCTGTTTGGATATGTGTACTTTTAAGAATACAAAACGAAAACATGTTTATATCACTTAATTTTATCAAATGTAATTTGTTTCAATCTCTAATAAATGATGGAATAAATGCACAGGCGCTGGTGGACACTTTTTTAAATATTTTTTCGTGTTTAATATTTATTTAATAAATATTCTGTAATATTTTCACTTATTTAGTGTGTTCTAGCTCTTTTCCATACGATATTACAATTAATTTAAAGTAGTGGGTACAATTTTACTTTTTCACTGATTCACCAAGTACCTCAGAATTGCAGATATTCTATAATTAGTACGAGCAATCTTTGTAAACGATATCGTTTCATCTTTAAATCCATTCGATAGATTAAAACTGATACCTGGGCATATAAGGATTTCTGACGTGTATTTGCCAATCAACCAACAATCGGAAAATCTCGGCAGATTACCATATCTAAAAGAAATCAGCCGAGATGTGCTGAATGGTATCTGTATTTAACGCGTAGTCGAACCCCTAGGCTAATACGGTTTAAAACTTTAGGCTTAAAGTAATCAAAGTGTATACTATGGAGTGATTTCCGTACTATGCGTAGGATAACTTATAAGAAAAAGATACATCATAGTTTGATCTGCCGAGTATAAACTCAAAGAATATGTTTAGTAAGTACTTTATATTGTTTTTATTCTTTCTCTATAAAAAAAATCAGCATTGATTTAAAAAAAAACTTGTTAATGTATCATGCGTATGTTGGTAAAAAAAAATATATAAAAACTCTATTTTATGATTTTGCATGGATCAGTATTGCCTATTGGATTTAAAAATGTTTCCAATGATATATATATATGCGCTGTACATAAACTCGGTTGATCCCAAGATCTGATGATGACTGATCGCATATCGAGAAGGGGGCGGACAGGGGGTGCCTTTCTCCTTTCTCGCGCCCCTCTCTCCCTTTACCATGTCCGCCCCTCATCAAGAGCATTACATTTAATAGCAGGAGCAAACAATAACGTATCATTCTGTTTTCGAGGCAGTATAAAAGTTTATTTTCGAGGGGTTACTGGATCCAGGATGGCCAAGGAAACGACCCTTTCTGGCCGAAAATTTTGGTTTTTGATTCTCCTGCAATGAATTTCCCAGAGTACGAGACATATGGATGTTAATCCGTTTATAGGCGGTAACGGAGATAGCGTTAACTATATTTATGTGAAGCTTTATATTTCAGAAGTTAGACAATCTAAGTTCTTGGGGCTTTAAATCTTGTATGTATCAGATGCCTTATATTCTGAAGTTTCATCTGGCATATTATATCCGTTGTCTTGGTTCTCATTAAGATTTCAAAACTATAGCTTTGTTTTAAAGCCTGTTTTTTGTCTCGCTTGCGACAAAAGTCGCAGTATGAGAGACATAAGGATTACAATCCGGCGTCGGCGGCAAATGCGTAAACTATTTGTATAAAGCTTTATATTTCAGAAGCTAGAAGACCTGGATGCTTCATACATTGAATAACATATGCTTTATGTTACGAAGTTTCCGTCTGTCATATGTCCATTGTCCTTGATCTCATTTTCATGGTTCAGTGTCTGCTTGAAAAAAAATACCGTTTTTTTTAGAGTGAAATACTCGAGCTCTCTTATTATGAATAATAGGACAACTCTGCTCTCTGGTCGGGTTGGGGTCTCTTTGACGCATTCACCGTTTTCATTCTCAATTTTATCTATTTGGTATATGGGTTCCTTGCAAGGTCTACATGCCTTTCAAGTAGGGTTCACCTGACCTCGACCTCATTTCATGGATCAGTGACCAAGGTTAAAGTTATATGGCCAAGTCCGCATCTCAGATATAAGCAGTAGGTAAACTTTATTTGGTGTCCGGAATGTTTGTAAGGTATACATGTTAGACTGGCAGGTTTCATATGACATTGACCCCAATTTCATGATTCATTGAACAATTTTTAGTTTTTGTAGTTTGGTCTATTTCTAATATACTACAAGCAATAGGGCAACTGCATTTGGTGTATTGAATTATTGTTAAGTGTACATGTCCGACTGGCAGGTTTCATCTGACCTTAACCTCATTTTCATGGTTCATTAAACAATTTTTAGTTTTTGTGGTTTGGTCTATTTCTCATATACTATAAATGTATAAGCAATAGGTCACGTATATTTGGCGTATGGAATAATTGTCCGGCAGACGTGCATGTCCGACTGGCAGGTTTTGTATGTCCTTGACCTCAATTTCATGATTCATTGAACAATTTTTAGTTTTTGTGGTTTAGTCTATTTCTCAGAAACTATAAGCAAAAGGTCACGTATATTTGGTGTATGGAATGATTGTAAGGTGTACATGTCTGTCTAGCAGGTTTCATCTGACCTTGACCTCATTTTCATGGTTTATTGGTCAATGATAGGTGTACATGACCTTCTGGCAGAGTTTTCGGAAAAGTACTTATTAAAAATAAACGGAGAATGTGTCTATGGCATTGGGACACAGATAGATGATGCCCCCGCTTGCGTATAACATTATAAAGAGGCATAACTCAAGACTGTGACGGTAAAAGTAACGCCACCCAAATTCGAACTTGATCTGTAATTTGTGGTAAGAAGCATTGTGTATAAGTTTCAAAACATTTGGTTGATGCAAACTAAAGTTAGAGAAGGGAAAAAATTTTGAGACGTATGGACGGACAATGGTAACACTAAATGCCCGCTCCGGTGACGGCGGGCGCATAAAAAGAGGATCTCTCGTTCACAATTTTGTCTAACTAGTAACCAGTGATTAAATTCGGGCCTTACAGACCAAATTGACAAGTTCACTCATTAACAAACAAATATTTTATTGTCACATAAACATAAGATGGAAGCTGGATGCGGCCAATTTCACGTTTTCAAGTTGTCGCCATTATATTTCCAAAGTGCTGCCCGTTGTCATTATGAATTAGTTTACATACGCAAGTACTCGCTGTAACAATAAAAAGTACCTGAAAATAATATTATCCAGTCAGTTTTTCTTCAAATCGTTAATCATTATCCAATCAGATTGAAGATAGACAGTCACAGGCAGTGATTGACAAATGCGAAATGGATAAATTGGGAAAACGCAAAAACGAAAGCGTAAACACAAAATCGAGAAATTTGAATTCGTCACGTGTTTTTACGCTTTCGCATTTCGTGTTTTCTCTTTCGCAGTTTCTTGATTTGAAAACACTAAAACTCAAAAACACGAAATTTGCAGCATTCAGCTTCCATACATAAAATGAGCAGAACAAAAATATTTATGTACAGTATAAATAGTCATTGTCCTTATTTCTAATTTATGTTCAGTAAAGGGTCCTGTCGTCTTCTTCTTTTGTGGATAATATAGGTTTAATATTTTTTGACAATATAAAATAAATAATAAATTGTGATCGCTTATTCTCATTGATATTCTCCCAAAAAAAATATTAGAGAGCACATAGTATATATATATAATCACTTTGTCCGTCCTTCCCTCTGTCCATTCGTCTGTCCGAAACAATTGATGACTAGAGTATCCTTCGCTTGATTGACATGAATCTTATATATATACAGATGGGAGGTATAGGAAAGGGGGTCATTAGGGCATAGGTCAATGTAACTGTTACTAAAAATTGAAAAAAGACCGATAAACTGGTTTAAGAATGGTAACGTGAGTTTCTATTGCTGGATTGACATATAACTTACACAAATGGAAGACAAAGGAAAGGAGAAGAAACCTAGTGCTTTTGAAAATGATGTCAAGGACAAGGGGCAAATGACAGACGGAAACTTCGTAACATAACGCATCTGTATACAAGGTATGAAGCGTCCTGATATTCCCCCTGAAACATACTACCACTATGTGGGTGTTTTACGACCTCAGTTGACTACCCATAAGGGAAAGAGTTCCATATGGCACCCCCACGGAATAAACTGTAATACATTATTGTGTTCTTTTAGTATGGTGGGAGTGCCATATGGAACAACTCTTACCGCAAAATCATTACCACTGTGGCTAAAAAAAAATAAAATGCTTTGCTGAGCGCAGCTGGATACGACTGCAGAGGTCCAACCCTGAACAATTGGGGCGAAAATGGACACACTATTCGCGCTTGATACAGGTCTGAATTTGGATTGTAATTAAATATTTAACACATAATAGGTTTCTGACACCGAATAACTGTAGTCAAAGAACTGAGAATTGGTTATATGATTGGAATATATTTATATTCATTTTTTTGCTTTTTGTGAAATACACTATGCTGTTGCGTATTGACCCCCCCCCCCAAAAAAAAAAAAATTAATGTTTTTACCCCCCCCCCCCCCCTCTTTTTTTTGCCAAAAATATTTGAAAAAATTTTCTTTTTAATTTCTGAAATCTGAAATGAAAAAAAAAAAATTGCCAACCACAATTTTTTTTTACCCCCCCTCCCCCCCCCCCCCCCCCCCCTCCTTTTCCAAAAAAAATTCTTTCCCTCAAGATATGGTCATAATCTCAATTCAAATTTCCAATGGAGTTTGCAACCATAATTACCAATTTAAATACATCATAAAAGTCTTAAATAGATAATTTAAAAGCAGTGTAAGGGAGGTAATCCAACATTGTACAACATTGTACAATTTTGTTTTTGGATTACCTCCCTTACACTGCTTTTAAATTGTCCATTAACCAGGAAACCCTTGTTTTTTTCCCCTAATTCCTTAACTGTTGGTACCATAACCCCCTAAATCAATCCCAACCTTCCTTTTGTGGTATTGAACCTTATGGTAAATTTTCATAGAGATCCATTCACTAAAACTAAAGTTATTGTGCGAAAACCAATGTGTCTTCGGACGACGACGACGCCAACGTCATACCAATATACGACCGCAAAAAAATTTTGCGGTCGTATGAAAACAAAACGATCAGCAAGTCATGATATAATTATTTCCATTGGTCCTAAATCGTCAATCAACTGGTTGTAGGAATAATTGTCCTTACACGACTATGTTAACCTTGCTGTTCTTGTGTTTTTGACTAAGATCTACAAATAAGTCGCCGTGACCGAAAGTGAATATTTAAACAGCAAAAATCATCAGCAAGAAAATAAATACAAAAAGTTCAACAATAAAGCTGTCCCAGGGCATTTTATGAACAAAAATTATTTTTGAGTTTATTTGACAGACAATCGTGTGCAGCTGGTGACAAAAACAGTCTTCTCGGGTATAGATTATGTTTCCTATTCTATTGCAGTTACAATTTGGGGTATATACTACAGTTACATTGCCATAAAAAAAATTGTGATTGACCACTGGGGATGTAGGAACGTAAAATTTTATTCTTGTTGTGGAAGAATGCCTGATACACGACAATTTGTGACAAGATAACCGCCTTACAGTAAAGACAAACTTGGTGTAGCAACAGTGACTGAAGACCATTTGACGGTTTCCATGGGTAAATAAAATTTACTGACAATGGCAAATCAAATGCAACCAATTATCAAACAAGTTTCTGTTAATAGTGCTTGGTACATTTACCCTACAAACACTACAGTCGTCAAGCTTTCACCGATAATGTATAAATTATGTCTCTGCTATTACAATGCCTTCCCAGAAAAAAAAGGTAATTCAATTATAGGTCGTTGGAAACCGGTAATTATTAAAGGATTCAGATTTTTTGTTAGAATATAAGTGTAATTCAACATAAATATTAGCTGTCCTTATAATGTACACCAGACACGAGTTTCGTCTACACAAAGATCATCAGTAGCGCTCGAATCAAAGCAGGTTGAAGGCCATACAAATAACGTTGACGGGCACTGAAAATCAAACATTTCAAATAGTTTTGATTATCGAAACATTTTAAGAATAGTAAATTTACAGAACATGATTGTAAATTTGTAAATTTTTTGGGTGTTTCTGGTAAATAAGTTTGTCATGTATACTTTGGGCTCTTTATCAGTGATTGTGTACACAAATGGTAGGTTAAGCAATCCTTTTCTTTTCTTTTTTGTTTATCCTCATTTTAAGTTTTCATATTTTATATGAAGAGTTCAATTTAAATCTTATTTCCAGGATATAATTATATGAACCATTGACAAAATGATGGAGGACCTTTGTGATGCTATGAGACACCATACAAATCTAACAGTTATCTTTTAGTGTTTAAATGATGATTCAACACAAAGGGAAATAATCCTGAAAGCCTGTCACACACCAACTGGTACAGCAGGATTAAAAAAAATGATTATCATATTGTATTTACTTTTTTGAATCTTTTTTGTATGAACTTTGGTATACATGTATAGATGATTATGTTGTCATTTTTGTCCATCTGTAACATTTTGATTTGAGTACAATAGCTTTTGTTCATACTAATACCAAATCCTAGAATTCCATACAGTGCAGTAAGGTGAACTCTGTTCCATATTTTAATAAAAAAAAATATTTGATTTTGATCCTATAATTTATTCTTTTTCCAATGAACTTTTATTTAAAAGTTTAAATTGTTGTTTACTTTTTCTACTGAATGCCCAAATGGAAATCAATACCTATTTTCTCAATTCACATTTGATATACTGACTCCAATGAAATTACTTTTATGGATCAAGGAATTCAAATTAGAAATTTCAAATTTTAAAAATAAAATATCAATTTTATTTGTACACACTTTTACATCTAGAATATAGCTGATGTAGATATTGGTTTAGCGCATCTTACCCTTGATGGCCATGTGAGTATATGCCACCATTTGGTGTCCATCCTCTAAAATCTGTAATAAACTTTAAAAAAAAAAATGCTTACCATCTAATTTTAATGAAATGTATTTATTATTTACTATTAATTTAAACAGCTTAAACTCTAACATCTTAAGTCAAGTAAATATTTGCTTTTAAATCGTCATATATGCTGGCACACATTCCTTTTTATTTTAAAATTTTGCGGTCGTATATTGGTATCGCGTCGTCGTCGGAAGACACATTGGTTTCCGGACAATTACATTTGTTTAAGTGTATGGATTTCTATGAAATTTTACCATAAGGTTTATGACCGCAAAAGGAAGGTTGGGATTGATTTTGGGGGTTATGGTTCTAACAGTTCAGGAATTAAGGGCCAACATGGGGCCCAAATAAGCATTTTTCTAGTTTCCAGACAATAACTTGTGAAATGGTGTATGGATCTCTCTGAAATTATACCACAAGTTACCATATCACAAAGGGATGGTAATAATTTGCTTTGGGAAGGGGGGGGGGGGGGGGGGGGGTTATGGCTCAAACTATTTAGGAATTAGGGGCAAAAAAGGGGGAGAAACGGAAAAACAAGGGTTTCCAGGTTAATGGACAATTACCAACCATAACCATACAAAACATAATTTTAAAGCAGGTAAGGGAGGTAATTCAAACACATATTGTCAAATTACCTCCCTTACACTGCTTGTAAATTATTTATAAAGAAATGTATTGTCTTTAGGTGATTAGCTGTCAATTTATTTTTAGAAGTTACTATTTTAAAAATGTTTAATAAAGGTATTTTAATTATAGCCATGATATGTATGTGAAGGAATTTTATTTTTAGATAAATTTTACTATTTAATGTTGCTGATGAAAGTGTTTTAATTTTAGGCATGATTATGATGTCAATTATTATAATATTTTAATACTTTTATGATGTTTTTAAATGGGTTTTTATGGTTGCAAAGTCCTAGCTGTCAATTTATTTTTAGAAGTTACTTTTAAATGCTGATGAAGGAATTTTATTTTTAGATATTACTATTAAAAGTTGTTGATGAAGGTTTTTTAATTTTAGCCATGACTATGATGTCATTTTCTATTTTAATACTTTTATGATGTATCTAAATGGGCTTTTATGGTTAAAAAAAAAGCATTTTTCTAGTTTCCAGACAGTAACTTGTGATTAAGTGTATGGATCTCTCTTAAATTGTACTACAAGGTTCCATACTGCAAAGGAAAGACTTGCAATTGAGTTTGATGGTTAATGCTAAAAGGGGGATTCAGAAAGTTTGGGGGGAAGGGGGGTTTCCCTTTTTTTTTTTTAAAGGGTTCATATTTTTTTTTCAAAATTTTCAAAATTTCAAATTTTTGAAAAGTTTCAAGAAGAAATCTTCACTTGCACAGTATTGCGCATTAGATTTGTAAGATCTTTGACTACATTTATTTTGTGTCAGAAACCTATCTTATGTCAAAAATTTGATCACAATCCAAATTCAGATACTATCAAGCTTGAATATTGTGTCCAAATTTGCCCCAACTGTTCAGGGTTTGACCACTGCGGTCCTATCAGGCTGCGCTCAGCGAAGCATTTTATTTTATTTTAGTTTTATCAAATAAAAACTTGCATTTGTTTTTGTTCTAATGAATATTGTAAAGTCTGTTCATTAGTTAATGCTGCTAAATGAAAGCTGGTTTACATTTTGTATGAATAGAAAACTTTATAATACATATAATAGAAAAGTTTCATAACATGAGTGCAGAAATGCAGTCACGGATGCAATTAAAGGAATAATCAAAATTATGCATGTTATTTGCCATTCACATTGTTACAGAAGTGTTATTATATCAATAAAAAAAACATGTTAATTATTGAATAAATTCAATTCATTTTTAATTTGAGTATGTTTCTTATGCCTCCACAAAAAAATGTTGTATGCATATTGTATTACAACTGTGCTTCGGACTGTCCCAAATTGGGTACATGGTTGGTCTGGTTAACTCCTTCTTGTTTTCAAAAATAGAACTTTAATATTAAGTAGAATAAAAGTACATTTACTAAAGGTGTGCATGTTGTTTTGGTTTTGATTTTCTTTCAATTTTCCCAAAATGACAGGTCATTGAACTTAATCATTTTTTTGGTAATATCATAGTGAAACATGGAGCTAACTTCTAGAGTTCTCGAGCAAGAAATTTTAAATCATGTACAGTGTTAGAACTTAGTATTAGTGCATATTATAAGGATTATGACTTTAATTTTTCCATGCAACATTGAACAGAATGTTGAACATTGTCATTTTCGTTGGAGAAATTGAGTATGTGGAATACATGATTTGTCTGGCTAACTCCTTTAACAGTTCTCAAACTAGAACCTTTAAAATACCGGTAGTTTGCCAATGATTTATTTTACTAACGTCCTTTTTTTGCTGAGTGTTTGTACATATATATAAAAGGTGTGCATATACATAGGATTTTCGTTTTCTTGTTTTTGGGATGTTGAACATTGTCATATTAAAGACAGATGGCAAATTGTTGAATTTTTTTTGGTGAAATTATACATGCAGGGTACATAGTTTTTCCAGCTTACACCTCATACAGTTTACGAGCTAGACCTTTTAAATTATGCATACATTAAGAGTGTACAAATTATCAGGACTTTGATTTTCTTTAAGTTTCCAGCAAATGGCAGAATTAACTATTTTTGGCAGAGACGTCAAATATGTCTTTCAGACATAAATGTTTCAAATGTACCAACATCATTGTTTACTTAATCCATTATAAGCGGTACTATATTCCTGCATACAACGGGCAAACATTTTTGTATTTTTCTTTCTTTTTTTTTTAATCCAAAAGACCATACTGATGTTTAAATAATGAAATAAACACCTAAGTACAAACAAATATCTATAACTAAACACAGGTAGAAATAGAGCTGTCCACATAGCAAGACACTAATACCCTTGTACATGCATGCATTTAGGTTGTTGCTGTGAAATTCAGCATTGAGACTGACATTTTGAGATATTTGGCTTTAAGTATAATGGTTCAAGGGTCTAAGTCAGAGTCATCTGATTTTGGTATTTAACACATCTCAATCCCATGATGCCTTTGCATACAAAGTTTTGTCAGTCTAAGTGCTACAGAATAAAAGTTCTGCACTGAACACAAATCAGAAAAGGTTTTAGTATCAAAGGGGTCAAAGGTAGAAGTCAGAGTGACCTGGCTTTGGTGTATGACACACCTCCATCCCATGATGCATCAGCATATCAACTTTCATCAACCTAAGTACTACGGAACTAAAATTATGCGCAGGACACAAATCAGACAAGGTTTTACTATCATAGGGGTCAAAGGTCAAATTTTATTGTAAGAGTGACCAGAGTTTGGTATAGAAACCCCAGCCCAAGATGCATCTGCATACCAAGATTGTTAACCTAAGTTAAATGGTACAAAAGTTATGAACCTAAAATGAATTTGGGCAAGAATTTACTTTAAGAGGGTCAAAGTCAAGGTCAGAGTTACTTAACTTTGGTATATGACTTACTCCCAGCCAATGATGCATCTGCATACCAAGTTTGATCAACCTAGGTTCAATGGTTCAAAAGTAGTGCGCCAGACCTGAAGCGGGATAAACAGACAGACAGACGGACATGGTGATTCCTACAGTTTGTATGCAGGGGGTTTAATAAGCAAGTATTAATTGTCAGTTGAATGCTTAGTGAATGACAATGATAAAGTAGGTTTGTACACACTTACTTAAGCACATAAAATTTCTAACATCAAAGAAAAAATCAATGATTGATTGTTGTTTGATCAACCTGCAGTCACATATTTTTCTTCAACTGATTCGATACCAAGAGAATTCTGGAAAATCAGAACCAACACCTGCTGGAAAATGGTAATTTCTGGTCTATTCTTAGATTCTAATTCGACCTTGAGAGGTGGAAATTAACAAAACTGTGTTTTTTTTGTCATTCAATTATTATCTTTCAGTTACAGCAACCCATTCATGTTGACTGGAATCAAATATGACTTCATTGAATTGTCTTGCTCTGGATACATAAATGGCAAGCCAGGTCTGCCAAAATGTATGCTTTTACAGACCAGAATTTATCTGATCATATTACATTTAGAACAATAGTAAATACCTAGGGCCTATACCATTAATCTAGTGTCCACCAAATAACTCCTTCCCCCCACCGGATTTTGGCTACTTTTCAGTTTTCTGATTTTTATCTCCAAGAAGGGCATTAAGGTTCCTCATATTTTTATAACAACACATCTGGAAAAGATTACATCCCAACTTCAGACAGGATTTTAGGTGAATGGGTTAAAAAAGACACAAACAATTGCAAGCTGTTGCTTCCAATCTAAATATCTTTTCTTTTGTAAATATATAAATGCAAAGCAATGGCATGCAATCCAAAGCTTCACACAATCACCAAAAGGCATAACTTGTTGCCATTTTATTGATCTCTTTCAAAACACAAACTTGCTTTCAGTATTAAACTATAATCTAAGAAAACAACTATATGAAGAGTTGTTCTTTTGATTTATTAATACCTGTATATCCACTCCATGCTCTCTCTTTTCCATCAGTTTAAGCTTTCTGATAAAAGGACCTTGGCAGATTACTTCCAAAATGGACCTAAAGACATTTAAAATAAACAGGGAGTCGTATACATGGGCAAAGATAAATCTCTAGGAATGTGGCATCAATAAAAATAAAATTGGCTTAATGTTTTTTGTTTTCAGTATTTAAAACATAAGGATAAGTAAATGACTATCCTAATCAAATCAATAATCTAATACAAATACCCTTCAGAAATTTCAACAATGCTATTGATGGTGAAATGATTTCAATTATCAGTCCTCCCTACACCTGTATTCCCCTGCTCATTTCTTTACAAAGTTTTTTGCAACAGCAATTTTGGAACAAAACGTCTTATTCTTAGTTATTTTGTTCGAAATTTTGGTGGATTTTTTAAACACATTACATTCATCAATTATTTTGACGTAAAAACTTGTTTGTAATTGTGATACTTTAACATTTTGTTTTTATATGAATAATAAAGACAACATCACATCGAATCCATTGTGAATATATTAATGATAAATCTACATTAAAAAACACTATTGCAGAACACTCATTTGAATTTGAACATACATTTTGACTGAAAGGTTGTTGTTTGTGAAATGTCCAGTGGCAAATATATCATGCCTCGCAACAATCCATCTCAGGAGTACTCTGATTAGTTGTTTACAGCACACTATAATGTGCTGAACAAACAGCACTATTCTTAAATGGGACAACAGAATTAACATCCCAGTCACCACTGGATGTCTTCCTATTGAAAATGAACAATTGTTTTCTATGCAGCAAATTAAGTATGTGCAATGTGTATTGGCTTTGAAGTTAGAACATGACAAGTACAGTAGAATTTTAATGTGCTTAACACATTGAAAATTTACGAGATTTGTACAAATTACAAATTCGTCCTGGACTATACAACATAGAGCTTGAGACAGAAAATTGTACATCTATCACAGTGTATAATCATTCATACTTCTATGAATTATAATATTAATATACTTAATGAGATCTATATAACTAAGACACAAAAAATATTTAAGAGGTTCTCCATACAAAGGTGTAAACTATCCAGATATCCTTGATAGCCTACTGTTATTTTTATAAAACGATTGAGTAATATTAAAATATATAATAGAAAAGACAAATCTACTTATGGGAAGTCAAAGGTTTAACCAATCCCTTTGGATATAAAAATAATAACCCCCCCCCCCCCCCCCCCCCCCTTTTAACTTATATTTTATCAAAAGAAGTTGATTATCCAGATTGTTAAAACTGTGCTTTTACAGCCTTCCTTTGTAAATATTAAACAGTTAAACATATATGTCCAGGGTCAGCAGATTGAACTTAGGACATATGTGTAGATTGTAAGATAACAGCAAGCAAATCTGTAAAAAGATTTTTTAGAAACTTGTAATATCTGAATATTATCTGATATTATGATATTTTAGGACCCTTTAAAATAAATAATGATACAACAATTAACAGATCTGATGGCACGAAAATATAAAAATATTATGGACGGTTTGTCAATTTTCAGGAATTCCTTTCACAACCAATTATAAAAACAGCACTGTTCTAAACATAATGGTCAAAGTAACAATTGACACTCAATATCTATGTTTTCTGGACTGCTGTTGTACATATGCAGCAATGAGACTGATAGCTGTAATACACTATTCAGGTTGTTAAAGATGCCATAATTCATAATTGAAAAATCCTGAACAGCCATCAAGATATCTTTCATGTTGTTGTTGATGGAGGTGGTACAACTAAACTATCCAGTTCTCGTTTGTAGTTTGTCTCTGCTAACCATACCTACAAACATATATAATTTATCCTGCAATCAGACATATTAATATTTAAATACAGGTGTACAAAAAACTTACTGGATATTTATATACAACTAACTAGTATATCAACATCTTCTCATGGTAGTTTTCTTTTTTGGATTGTTTTACATTTGTCATTTCGGGGCCTTTTATAGCTGACTATGCGGTATGGGTTTTACTCATTGTTGAAGGCTGTACGGTGACGTATAGTTGTTAATTTCTGTGTCATTTGGTCTCTTGTGGAGAGTTGTCTCATTGGCAATCATACCACATCTTCTTATTTTTATAACCTGCTTTTATAAGCAAAATGTTATACTAAAATTACACGGTTCATTTTACACATCCTTTTGCAGTCTGTTTGTTAGCACTGTCAATTTCTTAATATATTGATAAATATCAATTATAAAGTATTTTTTAATGACTTTTTTTTTAAATTTCCTTATGCCTGAAATAAACAAAGACATGATTTCTCTTCTAGAGTTGAACTTTATTTCTTTACTTGTGATTTCAGATAACTTTAATTCACTAAAACAGGTGTTAATAAATGTGACAAAACTAGCTAATAAAATGCTCCGCTGGGCGCAGCTTAATATGACCGCAGAAATCGAACCCTGAACAGTTGGGGCAAGTATGGACACAACATTCAAGCTTGATACAGCACTGAATTTGGATTGTAATTAAATATTTGACACAGCATAGGTTTCTGACACAGAATGAAAGTGGTCTAAGAACTTAAAATTTTTTAATTTACCTATTCAAACCATATCATTATTATTTGCTTTTATATATAAATCAGAAATAACCAATTTAAAATGGAAAATTTTAAAGAAAAAAAAGGAAAAAAAAATCCCCCCCCCCAATTTTTTTGAACCCCCTTATGACTCATCACCCCCAAACTCAATCCGAGCCTTCCCTTTGTGGTATGGTACCTTGCAGTACAATTTCAGAGAGACCCATACACTTGAACACAAGTTATTGTCTGGAGACTAGAAAAATGCTTGTTTTTTGGCCCCTTTTTGGCCCCAAATTCCTAAACGTTTCGGGCAATTACCCCCAAACTCAAACCCAGCTTTCCTTTTGTGATATGGAACCTTGCAGTACAATTTCATAAAGATCCATACACTTACACACAAGTTATTGTCCTGAAACTAGAAAAATGCTTGTTTTTTTGTCCTTTTAATGGCCCCTAATTACTAAAATTTTGAGGGAATTACCCCCAAAATCAATCCCAGCCTTCCCTTTGTGGTATGGTACCTTGCAGTACAATTTCAGAGAGATCCATACACTTGAACACAAGTTATTGTCTGGAAACTAGAAAAATGCTTGTTTTTTGCCCCTTTTTGGCCCTTAATTCCTAAAATTTGGAGGCAATTACCCCCAAAATCAATCCCAGCATTCCCTTTGTGATATGGAACCTTGTGATACAATGTCAGAGAGATCCATAGACTTGCACACAAGTTATTGTCATGAAACTAGAAAAATGCTTGTTTTTTGCCCCTTTTTGGCCCCTAATTCCTAAAATTTGGAAGCAATTACCCCCAAAATCAATCCCAGCATTCCCTTTGTGATATGGAACCTTGTGGTACAATGTCAGAGAGATCCATACACTTACACACAAGTTATGTCTGGAAGTTACAAAAATGCTTATTTTTGGCCCCTTTTTGGCCCCTAATTCCTTACCTGTTGGAACCAAAACCCCCAAAATCAATCCCCACCTTCCTTTTGTGGTATTGAACCTTATGGTAAAATTTCATTGAGATCCATTCACTTAAACTAAAGTTAGAGTTCGAAAACTAATGTGTCTTGGGACGACGACGACGACGACGCCAACGTCATACCAATATACGACCACAAAAATTTTTTTGCAGTCGTATAAAAAATAGTTTGAAATTGCATTTCTTATAAATGGCATGACTATTATAATTCTTTAGATTGTTTATCCCATAATTTTTAGGAAGTCAAAAGAAACCAAAAAATTACATACATGAAACCTAGATTCTACTAATTCCTGGAACTCTTTCCTCTGCTGTTTATTAAGTCCAGCATCTTTGACAGTTTTCTGCCAGCTGTCAATTTGTTTCTGTCTCTGAGTTACAGCTTTTTGATATTTATTTGGTAGTCCTCCTGGAATGCTCTAGAGAAGAAATAAACATAATGAACTGTTATCACAGAGATATGTCTCACTTTTTTGTAATTTTGATTATGCAAATGTTGAATTAAAATGGCAATACTTAACAAGTTAGGCTAATATTCAAAGTCAATGAACCATGACTGAGGTACATGGCTAAATCATCTCCATGTAAATGAGATGGGCCAATGCTAATACAACTGCATACCAAATATCATTGACTTATTATAAGTTGTTCCCTTTAAACAAACCTAAACACAAACATTAACTTGCAAACTATGTAAAAGTTTCAAAGTCAATGAACCATGAAGAGGGAGTGGAGCTATCTAATCTCCATGGAAACGATACTTACAAATGCCAATAAATTTGCATACCAAATATCATTGACTTAACATTAGCAGTTCATCTTAAGGGGACGACCATTTGATATTCTGGGGGGGGGGGGCAGGAGGATTTGTTTTGGATCGGTTATTTATTTTTGTAAACTAAGAGGACAGATTATTTATTTTCTGCACTGTTGAAGCAAGATTTTTCATTTTCATTAAAACAAGGGACTGATTATTTATTTTCATAACTATATTAATAATATTTGAAAACATACAATTTTTAAATTATTTTTTTATTATAAATAATACATGTACAGTCAAGTCATTAATGTACCATTTAATCAGAATTAATCATCATCCTCTGCGGAAATGAATCTTCTGAATTCCAAACTGCATATACATGTATTGCATACATACACGGTATTAGACTTGGGCTGTGACTAGCCTCTTTTAAAAGTATTGCCAAATGTATTTGAAAAAAAAAAATTGAAGGGATTTGAAGCCGCTGAAGGCCCAAAGAAACTATAGAAGAAATGATGCAAAATCGTGCTTTCTGGGCGTTCCCAGACCCTTTCTTATTCTGAAAACTCAAGTTCTGTTTTAATAATTTTTTGACAATATTTTGGTCTCAAAGTAAAATGTATAGATTCAGCGTTAAGACTTAAGTTTATATGGACAACATCAAAAGACCAATATTAATGTGGCTGCTGGTTTTTTTTTTTTTTTTTTTTTTGTTGTTTCGGCATGCAGAATTTAAATCTTTTATACCTGTAAATTATATGGGGTTTTATTCAAATTAAGTTAAGAGGGGCTGATTATCAGTGATATAACTATGTCAAGTAATTTTTAATAACACATTTCAATTACAACTTGATGTAGCTCTTAACTGGGATACAATTTAAAGTAGTTAAGTTGTAAAATTAGCTAAAAAGTACTAAATAAAATAAAACTCATGATCAAGTTGAAAACAAAATTACTAAATCATTAAAGGAATGCAATACTAAGAGAATACAGAAGGGCAATCAATGAACAAAAGACAAATTTAAAGAAACATTGATCCCGAAAAAACAGGTGCTACGTCCAATGGAGAACAGAATTTGCTTCTTGCAAACACTCGCTGTGAAAACAATTTGATATGAAGATAAGCTTTTGGTTTTAAAATTTCCTACATAAAGGTATTTGCCTCAATGTAGTTACAGCCCTGTAATAAAAGTGAGGTAAGTGTTCCTGAGCCAATATACCTAAAGTTAAATGAAACCCATTTTCAGACATTTCAAGTATATTTAAATAATATTTATACCTTTGTTATTAAAGGATTTGGGAAGTGTTTCCCGAATTTTTTTATGAAAAAAAGATGAATTTTATGAAGAATCTGGTGCCACCTCATACTTTCGAATAGCATTTATAAAATGCCTTTAAATGGCTTAAAGACCTGCCGAGTTATTCATTTTCAATACATTGTAAGTCAGGTTATTTATTTTCGAACTACCACAGAACAAACTATTTATTTTTGTGATTATCAAGGCCGAGTTATTTATTTTCAAAATCCTCCTGGCCCACCCCAGAATATCAAATGGTCGTCCCCTAAACTGATCTTATCACAAACTAATACATGTAAACTAAGCAAAAGTTTCAAAGTCAATAGGCCATGACTGAGGGGATGGAGCAAAATATTCTCCATTGAAATGAGATGTGCTAATGCTTATACAACTGAATACCAATTAACATTGGCCTACCACTAATGGTTCCCCTTGAACTGACCTAATCACAAACTAATACATGTTAACTAAGCAAAATTTTCAAAGTCAATAGACCATGACTAAGGGGGCTGAGCCAAATAATCTCCATGGAAATGAGATATGCCTATGCTTATACAACTGCATACCAAATATCATTGACCTACCACTAATGGTTCCTCATAAACTGACCTAATCACAAACTAATACATGTAAAATAAGCAAAAGTTTCAAAGTCAATAGACCATGACTGAGGGGGCAGGACCAAATAATCTCCATGGAAATGAGATGTGCTAATACTAATACAACTGTATACCAAATATGATTGACCTACAACTTGTGGTTCACCACAAACTAGACCTAATCACAAACTAATACATTGTTGACGCCGCCGCCGATGCCGGAAACAGCATACCTATGTCTCACTTTTTGACTTCGTCAAGCGAGACAAAAATCTAAAATAAAGCTACCCTTTGTGGAGAAATAAAGTAAATCACTTGCTACAGAAAAAAAATAATTATGTTGTATTTTTACCAGATTGGCATTTAAATTATAAGTGGTGTTTTTCTTTTAATACAGTTCAGGTAAATTATTTTATATGTTATGTTCTCAAAACTATGCACTTAAACATTTTATATTTGTAAAACTATGTTTTATTGCAATCAAACAACAGTTTAAATCATTTTTTTTAATTATGCATAAAGGGAGATATTATTTCTGTTTTACATTAAAGTGCTTACTTTATGCATATTATTATGTATCTACAGATTCAATTGAAAAAAAGTTATGCCTCTGTTACAAAATTTCTTATGTCTTCAAATTGCGCGTCTGGCGTATTAAATTATAATCCTGGTACCTTTGATAACTTTTTTTTCTTCATATACCAGTACTTGCACAATCTATTTAAATTACAGATCCTGTGTTCAGCCTTTGCTTACAAGCTTCTGACATCACTTCATTTTATTTTCTGTTCTTGTAATTATTATAGTTTTAACTTAAATACCTCAAACTGGCAACTTGAAAGTCTAAATTCAAAAAGTACTTAGCATTTGATTAAACTGAGAGAATTTTGGATCTGAACTAATTTCAAAATAATTGAACATGAAAACATACTGTAGTTGTTCCTTCCACTTCAAATGGAATGTTAAAGGTAAAGAATTCTGACACAGGTAACAGTTCCCATACTGGTCCCTCATCTTTGTGGTCTGGTCCTGCAGAAAACATTAAGGATGATTAAACAAAAGGTAACAGTTTGTATTATGTAGTTGACAAATGGAATGAAATCTGTCATTAGTTCACTCCTGTTCAATATACACTACAAGACTGACAATAGTGAGTTTATCACTTTGTATAAACATGACAGTGTAGTCAAAACTCATTGATAATGCTGTATTCACTGGATTAAAATTTACGCAAACAAGATTTCTGAGATACAAAATGTAACATTTCTTTAAATTTAGTTGGAAAATAGTTTGATCAATATATGAACTGTGTCGGATAGAAATCGACCTTATGCAAGTTCACATATACATGTACATGTATAAGACTTTGATTGATTTTGGAATATTCAAATACGAAACAAAAGATGAATTTCAGTCTGTTTTGAAAGGTTCTTTTATCAACTGAATTTTCAAACAGTTACATACTTTGCGTAGTGATTTTTCAACCGGAAATAGGTTAACAGTTGTAATGATATTCATTTGCATAAGGTCAATTTATTTTTTTTATTTTTTTTTAAATTATTTTCAAGAATTACAACAAATACAACACATCAAACATACATACAGTAATATTAGCAATACATTTTGAATATCTATTTATCTATAACAATAAGATTGTTGAAAATTCAGTTTTATCTAATATGAAAAGAGTATATAATTACGGAAAGAAAAGATAATTTGAGTTATGTACCACATGAGTAGGGCAAAGTATTTTATGAAAAAGGAAGAGGTTGCAATATCCTGTAAGATTTCAGTACATAATAAATTGTGCTATTAGATAAACTAATATATTATGTTAGTTTTGACAATAAGTATTTGCAAAAAATAAATGACAATTTGAATTATAAGAATATATCTTTAAATGCATTCCACATGGTATCAAAGTGCCCTTTTCTTTTATTTTTGACTGCTATTATTTTTTCTAAATTTTCATATATTTTAGCTTTTCTTTAATGGCACTGAGTGAAAGATCCTTTGAAAAACATCTACTGTTGTATATATGTAGGACTCGGAGGTGCAATGGTCACGCTGTAGTGTGATGGTCTTCGCCGAAGTGCTATGGTCTATATATGTCCTTAGTTATAGTTTCATACTAAATGAGAGCTCGTTCTCTTTAAGTTTGCTGCATGAGGACATTATTCTGCGTTAACAGTCTATCTTTACTTTGTTCCCCTCATCTGAGATTACTATATGTGTTAAAGTAATCTCAGCTCTCAGCTCTCATGAGCTCTACGTTTACCGTAATATCCTAAGACATATAGTATGTCTGCGGACCTTTATGTAGTTAAAGATTTCCAAGCACCATCGTACGCAAAAAACAAAACTTCTGTAAATTTCGAAAAGGATCTGCTACAGAGAGGCTAAATTTCCCCTGTTTACTAATTATTTCACTTTACCAGTAGTATTAAGAATGTATTTACTGTATTCATGTTGGATATACAAAAACATTCCACATTTTTTCTAGTTGCAGTAAAAACCACATACGGTGATAAGTTCATTAGGCACTTATTATATTGCTTTTTAAACAGCTATCACATTTTCATTCATTGAAATAAGCACTGGTTTTAATGGAAAGAAAATATTTGCATGTAGCGGCTGGAACGATTGTATGAATGTTGACTTCTTTTTGTCCAAAGTAAACTACAACGTTACAATTATGACTGGAATAAATCTCGATGATTTACTTAATAAACAAGAAAGCTGCTTCTAGAAAACATATTTACTTCTTCATCAACATGTGAACATGAAAAACACTAAAAATATAGTTTATGTAACCCAACGCACTTCAGCGTAACCACAATCGTACTTCGGCGTAACTATCAACAAGATAGCATAACAATGCCACCATCGCACTTCAGCGTGATCAAAAACGCACTTCAGCATCTAACCATTGCACATCAGCATGACCATCGCGGTTCGGAGTGCCATCGCGGTTCAGAGTCCTACATGTATATTGTTTCATGTATAGACAAGAGTGCACACGCTGAAATGTCTTGCCTTCTTTACTAATCATTGATATTATGTTGATAGTCCTAAATATAAAGCTTTATTACAACTGTCACATAAACTTAACATTAACCAAGTAAACTAAACATTGACCAATGAACCATGAAAATGAGGTCAAGGTCAGATGAACCATGCTAGGCAGGCATGTACAGTTAACAATTCTTCCATATAACAAATATAGTTGACCTATTGCTTATAGTTTAAGAAAAACAGACCATAACACAAAAACTTAACACTGAGCAATGAACCGTGAAAATGAGGTCAAGGTCATATAAAACCTGCGCGACTGACATATAGATCATAAAATATTTCCATACACCAAATATAGTTGAACTATTGCATATAGTATTAGAAAAAAAGACCAAAACTCAAAAACTTAACTTTGACCACTGAACCATGAAAATGAGGTCAAGGTCAGATGACACCTGTCAGCTAGACATGTACACCTTACAATCATTCCATACACCAATTATAGTAGACCTATTGCATACAGTATAAGAAAAACAGACCAAAACACAAATACTTAACTATAACCACTGAACCATGAAAATGAGGTCAAGGTCAGATGACACCTGCCAGTTGGACATGTACACCTTACAGTCCTTCCATATACCGAATATACTTGACCTATTGCTTATAGTATCTGAGATATGGACTTGACCACCAAAACTTAACCTTGTTCACTGATCCATGAAATGAGGTCGAGGTCAAGTGAAAACTATCTGACGGGCATGAAGACCTTGCAAGGTACGCACATACCAAATATAGATATCCTACTACTTATAATAAGAGAGAATTTAACATTACAAAAAGTGTTAACTTTTTTTTCAAGTAGTCACTGAACCATGAAAATGAGGTCAAGGACATTGGACATGTGACTGACGGAAACTTCGTAACATGAGGCATCCATATACAAAGTATGAAGCATCCAGGTCTTCTACCTTCTAAAATATAAAGCTTTTAAGAAGTAAGCTAACGCCGCCGCCGGATCACTATCCCTATGTCGAGCTTTCTGCGACAAAAGTCGCAGGCTCGACAAAAAATCAAATTATATGGGTCACGTTTTTGAACTTTTGATAGATCACCAAAAATAAAATTTAACTTATTCAATAGCAGCCTTACCCCACCAGATAAAAACCAATAATCAATATCTTGTAAAAAATTTTGGACAATATCACAATTCCACAGAATATGTTCAACAGTTTCATCTTCTTATTTACAAAAAGTACATAAAGGGTTATCAATAAGTTTGATTTTACATAAAAATTTATTTCTGGCAAGAATTCTGTGGTTGATTCTGTACTGAAGCCTCTGTAGTTTAGTATTGATAGTGACTGTAAAGAAGACTTTTTTGTTAAATAAACTGAATGTGACTTTTTTCCTTTGTAATACTGGTTATTTCAAGCATTCCTGTCAAGTTTTGTCATAATCAGTTCAATAGTTTGAGAAAAATTTATTATAATGTTAGACGACATCTACAGCGATTCGAGCAAAATTTCTTCGAAAAATCCAAACCAAGCCGCATCATGATAGAATATAGTGTGGACCAATAAATGATCAAATATTTATCTCATCTGCCTACAAACAGTTGAATATGATACAAAAGATGACTTTAGGATGATAAATACTACTAATGGACCTCTTTGTCTTCCTTATAAGGTCTCTTTTGGTCCATTTATACCTCTCATTTCCTCAAAATTTCTACTTTTTAGGCCAATAAATAAAAATTTTGGGGTAATTTTCACTCATTTATGATAGAAATGTTATTATAAATGATTAATTGAGTATTCAAGCTGAATGAACTATCCGTATAAAAGTTTACTGTCTCCAAGGAGGTTTTAATAAGTCCTTACGTAAAACTTAAATTTACGCCGCGTTCCAGAGAGGGACATAAAAAACTTCTTTTTTGGTGAATAATTTGCTGTTACTGCTTTAAAAATAATTTCATTTACTTAAAACTATATATTTATTAAAGTATTTCTTAGGAAAAATTTTCTAGTATAGCAGAATATAAGAAATAAGGAGAAAAAGCTCCCCAAAACTCTAAGTATGGCTTGTTCTGTCAACTAATATTCATGGTAAAGTCCTATTTCAAGGAAATTTTCTCATAAAATGTATTTTGGAGACTCAATCCACTCAGAATATTTCATTATTTGTAATATTTTACTTAAATAGCAAGAAATTTTAACACATGAGAGTACTCACAAGGTCAAAGGTGCATGTACAGCTTCCCATATTAGGTATAATACCATCATTGATTTTCCCCTATTAGTCTTTGTTAAATTTGCACTTTTCAAAAAATTGTGCAGAATTTATCTTTGTTTCAAATAAAGAAATACTTGGCATGAGTAAAGATTTATCCTGTCCAGTACTATAGAAAAAATTTCACATAACATTTCATTGCATATAAGAAAATAACCATCACTGGAAGTTAACCAATCAAATTTTCCCCCTTTTTTAACCTGTGTACAAGCTTTAGTAACAATGTAACCTCAAGTTTCCAAAATATTCTATAGAAACTCCAAATAAAGAAATGATGGTGCTTTGAAATACCCAAGATATATGTTTATGACTCAGAAATGTTTTACTGCAATGAAATGTAGGATCAATTACCTACAACTGTCAAATTCAAGGGAATATTTTTTTTCGACCTATTTTCGTATGCAACCGGATGTGACGAACTATGATTTGGTGGTATAACACCTAAAGAAGACTTTTTTGTTAAATAAACTGAATGTGACTTTTTTCCTTTGTAATACTGGTTATTTCAAGCATTCCTGTCAAGTTTTGTCATAATCAGTTCAATAGTTTGAGAAAAATTTATTATAATGTTAGACGACATCTACAGCGATTCGAGCAAAATTTCTTCGAAAAATCCAAACCAAGCCGCATCATGATAGAATATAGTGTGGACCAATAAATGATCAAATATTTATCTCATCTGCCTACAAACAGTTGAATATGATACAAAAGATGACTTTAGGATGATAAATACTACTAATGGACCTCTTTGTCTTCCTTATAAGGTCTCTTTTGGTCCATTTATACCTCTCATTTCCTCAAAATTTCTACTTTTTAGGCCAATAAATAAAAATTTTGGGGTAATTTTCACTCATTTATGATAGAAATGTTATTATAAATGATTAATTGAAGTATTCAAGCTGAATGAACTATCCGTATAAAAGTTTACTGTCTCCAAGGAGGTTTTAATAAGTCCTTACGTAAAACTTAAATTTACGCCGCGTTCCAGAGAGGGACATAAAAAACTTCTTTTTTGGTGAATAATTTGCTGTTACTGCTTTAAAAATAATTTCATTTACTTAAAACTATATATTTATTAAAGTATTTCTTAGGAAAAATTTTCTAGTATAGCAGAATATAAGAAATAAGGAGAAAAAGCTCCCCAAAACTCTAAGTATGGCTTGTTCTGTCAACTAATATTCATGGTAAAGTCCTATTTCAAGGAAATTTTCTCATAAAATGTATTTTGGAGACTCAATCCACTCAGAATATTTCATTATTTGTAATATTTTACTTAAATAGCAAGAAATCTTAACACATGAGAGTACTCACAAGGTCAAAGGTGCATGTACAGCTTCCCATATTAGGTATAATACCACCATTGATTTTCCCCTATTAGTCTTTGTTAAATTTGCACTTTTCAAAAAATTGTGCAGAATTTATCTTTGTTTCAAATAAAGAAATACTTGGCATGAGTAAAGATTTATCCTGTCCAGTACTATAGAAAAAATTTCACATAACATTTCATTGCATATAAGAAAATAACCATCACTGGAAGTTAACCAATCAAATTTTCCCCCTTTTTTAACCTGTGTACAAGCTTTAGTAACAATGTAACCTCAAGTTTCCAAAATATTCTATAGAAACTCCAAATAAAGAAATGATGGTGCTTTGAAATACCCAAGATATATGTTTATGACTCAGAAATGTTTTACTGCAATGAAATGTAGGATCAATTACCTACAACTGTCAAATTCAAGGGAATATTTTTTTTCGACCTATTTTCGTATGCAACCAGATGTGACGAACTATGATTTGGTGGTATTACACCTAAAGGGTATTTTGAATATATGTTTCCAAATGAAATCTTCGCCTAATATTTCACCCCTCCTCAGTTGTCCTGTTTGAGTTACATTGTTATTAATAAGTATTTTATACATATCTTTAGAACCTTTTTTTACTTTTAAAAAAGATTTGTAAGCAAACAGGTATGAATGGACACAGGCATACGGTCGATTTCTATCCGACACAGCTCATATAATAAAGAATATTCCAATACCTACCAACACATAACGGCTGATCCCAAAGGTTTTTTGAACTCCCTATTCCAACTTTGTTCATATGATCCTCAATGCTTGGATAGAATGTGTGATATGGAGCCAGAAGTAATGTGTCATTCCCACCAAGTATTACTGGTCTGTTTGGTGTCAGTGTATATAAACTACAGAGAGTACTGCCACTGGAAAAAATAGATGAAATAATGGTATTATACAGGGGTTAATATTGATCTCAAACAGAAGAGAATCTTATTACCATATAATGTCTAGATTAAAAAAAAACGGTAGTTTATCTTTGACAAATATTTATTTTTGTTTGATAGTTTTCTTCCAAAGACTATTCTTAAATGACTAAACTGGGGGTCTGGAGTATTGTATTGTATTTTGTTTTGATTTTTAGTGCATGAGGAATCACAAGGATATATACTGTAACAAAACTTGTAAGCTTATTGATAGTCTGTAAAATGTATTTCTTACTTCCCTAGTGTATTTTCATTCATCAAATAGTCATTACCACAACTAACCATCACCACATTAAATAATTTTCCCACATTATACATTTTTTTAGTAAAAAAACAAAATTACCTAATCATAATGTTTCTACAGGGTGCTATCAGTGTAACCTTCTCACAATGACTGAGATAGACTGTGGTTTCTACAGGTCCAAGAACTATGGTTGTACTTCTGCATTTTTCAATTGTAACTGATCTGAAAACAGAATAAATTATTTAACCTCAGTATGATTTTTTTTTCTATATAAAAAGAATGAAATATTAGTGCTACTACGTTCCATAATCCTTTCACAGCATATGTATTAGTCAATAGTTACAAAGACTTAGAAAATAAGCAATATAATTCCCAAACTTTTTCATTGAACAAAAATGATGTCATTTACTATTTGTGTTGTTTAAGGTCCTCAATGCTCTTCAACTTCGTACTTTATTTGGCCTTTTTAACTTTTTTAAATGATGATGATGATGATGATGATGATGATGATGATGATGATGATGATGATGAGGAGGAGGAGGAGGAGGAGGAGGAGGAGGAGGATTGATGATGATGATGATGATGATGATGATGATGATGATGATGATGATGAGGATGATGATGACGAGGATGATGATGATGATGATGATGAGGAGGAGGAGGAGGAGGAGGAGGAGGAGGAGGAGGAGGAGGAGGAGGAGGATGATGATGATGATGATGATGATGATGATGATGATGATGATGATGATGATTGATGATGATGAGGATGATGATGATGAGGATGATGATGACGAGGATAATGATGATGATGATGATGATGATGATGATGATGATGATGATGAGGAGGAGGAGGAGGAGGAGGAGGAGGAGGAGGAGGATGATGATGATGATGATGATGATGATGATGATGATGATGATGATGATGATGATGATGAGGATGATGATGATGAGGAGGATGATGATGATGATGAGGAGGATGATGATGAGGAGGAGGAGGAGGAGGAGGAGGAGGATGATGATGAGGATGATGAGGATGAGGATGATGATGATGAGGATGATGAGGAGGAGGATGATGATGAGGATGATGATGAGGAGGAGGATGATGATGATGATGATGATGATGAGGAGGAGGAGGATGATGGTGATGATGATGATGATGATGATGATGATGATGGTGATGGTGGTGGTGGTGGTGGTGGTGGTGGTGGTGGTGGTGGTGGTGGTGGTGGTGGTGGTGGTGGTGGTGGTGGTGGTGGTGGTGGTGGTGGTGGTGGTGGTGGTGGTGGTGGTGGTGGTGGTGGTGGTGGTGGTGGTGGTGGTGGTGGTGGTGGTGGTGGTGGTGGTGGTGGTGGTGGTGGTGGTGGTGGTGGTGGTGGTGGTGGTGGTGGTGGTGGTGGTGGTGGTGGTGGTGGTGGTGGTGGTGGTGGTGGTGGTGGTGGTGGTGGTGGTGGTGGTGGTGGTGGTGGTGGTGGTGGTGGTGGTGGTGGTGGTGGTGGTGGTGGTGGTGGTGGTGGTGGTGGTGGTGGTGGTGGTGGTGGTGGTGGTGGTGGTGGTGGTGGTGGTGGTGGTGGTGGTGGTGGTGGTGGTGGTGGTGGTGGTGGTGGTGGTGGTGGTGGTGGTGGTGGTGGTGGTGGTGGTGGTGGTGGTGGTGGTGGTGGTGGTGGTGGTGGTGGTGGTGGTGGTGGTGGTGGTGGTGGTGGTGGTGGTGGTGGTGGTGGTGGTGGTGGTGGTGGTGGTGATGATGATGATGATGATGATGATGATGATGATGATGATGATGATGATGATGATGATGATGATCATCATCATCATCATCATTGTTTTACCTTACCATAAGTAATGATCATCATCATCATCATCATCATCATCATCAAAGTCTGTTTTCAAATAAATAAATTACTTACCTGGGGCATTACCTGGGGCAATGTTTCAATAAACTGTTGACACAGAGTTATGTAATGTCTGTATGTAATTTTGATAGTAAAATGCAAATGATGAAATCAAAATTGCAATACTTTTAACATGTAAACTATGTAAATATATTCAATGTCAATGAACCATGACTGAAGGTGCAGGGAAAAATAATCTCCATGGAAATGAAACATGCCAATGCTAATACAACTGCTAACAAATACCATTGACTTATTGTAATACTGTTTAGTTACCTGAGAGGGGACAGTAAATATAGGTAAGAATAATGGCATCTGTGTATCTTCACACTGCTATTCTCTAATGTATTGGAACTCTGAAATAGTGGAACAAATACATATTAGTTTCTGATATCCACTGAATTTTTACAAAAAAATTGTTTGTTTGTAAGCAATTTAGTAAAAAAGTAAAATATAAATATAAATGTAAAAAGATCATCGAACAGATGCAAATAGGAAATTTTTAAATTAATTCGATCAAGCAATAGTGTACTGCTCTGTTACTTGTGGCCTCAAAAATGATAATTGATTAGATTATAAAATCCCATAGCTGTCAATTAAAAAGGGAATATCTTATCTCTTAAAATAATGCTTAAATTTTTTAGGTTTCATTTTTCTTGTGTCAAAAAAATAAAAAGACTCTGACTAGCATTTATTTAACAAGAAATTGCACATAAAGTCATGCATGATTTACTGACTCAGTCACCATCAGTTATTGATGAAAATTCTATGCTCAGTGGGTATAATTAAATTTGCCTGGCAGATATGAAAATTATGTAAAAGTATTTAACTCAAATGAAATTAGGAGATTTTGTATGATCCCCAATAAGACAACTATCCATTAGAATCTAAATGATGTGGATTTCAGTAATCATAATTATTTGTTTTCCCAAATATCAAATCATTCCTCATAACATAAGCTGAGTATCATGTTATAAAAGGAAAAATGGACAAACAATGTAATTGCAGTATACCATCTGTGAATGGGGTATGGAAAAGGCAAATTTCAGGAACATTTTGGGTAAATTGACAGAGGGCCTGAGATTGCATAAAATAATCATTTAACATTGAGTCTCAAAGCTTGTGCTTTTAATTACCAGTATCCTTGAGTCAAAGCAGTCAACACTTTTTGCAATTCTGTCATTTTTCAAATGAACTGTCATCATACAGCTCTATAACCTATGAAAAGGAACTATTTTAAGGGAAAAATGTTTTCTTTATTGAAGAGCATATTTCTGCACATTGATAAATTTTTGATGTGCAAATGATTCATGGACAATTTGGCTCAGAAACTTCTCCTTTAATAAAAACCTATACAGTGTAATTTCATAATACAGATGTTATCTTTCAACACTTACACGTCCAATCGTCTGTTTGCTGACCTGACTCATTATTATGATCTTGTTTCTAAAAAATAAACCAAAAAATTTCTTAATAAAAGAACTTTTTATCATACAGAATTCATTTCCCTGTTTTTGATTTAATAAAAAGTTGAATTTATGAAATTATTTTTAAAAAGATACAAACCCAAACAGAAAATAAAATATATATTAATAGAAATGATTGAAAATCTATCTAGATCTAAAGAGAACATTCCAACTGATACTTTTTATGAATATTTTATCAGATAAGATGACCTTTTTCAGATTTTGATTACATAATCTGCATCAAATCGGGATATTTTTGTAAGCTGCAGTATAAAAGATTTAAATGCTTTTCCAGCAATGTGTGTATGGACAGTGAGAAGGTCCTATTAATATTTTACAAATAATTTTAAATCTACTGTAAAATGTATGTCTTAAATCTTTAATTTTTTTATGCATGGTGAAGATAAAATCCCTTCCACTTCCAAAAACAATTATTTTTGAATCTGTTATATCTTATAATAGCATTCTTACCCTTTAATGTGTTCCTTTGGCACAACATGAGCATTTGTGGCTATTTTCCCTCTTTTCTTTGTTTCTGATTTAACATCCTTTTCCTCTCCTAAAAAACCAAAATTATTTCTTATAGTATTTATGTCTTAACCGTGTGTTCTTTGTCTTTGTCTATACCTCTGTTTTTTCTGGGGATTTGGTGTTGGGTGTTGGTGTAGTCTGTTTTACTGTCCAATATTTTTGGTATTTTCTGTTGACCTTTTATGTATTAACCCCTTCCACATCTGCATAAATTATTTATTTTTATGTTCTATTGATTCACTATTATTCGTTGGAATTTTTGTGGGTTTTGTTGGTACTGGGGATTCATGAATTTAAATGTTCAAATTTCCTATTGGCCTGTATGCAGTCAAGTGCAAAACAATTAAATAAAATATTAACAATAAATGCAAGTTTTCCTCATTGCACGATAATTGGAACCCACATAAATAAATGAATCCACAGTAACTTTTATCCTTGGTGGCTATTAAAAAAGGTTCATAGACAAGGTTAATTTTTTTAATCTACATCTATAAATTAGTTTTCATTTAAGGTGTAGGCTTTATTTCTAGAAATAATCTGGGGTAGGGTCTTTAAAAAACGGTTGAATTCAAACAAAGTAATTTTAAATTTAATCTAAACTTATATCTAGAAACTAAAAATGTTATTCTAACATTTGCAAATTTTAATGTATTAAAAATTTGATCTGTTCTCTTTGTTGTAAAAAGTGTCTTATATCATGATTCTGATATGCGAGTGTCTTACATTTATATATTATGATTATGATGTTATTAGCACCATCCAGTGATGCAATATACCTTATATATAATCTATACTAAGTATCAAATTCATAATTCATTTGTAATGGATAAAACAAGATTTTAATTTGATTATCTTATCTTTACCATAAAAATGTTCCTTATATGTAAAAATGTTCATTACCCTTTAACCCAAATAATTCAGTTGTTATATTTCACTGCTCTACAATTGCTACATTAACGCCTGAATGCATTGACAATGAAAAATCATCAATCAATCAATTGGAATAAGCTCGCAATTTATCTAACTTGATAAAATAGAGCTGATTAGCCACCTTTCTATGTCCATATTCGTGAAGAATTTCTAAGTGTGTTTACACTTCATGCCCTCGCAAGCAGGAGAGATTGATTACAGGGAGGGACTGAATTATTCAAGTTAATCACCCATTACAAATAGCTTGTATTATTATTATGAATTTACGATTAATCTATTTTGAAGAGTCCTATAATAAGATTATGGTTAAAGCAGTTTGTACTTGTTTTATATTATGACTATAATCAACAAACCTGCTCCTGCCCAAGACAATCTACGACCACTTGCTATGCAGGCTGATATACCAAACATATTTTGCACCAAACAATCCTTTATCCATAGCTGTAAAGGTCTTATAGTAAAACTTTTTGTTAACTGAAATGTAAAGAAAACATTTACCTATGGTCAAACCATTTTGTAAGGCCTCTTTAATTCTAAACATGAAACTTTTTTTGATATTTAGAATATAATTTTCAAGCTTTTTTAAGAAACGATGTCAGGATTACTGTCTAAACATACTTACTTTTGTAAATAAAAGTCTTGTCTTAAAACAAAGAATTTTAAAATAAATGTTGCTTTTTCACCATGAAGAAAATGAGATGTGGGTATATGTCAATGAGTCAGCAAACTAAAATCACTAGAAAACAATCGATTTCCATTATATTTCTGTGGAAATTTATTCAGTCATTTCAGTTTCATACTTCCTAATAGAAATTCAAAATATCTCACGTTCTTAATGTATACTTTACCAGTACATAACAGTTCTAATTCAAGCAATTATCTGATTTAAGAAGGAGACAATTAGATTTGCTTTATGTATAAATTATATCCTTAGGCCTTTTCTTATGTATAGTGTATGGCTGAACGTATGATAAGTATTATGTATATTGTAATGTTGCTTGTATTTTCCTATTTCATGTAACACCTGTAACCTACATTTGAGTAACCTGTTCTATGCTGCACTGTATATTGTAATGTTGCTTGTGTTTTCCTCTCTCATGTAACACCTGTAACCTACCTTTGAGTAAACTGTTCTATGCTGCACTGTATATTGTAATGTTGCTTGTGTATTCCTCTCTCATGTAACACCTGTAACCTACCTTTGAGTCACCTGTTCTATGCTGCACTGTATATTGTAATGTTGCTGGTGTTTTTCTCTCTCATGTAACACCTGTAACCTACCTTTGAGTCACCTGCTCTATGCTGCACTGTATATTGTATTGTTGCTGGTGTTTTCCTCTCTCATGTAACACCTGTAACCTACCTTTGAGTAGCCTGTTCTATGCTGCACTATATATTGTAATGTTACTGGTGTTTTTCTCTCTCATGTAACACCTATAACCTACCTTTGAGTAGCCTGTTCTATGCTGCACTGTATATTGTAATGTTGCTTGTGTTTTCCTCTCATGTAACACATGTAACCTACATGTACCTTTGAGTAGCCTGTTCTATCCTGCACTGTATATTGTAATGTTGCTGGTGTTTTCCTCTCTCATGTAATACCTGTAACCTACCTTTGAGTGACCTGTTCTATGCTGCACTGTATATTGTAATGTTGCTGGTGTGTTTCTCTCTCATGTAACACCTGTAACCTACCTTTGAGTAGCCTGTTCTATGCTGCACTGTATATTGTAATGTTGCTGGTGTTTTTCTTTCTCATGTAACACCTGTAACCTACCTTTCAGTAGCCTGTTCTATCCTGCACTGTATATTGTAATGTTGCTGGTGTTTTCCTCTCTCATGTAACGCCTGTACCCTACCTTTGAGCAACCTTTTCTATGCTGCACTGTATATTGTAATGTTGCTTGTGTATTCCTCTCTCATGTAACACCTGTAACCTACCTTTGGGTAACCTGTTCTATGCTGCACTGCATATTGTAATGTTGCTGGTGTTTTCCTCTCTCATGTAACACCTGTAACCTACCTTTGAGTAACCTGTTCTATGCTGCACTGTCTATTGTAATGTTGCTGGTGTTTTCCTCTCTCATGTAACACCTGTAACCTACCTTTGAGTCACCTGTTCTATGCTGCAATGTATATTGTAATGTTGCTGGTGTTTTTCTCTCTCATGTAACACCTGTAACCTACCTTTGAGTCACCTTCTCTATGCTACATTGTATATTGTAATGTTGCTGGTGTTTTTTCTCTCTCATGTAACACCTGTACCTGTAACCTACCTTTGAGTCACCTGTTCTATGTTGCACTGTCTATTGTAATGTTACTGGTGTTTTTCTCTCTCATGTAACACCTGTAACCTACCTTTGAGTAGCCTGTTCTATGCTGCACTGTATATTGTAATGTTGCTTGTGTTTTCCTCTCATGTAACACATGTAACCTACATGTACCTTTGAGTAGCCTGTCCTATCCTGCACTGTATATTGTAATGTTGCTGGTGTTTTCTTCTCTCATGTAATACCTGTAACCTACCTTCGAGTGACCTGTTCTATGCTGCACTGTATATTGTAATGTTGCTGGTGTTTTTCTCTCTCATGTAATACCTGTAACCTACCTTTGAGTAGCCTGTTCTATGCTGCACTGTATATTGTAATGTTGCTGGTGTTTTTCTCTCTCATGTAACACCTGTAACCTACCTTTGAGTAGCCTGTTCTATGCTGCACTGTATATTGTAATGTTGCTGGTGTTTTTCTTTCTCATGTAACACCTGTAACCTACCTTTCAGTAGCCTGTTCTATCCTGCACTGTATATTGTAATGTTGCTGGTGTTTTCCTCTCTCATGTAACGCCTGTACCCTACCTTTGAGTAACCTTTTCTATGTTGCACTGTCTATTGTAATGTTGCTGGTGTTTTACTCTCTCATGTAACACCTGTAACCTACCTTTGAGTAGCCTGTTCTATGCTGCACTGTTTGTAATACTGCTATATCTTGAATAGGTAAAAGGGATCTACAGAAAAATAACAACATATATTATTAAACTAAACACAAAAGGCGATTTTTACTGCTATTGTATCTTACACTTCCATTCATCTTAAGCAAAATATTTGATGGGCCTTTAAAAAAGGTTATTGGAAAGTGTAAAGGGATGAGGCAATTTGCAAAATTTTGCAAAATGCCGTTTTTTTTTATTTCCTTCCTCAGGTTCTCATCCTGTTTGTAGCTACATTGTGGAGGTACTTTTATTGTGCATTTTCTTTTAACAACATATGGTATTGATAATCAAAAAGGAAGGGAGGAGGGTTTGTGCACACGTACAAATGTTTTAACCCAACTACATTTGTGTGCAAATCAGGCTATGTAGACCAAGTGTTGTTTGTTGTTGTTTCTATGGTTGTACATCTTTTTTTCTGGAGAGTCAGATGTTGGTGATTAATGTGTGGTGTTGTACAGTCCAATGTTTGGGTCATTCCTCTTTTCCTATTATTGATGGATTATTTTAAAGTCACTGTCCTATCATGTTATAAAGTATGTTGTAGTAATTTATTGGGATCAAATGAATAAAAGCTCTTTCAAGAAATTTGTCTATAATAATTACTTACTTGCATTTATCTATGGAACCAGCTATGAGAAAACTTATTGCTGACAATGCCTGTACAGAAACCAGGGACTCTGATGGATTGTTTCTGTTATAAGACTCTGAAAAATTTAATTTATACCATATCACTTTACCTTACAATGAAATCAAAATCATTAGAAATGAATAAATTTCTGCTTTTAACAATTATATATAAGCAATGATACAAGCCAATGTTCAAGTATCCTACAAATGATGCTGTGTGATTGTCTTTTTGCTTGTAGTTGTTCTGTCCATAGTCTATTGTTGTGCAATTAATGACCAGTTTATATATAATTTACTACAAGTTCCTTCAATAAAACATGTTGTAGTTATCAAAGAGTAAAGTTTGAGTCTAGGCCTTGATGTAAGGTATAAAATATCAGATGCAGATCCAGGATTTTGAAAAAGGGGGACCTGAGGCCCCCAAACTAGGCAAAGCTGGAGTGGAACATATAAAAGTCTATGCATAAACAATATATATATGTAGCTCCATAAAGGGGGCCCTGCCCACCCCCTTTTTCCCCATAGATCCACCACTGAATATCTAGTTCAAAACAAATAAATGAATTGAGAATTTTCCTCCTGGTTTATATATAATAACGACTTTTAAAACAAAAATAAATAAAATATAAAGATTGAATTTTCAGGATAAAATGCTGTTCTATGAAATTTTATAAATTGAAACAGAAATTCTCTGATAGTTATTCCAAAAAATTTGAAAGAAAAAGTTCTTGTTCATTTGATATCTCATGAGCATAATCAGAAACAACTGTGTTTAAGTGGTATGCTAAAACTTGAATAGTCATTCTTCTATAGAATGTTTTTGTATGTTTGTGAGCATTTTACAACAAATTCAATACAATCATATGATATTACAGCAAAACCCAACCTATATCATAGTGATGATAGTTTGAAGTGTAAGGTCGATGTTGACACAATTAATTTAGACCTATCACACATCACAGCTCCTCTATAAATTGGTGTTTAACAGAAAACATTATTACGTAAAACTAACCTGGATCTACGAGAAGTTCAAGTATTTCGTGCATATTACTCTGTATATATACCAAATGACTGTGGTCATCTAAAGTCTGAAAAATAGAAAAAATACTTTAAAAAATTAACAGATACAGTTGTATTCATTAAATAAACCATGTGGTAATTAAAAATTCAATTTACATGCGTTCACTGTCAATCAGATGGTAAAACAGTTTAAATTCTATCAAGGCTGCACTATATCTAATCCTTTAAGTAAGTTACCTACTGTTATTTGTTTATTGATATTTTTTATTTTCTCTTTTTCCTTGCATTTGTTGATTGTCACATTTTCTCAAACATATTAAAAAAAAAATAATTATACCATTATCAATACAGTCCTTGCTCTATTTCATCCTTTTTCTTTTATATTCATTATTTGTTGAATAACAAGATACATCTTCCTCATTATGATGTATTACAAAATATATTTATTAATGTATTCAGATGCAGATCCAGGATGTTGGAAAAGGAGGGGAATGCCCTTACTACGCGATGTTTGGAGTGGGACATGTAAAAAGGCTATGCATTAACAATACATAAAGCTCCATAAGGTAGGGCCTGGGTAAGGTACCCTGCCACCCGCCCACCTAAATCCTCCTCTGGTATTAAAATAAAATTGTTTGTTCAAAAACTTTTCTCTACAGGATATATCAATAAACACCCATAAATCAAAGGTCATTATTACAGAAATATAAAAATGTGAATACAGAAAAAGATGCTTTATTTCCATCCAATGGGCTCACAAGGAGCATAATATAATATCGTTATAATATTATTTTTACAAATATAATAAACAATACAGTATACATAGTTACAAACACAAATAAGAAACAACAGTTTTCACATATTTGTATACATATAGGAGTATATATAAAACCTTCGTCTCAGGCACACCTCTACAAAGTTACTTAGTAGTATTAGTTTGACTTCACAATGTGTGTTGCTCTCGATAAGAGAAATAATGAAAAGTGAAAGTAGAGAGTTATAAATAGATCAAATAAAGAAAAATCAAGTTTGTTTAAAAGTCAACTTGAGTTTGTTTTCTTTTATCCACCGCCAGATAGTGTCTTGCATCCTGCGACTCATGGCCAGACAAAAACATACAAAGACTCACTTTATTTCCTCTTGGTGTAGATCTCCCTGTACCATCCAGATCTGGGGAACTACTTCTTGTTGTGGGCCATCTATTGTTGTGTTAAGGTTGAAAAGAGATCTGCTGCAATTTCATATTATATAGATAAAACAATTATTCATAGATGTATTTTTGTGTATTGTTAAGTTGCAGCTCATTTATGTTTACCCCACACTTCCTTTCATTCATATTTAAAATCAAAACTAACATGAGTTGCCAGGAAACTCCTCATTGTGGTTACAGGAAATATGGGAATCAAAAGGTCCATATCTGGTCTTAAAATATGACAGTTTTGTAAAGAAAAAAATGTATAAGATAAAATAATATTTTAACATGATTTATTTTCAAATAACTTTGTTAACTTTCTATGTATAAACATGAAGATGTGAAATGATTGCCAATGAGACAACTATCCATCAGAGACTTAATGGCATAGATTTTAGCAACTTTTCCTAGAGTCTTGTAATTTTAAAATTATGTTTTACTTTTAAAACTTTTTTTACATTATATTTATAACTAATTGCACCTAATTTTGACCAAAATTACTGTTGAAAATATATATTTTCATTTATTGTATTTCATGATATGGCTTATCAACAAATCACTGCAATTAGGTGAAAGAGACATAATTCTAAACAAGTTAGATTTAGATGAAACATTTTTCCATGTTAGGAATATAAATTTTCAAGCACATATCAGAATTGACTTCATCAAAACGATTTCTAATAGTATCATAACAAAAAAAATGAAAACAAAAGAAATCTCTGTAAACAGGACGTAAATTTGATAAATAATGAAGAAAAATACAGAATAATTTAATGCGATCTAACTTCTGTCACCACTATTAGAATTCCTACATATGTAGTTGTCATCTTGATAAGTGTATAAAAAATTTACTCCATTTCAAATTGGATTGTTTTTGGCCTAATTGTGTTGTTTGGTCTCAGCCTCATTGATATATTTATTGTTTATGCCACATCTACATTTTATTCTTATTCAAAATGATATAAATGATCCACAGGGAATACTAGTTTACCATTTTGCCATTTCAAATATACACCAAACACACCATACAAAACTGACATGAAATTGTTAATCAAAGGATACTCATCACCAGCTACAAGTGAAGCTTTCAAAGAAACTTTATGAATCTGTTGTACATATAAATACAAAACAAATTTCAAAGTGTTTACTTTTACTCTGGATTTCAGCTGATCTGAAATAAACATAAAAGTACATCTAAATGTAAGACAAAATTCATAACTTATCAAACAACTTTCAAAATTTGCATTTTAAGCAGAGATCTCAAAATTTTGCAATATAAGTAGAGATCTCAACATTTTGCATTTTAAGTAGAGATCTCAAAATTTTGCAATATAAGTAGATATCTAAAAATTTTGTATTTTAAGTAGAGATCTCAAAATTTGCATTTATTAAAGTACAGATTTCAATTTTAGCCATTATTACGTTCTTTACTTATTGCAAAGTTTACCTTTGATCTGTAAATGCATCTAAATTAAATGAAAATTGCAAAGAGAATGCATATTTGCAAACTTTTCTTACTCTGAAACATTATACAGGTATATGTTTGGCTTTCCAATACTTTTGCCTTGAGTGTACCTTATTAAGGTTATTCCAGAAACATATGTCATGCTTTTCGGCACAGAAAAATCGATTTTTTTCTATCCATACAAACTATACGAAAATACCTGCTAACACTGAAAATAATTCTTAATAGATTTGACTACGCCACATACCTCTTTCTTGTTTTGTTGAACAATTTGACATTTCTTGATCCCATTCCATTCTCTCAATAGGGGATATGTCTTCACTAAACAAATGGCAAGTGTGGAAATACCTTAAAATAAACAGCATTCATGCATATACTTTGTTATTTATCAAAAGACTTATTTTTCATTAAAAGAGATTATTGGAATTTTTATCAGATAAGATACAAATTTTAAGATCATTGAAAACTCATTCATTTTGTGATTTGCACAAATATATGTAAAATAAACTCCAAACTACACAAAAATTCACTTCATATAATTTATTATCATCATTTACAGGATGTGAGTATACTCAAACACATATATTTTATACAGATGATTAAAAAAAAAATGTCATTCAATTAACATTTCTGCCTATAGAGCATGTTCTCATAAAGTCATCATAGAATCAAATCTGTTTTCTACTAATCCCATTTAAAGCAACAAGAGTTCTCTGTCCAGCTTGAAAAGGAAATCAAAATGTACACATTGGAATATTTTTGAACTGTACTGCATTTAAATAAAATTACTTTCGTTTTTTTCCCAATGTCTTTATGAATATAATTTGTAGTTTTAAAATTATCATTCCCATGACATAAATTTAAAGTTCAACTTTGAAAAATCCTAACTTCATTTTGCTCTTTATTGAGCCCTAACATTTTAGTTCCTTTGAGGGAACAGCTGCAATTCCTGAAATTGCAATTGCCATATTTAAACTCAGTCTTCAGTTTTCATTAGGCTAGAAGTCTCTAATTAAATCTTGAAAATGATGGTCAGTTGTTAAGTATATTTCTTTTTTTGCACTTAACCTCTTCTTTCATAATGCTACTACTTACATCCATGCTAAATCTTCTGTCAACAGAAGCTTGTTACAAGCTATGTGTCTCCATACAGAATAACTGTAGTAAAGAATAAAAAAAATTGCTAAAAAACAATTTCAATGTATTATAATATCCAAACAACAATCAATTATAAACAGTATAATCATATTACATCAATAATATATCAGAATTTACTATTTATAAAAAGAATAAGCAAGTTTATCGGTCCATAAAGTTTCATTCACATCATGTCTAGATTCTTAACTAAATAATGATATCTATTTGGTGTAGATGCTTGTCTGTTGTCTATGCATAAATAATGAGAACATGCACAGGAGAAAACATTTAACAAACACAGAAAATACATCTTATTACATAAATGTATCCAGGTAACAAGGCTTTTGTTGACGTTTTTTCATCTATGCAGTTTCATTAATGAGCTTGATATACATAGAGCTTTTCAAGTACCATCATAAATCCACAGCTTTCAAATTTTTGGTTATAAAGTTTTTTGATTAATGTAAATTGAGAAAAATACACCACTCTTAGCAATCATGGTGACCAGGTTTTATTTGTGGAGCAAAGCAAAATTCTAAAAGGGATTCAGCATCAGAAAAACTGGCAAACTTAGAAAGGAAGTAAACAGAACTCTTCTGGTAGATGCCTATGCTTTTTGTCTCCATCACCATGATCCTTGTTTTTAAGTGTATACATGAAAGTATGAGACACTAAAATACACGAGTCTATGTTTTCCTTCCTTATGTGGATCTTTTCCCAATATAAGTTAAAATACATGTATCAAAAATTAATAAAGAGCTGCTGAACCAACGCCTCCTATGTTTTGTGCTGGTAAGAGTTCCCTTAAGTGGATACCAGATGGTATGCAGGGTTGTCAGATAAAAAATCGGTATGTATCAAAAATGTATACAAATAAAAATTCATACCTTATTTTGGGGAAACAAGACTCTCCTTTATTTTTAGCATATATGACAATTTTCTTTATATTCTACAAAGATAGATAGAAATTTATGATTAGAAGCAGTTAACAAAATCATTGGAACAGTAAAGAGAAAACTATTCTTGAAATATAATGTATAAAAAAAGTATAAAATTGAAAAAGGTCAATTATAACAAATAAATGAAAATGAATTGAAATATACATTTTAAAATAATATCTTGCAAATATCTACCTGTAAATTATTTTTTTTCCTAATGTCATACTTTCAATTTTGTTTTATTAAAAAATAAAATCATACAAGAATAAAATGCTCCGCTGGGGCACAGCTTGATACGACCGCAAAAGGTCGAACCCTGAACAGCTGGGGCAAGTATGGACACAACATTAAGCTTGATACAGCACTGAATTTGGATTGTAATTAAATATTTGACACAGCATAGGTTTCTGACACAGAATGAATGTGGTCTAAGAACTTAAAATTTTTTAATTTATCTATTCAAACCATATCATTATTATTTGCTTTTATATATAAATCAGAAATAACCAATTAAAAATGGAAAATTAAAAAAAAAAAAAGGAAAAAAAAATCCCCCCCCCAAATTTTTTGAACCCCCTTATGATTCATCACCCCCAAACTCAATCCCAGCCTTCCCTTTGTGGTATGGTACCTTGCAGTACAATTTCAGAGAGATCCACACACTTGAACACAAGTTATTGTCTGGAAACTAGAAAAATGCTTGTTTTTTTGCCCCTTTTTCATGTTTTTGGCCCCAAATTTCTTAACGTTTAGGGCAATTACCCCCAAACTCAAACCCAGCTTTCCCTTTGTGATATGGAACCTTGTAGTACAATTTCATAAAGATCCATTCACTTACACACAAGTTATTGTCCTGAAACTAGAAAAATGCTTGTTTTTTTGCCCCTTTATGGCCCCTTTTCCTAAAATTTTGAGGCAATTACCCCCAAAATCAATCCCAGCCTTCCCTTTGTGGTATGGTACCTTGCAGTACAATTTCAGGGAGATCCATACACTTGAACACAAGTTATTGTCTGGAAACTAGAAAAATGCTTGTTTTTGGCCCCTTTTTGGCCCCTCATTCTTAACGTTTTGGGCAATTACCCCCAAAATCTATTCCAGCTTTCCCTTTGTGATATGGAACCTTGTAGTACAATTTCATAGATTCATACACTTACACACAAGTTATTGTCATGAAACTAGAAAACTGCTTGTTTTTTGCCCCTTTTTGGCCGCTAATTCCTAAAATTTTGAGGCAATTACCCCCAAAATCAATCCCAGCATTTCCTTTGTGATATGGAACCTTGTGGTACTATGTCAGAGAGATCCATACACTTACACACAAGTTATTGTCATGAAACTAGAAAAATGCTTGTTTTTTGCCCCTTTTTGGCCCCTAATTCCTAAAATTTGGAGGCAATTACCCCCAAAATCAATCCCAGCATTCCCTTTGTGATATGGAACCTTGTGGTACAATGTCAGAGAGATTCATAAACTAACACACAAGTTATGTCTGGAAGTTACAAAAATGCTTATTTTTGGCCCCTTTTTGGCCCCTAATTCCTTAACTGTTGGTACCATAACCCCCAAATTCAATCCCACCTTCCTTTTGTGGTATTGAACCTTATGGTAAAATTTCATAGAGATCCATTCACTTAAACTAAAGTTAGAGTGTGAAAACCAATGTGTCTTCGGACAACAACGACGACGACGCCAACGTCATACCAATATACGACCGCAAAATTTTTTTGCAGTCGTATAAAAATTCTTTTATTACCAAATTTACCCGGATAAAACAGTTGTGTTTCTTCGTCTTTTGACAAATATCTTTTTTTTTAAGTAAGAAATTGAGAAAAAGCATAGTTATCTCCAATGTAAATAAGCAATCTCATTTTGTGCTGGTGTTGTACTGTGGATAAATTTATTACTTTTCATTTGAAACAAATTTTCATTCATTTTATGACAAGGACCAAATGACACACTATAACATGAAACAGTTTTAAATCTCTGTCAACAGAAAACCTGACATTTTGCCTGAGGTACTGTAATTATTTTAAGGTAATCAGTTAAATTACTTCCCTTTCAAGATGTCCAACAGAAATTTTTCACTTCATGCAAATATGAATGTACTTCATTTGTTCGAAGTTTCATTGAAATTATTTGACATTCATTTACTAAGAGGAATTGCACATTTAAGAACCATGGAGAACAAGTGAAACTGCAAGCTACTCCACACTGATGATACCCCTGCCGCAACTGTATAATTTTAATAGTGTAAAAATATGTAAGTGTTCGGTAAACAGAAAGTTGCTGAGTGATGAATCATCACACTGTATAGCTGACTTATATAAACCCTGAAACCAAATTTCAGAAATCCTTATGATGTAGTTCCTGAGAAAGATGCGATGAAAAATATTCATGGGACAGATGGACGGACGGACGGATGGACAGACAGAGGTAAAACAGTATACCCCCACTTTTTTTAAAGCGGTACGTAAAAAAGAAAAGCTCAAAATTTTGTTTGCACAGGCTAAGCTACCTGTAAACTTAAAACAAATCAACAGAATATAAGAGTCAACACTTTTTTGGTTGTTGATTCTAAGGCTTTCTCTGGCTAAAATATTTTGGCATTTCATGGTGTATAAATGAATGATTAACAAAGTTTTATTTAACAATCAAGACAGTAAGCTTTAGTCTGTCCTATTAATTGCAAACAATTGAATTTTAAATGGTGATAATTTGGATAAGTTACATTTTGTACATGTTTACATGTACATAGTAAATGCTGTTATTGCAAAAATTTTATCCATTGACATGATTGATGTAAAGACCTTTTCAAAGGGATCTTGCTGTGAAGTCAGTATGTTTTTAAACCAAAACAGCTGGTGTATTACAAGGTGTTTATATTTTAAACATGATAATCCTTACATTAAATGTGAGTCTAGGATGAGGAGCTATTGGTAGAGCCCCATAACTAAATAACTCTGATTTAACCCACAGGGTGACATTAGAATCACTCCCAGTCGACATCATGTTGGCATTAGCTGTTCATCTGAAAGATAAAAAACATGTTTCTAAATTTGAATATATAAAGCAGCCTGAAACATTTTAATCATAATTATCATCACTATAACTCATTCATTCAATTGATTTTTGCAATATGAAGTGATAACATTCCTCATTAATGGCATAGTTTTATTCATGATATTCCCATGCTTGTCATGTTAAAAAGAAAAAGAATGTGTCTGAGGACATGAATGTCCCCGCTCAAGCTTCAAACAAACAAAAATGGGACAGATGGACAGAAAGACAGAAGGATGGAAGGACTAAAAGACAGATGGATGGAAAGACGGAAGGTCAAGGGTAACACTTAATGCCCCTGTCGACTACGGCAGGGGTATAAAAATAAAATAATATAGAAATTGATGATTAAAACGTAAAAATAAGAAAAAGAAAAATACTAGGCTGATCATTGATGTACAAAAAACATCTAGAAAACTCTTATCAAAATTCATAAATTTAATGATAAAATGTCAAATTTATAAAACCATAGTACACTCTAGCTGTTTAAACAAAATCAAGACAGTTATAACCTTCAACAATATTTACTTACCTAAAACTTTGTACGACAGTGAATTTGGAAATTTTGAATTAGCGATCACTGTTTAGCAAAAGAAACTGGTAATGGTATGAAAATTCTCTTAGACTTTAGACTATGTACAAATTCATGTTGACATTGTAATGTTCTAGAAGATGTACATTGTACAAGTATTATCAACAAACAATTATGTAAAGATTGTTGTTGATTATCTAATTTAATGAGCTGCCTTAGTGTATGAATAGCACAGAAAAAATTCAAGCTTTATTTTAATTTGTATATATGCATGCTGAAAGTTAAATTATTAAAAGCAATGAACCTTTGGTGTTTTTCTGACAACACAGAAAGAAAAGAAAAAAGAAATCTTTTAATTAAGCCTCTTTCACATGTGAAAATTTACATGCATGTGCAAATAAACATATTAGTAAATTTGCCAGGGCCTGTTAATAACAATCTAGAATGAAGACAAGGCAATATAAAAATAGCACAAAATGTCAAAAGCAGGTCAAAATGTGCTAAGGTAAATGCTGTTGGTAATTGATACTGCTGCTCAAGGAAACAAAAAACTCAGAAACAATGTACAACATTCCCAACAAAAAATTAAATTGAAATCTCCAGTATTTGTTAGAAGCAGCTCAGGCCAATAAGTATTTAAAACTGTCAGATCAAAATAGAATTGACACCTGTGAATTTTATATAGACCTTATTGCCCATATTGAATAAGATTTTTAATGGTAGTAATTGCACTATTCAAAAAGACAAATAATCTAGTAGTCAGTAAGTAGTACTTCAGCTAAAACCTAATATAAAGTGTTATCTAGTAGTCAGTTAGTAGTACCTCAGCTAAAACCTAATATAAAGTGTTAAGTGTTTATTATGTAAGCAGTATGTATGTATGTATGTATGTATGTATGTATGTATGTATGTTTGTAGATCCTTTAGTTAATTGAAGCACCCCTAGAGAGCTGCGAGGGTACAGCATGTACAGTGGAATCTGTGTATATTCCCTATTAGGATTAATGGAGATGCGTCACTAACTTATATACATAAGCTTATTTTTATCAGAGACAATTGTTGACCCAACACAAAGGGAGTGTTAGGACACCGGGAAGTCCGTTTTTTATGGTTGATGAAGCTGAAGTGATCAGAGAACCACTGAGCTCCTCAGCATGAATAGACAAACCAAATAGGTATCAGCAGATTGATCTCCAGGTCAAAGTTAGGGGCCACTTTAACCAACCAAGGCCCAAAATGGTATCAGGTCCATTTGCTCCCAGAACACATTCAAACCCAACACGTTCCCACCTAACATGTTCCACCCCCCCCCCCCCCCCCCCCCCCCCATGTGATTAGGTGATTAATTCTTCAATGTTAATTACATGTACCAGTATTACCAATTATAGTTAATTGGTACTTACAAAGATAATTTAGTATTATTGTTGTTTGATATCTTCCGTCTTTATTTTACAAATCTTAAATGAGTGAACTTGGCCTTTGATCATCATGACAATATCTATTCTTCATTTCATCAAAATAATTCACAAAACCTGTTGACGATTTTAGAATGTCACTTTATTTTAAAACGATAAAAAAAAAATATTGTTTTTATTTTATAGCAATATCTGGAACTCATTTCAAAATCTTACGAGAAAAAATTTCGTAAGTCATGACCAGTTCTGTATAACTTACGATCAATTTCAGTCATTAGATTTTTGTGTGAAAAGAGCCCCTGAGCCATTTTTGTTTTTGGGGGATATACAATTCATTTGAAATTTGATGTAGAAAAGACCTTTGAACTCCTCTTTTGGTTGTAGTCTCAGAGACGAAAACCCCATTTCGCATTAATACCCGTTTCATATCTTTTGATTGGTCTCTCTTTCTCTGTTTTGTGCATCATATTTACATTAGTCATTCTCCTTTTTATTATAGCATATATATGTTAGATTTTAAAAAGGGTGCGAACATGTGGGGTGCGACCATGAATGGGAGCAAACATAATTTTGGGCGAACAGACCGGGGTTCTCCCCAAACTACCCATTTTAGTTTAAACTTCTGGCTGGGTACCAGAGATGTGTGTGGAAGGGTGAAAATCACTCTACTTATGTACTTAAATTTCCAGCTAGCCAAGTCAGGATCGAACCCGGGACTTTCTGCACTGCAGCCTTCGGTCTTAACCACAAGGACAAGAACCAGAACATTTGTATAGTCGGAACGCTGATTTTGATTTTGACTTATCATACTACTACTAGACTCTTTTTGTGTATAATTTTAAAAGTTTCTATAGCTGACCCCCATAGCTATTGAGATATATCGTAGGATTTTTTTCGTGGATTTTTTTCTTTTATTCTATATTTTTAAATTTTAACTTAACAACTATTAGGAAGTGCTACACAAATATTCTTCATTACATTATTCTTCGTAATTTTGTTGTTGTTGCTAAACTCATAAACTGACATGCCGAAACAGAACATTGTTTACAAATTTCAATGGAAAAATCCACAGATTTCCGAAAAACAATCGTCCTTAAGATGACTCTAGAGAAGTCAGAAAAATAGAACCAATCAAAACAAGTTTTGTGGCAAACGATTCATTATAAAGCGACCGTTCTCATTGGCCCACATCATCTTTTTGCAAGCATGGAACTAAAAGCAGAAGTCTATCTTGGTTTTTTGCTGTTATTTGCTTTAAATGCAATTGGCAACACCGAAACAGTAAAAGGATCGATCCAGCTTAACTCTGGTGTGTTTGAAAAGGTAAAATTAATTAGTAATATTTATATATAAATCATTATTCAGCATTTTCCCCAACACCGGCTTCTGGTCACAGATCATCAGATCATACGACAGATGACTGTTTCATTTAACAAAAACTCGTCAGTTTGTATTGATATGCAAGTTTTATGTAAGCCTACTTTTTTATACAGATATTTATCTTATAGATAAATTTTCTGTATGTTGTGTCTCTGTGACATTGTGATTGATTGATTGTTGGTTGTTTAATGACAATGTCCAGTGGCAAATATTTCATGCATGTTCAGCATATGAAAACAAATTAACAATGAATACAATAGGTAGTTCCTTTAATAGAGGCCATCTGGGATGAAAGACAGGGAAATTTGACATGCCATTGGAAAATGAGGGTATATTGCCTATTGGATAGGGACAGAGATTATACCTTGCAACATGCTGTCTACAGACCTCTCAAAGAGTTGCTGCAAGGGTTCATAACGAACATAGAGTGTTTACAGGAGGCATCTCTCACTTTGTGACGACCAAGGCAGTGTTGTTGCGAAATGAAAATTCATTGATTTAGCAAGTTTAGTATTGAACACACATGTTTGAAGTAAAATTCCAATTTTCACAATAATTTTATTCCTAAGAATATGCTTGAATATTTATATAACTATAGGTTGGCAGATTCCTTACTTGATCTGTATTCTCAGACTTAGTTTATAAAAATAGGATCATAGTGTGTGATTTTTTTTCTGTTTATGATGATTTCAGGGTTATACTCTATAAATGTTATAATGAATTTAACATGGGAACCAACTGTGCTCCTCTTCCAGCAGACTTATTCCTTTATTCTTATGAGGCTGACTTCATACAGGAGTTTCTTAGGAAGAATGAAAAGAAGCTACAATTATCCTTTAACTTCACTTTCCGCTAAACATGCTAAATAGATTATGTCCTCTCACTAAACATGCTAAATAATTCAAATGTTGGTGACTATCAGACCCACCAACTATCCTGATTTATAGGGGATTTCCCCCATGAGAGGTGCTGACCTGAATTTTGAAATTCTTTATTATATAAACTGAACACCTCAAAACAGGAATTCAAACGAGTTAAAAGGGTATTTAAGCACATACATACTCATTCAAACAATAACCATGATAAAGTAGTTGATTATAAACACTTATGACAATATAAGAGGAACATTATGTTCTCTTGCACTTAAAATCTCCCATGGAGATTTTGAAAAGTTAGCAGGTATGGACTATGTTGAATGCAAAAAGTGAAGTAAAAGGATACAACAGATACAGTTAAGTCTGTCTCATATCTTGACTTACATCTAGAAATTAACCAGGGTTGGTTGAGAACAAAGCTTTACGACAAAAGAAAAGATTTCAGCTTCCCAATTGTGAACTTTCCATTTCTATGTAGCAACATTCCAGCTGCACCTGCATACATGGCATATGGAGTATATATCTCCCAGCTTACATTTCCTATCATGATATTCTTGATAGAGGGGGACTGTTTACAAGGAAGCTATTTAACCAAGAGTTTTAAGTGGTTATGTTGAAATCATCCCTTAGAAAATTTTACGGACACCATCACTAGTTGGTTGTTATGGAGTATCTGTTTCACAGATGATGACAGATATGTTCCAAATGTCACTACCACAATCTCCTCTTTTCCTTGAATGTGACCTACCAAGTTATACTGATCACTGAGTTTGTACTTACATGAGCAATATGACTGGTGTCAATAGTGGAGCAGGATCTGCTTACCCATACCCAGCACCTGGGATCAACCCAGGTTTGTTAGTTGGGTTTATGTTCCTCAGTCTTGAGTTTTCTATGTTGTGTTTGTATACTGTTGTTTGTTTCTTGGTGTTTTTTCATTTTTTGTCATGGGGTCAAAAAATCATATCCCTTTGGTATCTTTCACCTTCTTTTGAAAGGAAATCTCAATGTTTACAAAATTATCAATTAATAAATATATAACAAAAATCTTTCCATAATTTTGTTGTTCTAGTCAGGATTTGAAAAGGGTTTGGTGCTTATTTTAACAAAGGCACAATGAGTGCACTCTGAATAAAAAAAAGGTGCTATATACAAGGCTCAGGAAACTGTAATATTTGCCAGTCAATACCTTATCTTAAAGGCCAATTACTGAAATTGTATCTTGGATTTAGGTTATGAAAAAAAAAAGGTACTGAATTTATTAAGTCAGGTTTTTTAATTGCCATTTTGCAGTAGATTTTATTTTCACTGCTTGGCCAGTTATAAAGCTGCCACTCTGGAGATATTGGCTAATAATTTTTAATAACTGTTTACCTATGTTCACATGCACTGATTGGGAGAATCAAGCAGAGAACTAATATTATAAAGAATTATATTCCATCACAAATTCCATCTTAATTTAATACAATTTATACCCAGAACAAAAAAGTAAATTTTCAGGAGTCAAACTTGTTCATTATTTACATTGTATTACACATTCGTGCAAGTGTCCTCCCTAAATTAGAGACTTAAAATAATTTCATGCAATATTAAACGAGTGAAACTATTATCAATCTTACAGGTAGTTAGATTATAAATAAATGATTTCCAGTTTTTATTTGGTTTCTAAAAATCGAAAGAAGCTTAAGAAATAAAGCTGTCATAAACTTTTCATCACATACAATTCTGACATATGATGCTTTACAGCTTTATTTCTCAATTCCAATAAATTTTAAGTTGATTCTGTTTTTACATAATTTTGTGTGTACTGCATATCCAAAAAAATTATATCTTTAAAATGTATTTTCTTCTATATATATATGACTGACACTAAACATATAGTACAAACAGAATAGTTTGTTGACATCAAGAATATGCAATACTTAATTTTTGCACATGTTTTAAAACACCACATGGTTAGTGTCTGCCAGTCAAAATGATGGAATTCTGTACAACACTATTGTATATTCATGCTGTTCCACATATGTTAAAACAAATTAAATGCTTGATTTAACACATACATGACATACATGTAATTTCCTGGTTTTAGCAATAAAATTTTTAATGTGATAGGAATTTTCTTGTCATGTTGTAAAACCATTCAAAGTGTTCTTTGGTCAATGCTTTTACATCCCAATAAACTATATTCAATTCTAAAATACAGCACTCTATCAAGAATACAGTGAAAAATCATTTTATCATGCTCCTGAAATTGTATTTATGAATTATGGTTAAAAAAAAATCAGGTATTATTACTGAATCGCTTTTAATTGTATTAAAATTCGTATCTATAATTTTTATTTGGTTTCATTGATGCATAGTCAAGATACATGTAGTACCCCTGCCTGTAAAAATTGATATATCTATCATGTCAATGATATATCTATCATGTCAATGATATATTCATATTCTGAATACAGGTACTTGAAATATAAATTTATAAATTGAACAAAATTGAAGAAATGAAGCTACAATCATATAAGACACTTGTAAGAATAACAACCTTTACAAACTTATGTAAATGCTTTCTTTATTGATAAATTACAATATGTCATAATCAATAACAGGCGTAAAGCATGTAACATATTCATAATATTGGATTTCATTTTCACGTTATATTGTACAACATTGAAAATATTGTACAAAGGTAAGTAGGATTTTATGGTAAAATGTTGTCAAATGTGTGGTTCTTTGAAGTCATTGTTATTGAGATCTTACATCAATTACTAGTCAAAGGACAAAGTATTTGTATTCAGGTTATCAATATACAAGTTGTCAAGACAGTTCATCTAAGGGTATTTGCAGTTTTTGCTTCGATTAAGGTCAAATGTCACAGGTACTTCTTCTTCATTAAGGATTGTTTAGTATGTATCCAGAAATAGACATTAAATTCAACTTGATGGCTTTTTGCATTAGCCAGTTCAACTTCAGTTATAAAAGTAAAAATCTTTATAATAAAAAACTGAATTAATCATTTGTTAAAAAAAAAAAATTTTACCTACCGGTATATAATCTTAAGCATTTTTTGTAATAATGTTACCCTTATCAGACATATAATGTCCATCTGCCTTAAAAAATAATAAGCTACTGCAATTGAATTTGTTAGCCTGAAAATCAAGGTATGATAATAAAGATTTTCAGGTGAACAACTTCAATTTCATTAGCTTGTAAATTTTAAAGGCATCTGGGTTATGATGTATTTGAAATGACAGTTTAGATTACAGATGAATTATTTATTCATACCTACAAACACTTGTGCATTCTAGATCTGTAGCAGGAATAAAGTTTATTGTTAAATGATGATAAAATAAAGAGTTTAGTCGCTCCTGAATACATACAGCATCGAATACATTTATATTCTTCAGATTGTGAAGCATCACAAAGCAGTTCTTGTTAAGTTTGATGAGACTTATCCATATGGAGATAAACAAGATACCTTTAAAGAAGTTGTGGAGGCCACTATGTCTCAGGACGATGCCTTATGTGCTGAAATACAGGTGTCAGGTAAGATTTAATAACAGACATTTAGTAGAGCAGAATAAAATTTATTTCAAATGTATATAGGTATTTTGGACATTACATAATAAGGAGATTTTTAAAGATGCCAAAATGTTGGAGTAGATGAATAATGTAGAAATTTGTAGCAGAAAAGAGATATGTTTTATTGGACCATTATCCTGTCAAATTTTTAAGTCTCCCAAACGAAGTTTGGGAAGACTTATTGTTTTTGCTCAGTTCTTATTATTATTATTATTCTTCTTCTTCTTTTTCTCTCTTCTTCTTCTTCTTCTTCTTCTTCTTCCGCCGCTTTTAAATTTGAACTTGTCCGCACCCGTTCTCCAAAACCACTTGTCAGATTAACTTAGGGTTTCACAATATGTTAGACTAACATGTCTAGTGGTGCAATCAGGGTTTTGTTTGTGCAATGGGGTTTATAAAGGGGTACTTTGAGGGGCAAAAAGAAAAGAGGGTTTTACTATAGAACCTTATGGGATTTTATTTTTTAAAATTTTCAAATGATTATAAATTGAAAACCGTTTGTGATAGACACAATCTTTTTAATTGAAAATGTTCTAAATGATAAAGCCCATTAAATGAAATACAGGGTTAGTCCCCAGGGGTCACCCAAACCCCCTGCCATTTAAGAAAGTTCTAATACCTTGTAAGTGGTCAAGATCCCCACCCCTAAACCATATATATTTTGGTTTGTTATGCTAAGATGGTTTGAATGATATACAGGATTAGTCCCCAGGAGTCATCCCGACCCCCTGCCAATTGAGAAAGTTCTAATATTTTGTAAATGGTTGAGATCCCCACCCCTAAACCATATATATTCTGGTTTGTCATGATAAAACACATCAAATGTAATACAGGGTTAGTCCCCAGGGGTCACCCCCACCCCCTGCCATTTAAGAAAGTTCTAATATCTAAGTGGTCAAGATCCCCACCCCTAAACCATATATATTCTGGTTTGTCATGCTAAGATGGTTTGAATGATATACAGCATTAGTCCCCAGGGGTCATCCTGACCCCCTGCCATTTGAGAAAGTTCTAATATCTTGTAAATGGTCGAGATCCCCACCCCTAAACCATATATATTCTGGTTTGTCATGATAAAGCACATCAAATGAAATACAGGGTTAGTCCCCAGGGGTCACCCCCACCCCCTTGCCATTTTAGAAAGTTCTAATATCTTGTAAGTGGTCAAGATCCCCACCTCTAAACCATATATATTCTGGTTTGTCATGCTAAGATGGTTTGAATGATATACAGGGTTAGTCCCCAGGGGTCATCCCTACCCCCTGCCATTTGAGAAAGTTCTAATATCTTGTAAATGGTCAAGATCCCCACCCCTAAACCATATATATTCTGGTTTGTCATGATAAAGCACATCAAATGAAATACAGCGTTAGTCCCCAGGGGTCACCCCCACCCCCTGCCATTTAAGAAAGTTCTAATATCTTGTAAGTGGTCAAGATCCCCACCCCTAAACCATATATATTCTGGTTTGTCATGCTAAGATGGTTTGAATGATATACAGGGTTAGTCCCCAGGGGTCATCCCGACCCCCTGCCATTTGAGAAAGTTCTAATATCTTGTAAATGGTCGAATTCCCCACCCCTAAACCATATATATTCTGGTTTGCCATGATAAAGCACATCAAATGAAATACAGGGTTAGTCCCCAGGGGTCACCCCCACCCCCTGCCATTTAAGAATGTTCTAATATCTTCTAAGTGGTCAAGATCCCCACCCTTAAACCATATATATTCTGGTTTGAATGATAAACAGGGTTAGTCCCCAGGGGTCATCCCTACCCCCTGCCATTTGAGAAAGTTCTAATATCTTGTAAATGGTCAAATTCCCCACCCCTAAACCATATATATTCCTATTTGTCATGTCTCGAACATTTGAATGACATATACGGTCAGTCCCCAGGGGTTCCCCCCACCCCCAATGTTCTAATATCTTGTAAATGGTTGAGATCCCCACCCCTAAACCATATATATTCCTGTTCGTCATGTAACGACATTTGAATGACGTATAGGGCCAGTCCCCAGGGGTTCCTCCCCACCCCCAATGTTCTAGTATCTTGTAAATGGTCGAGATCCCCACCCCTAAACCATATATATTCTGGTTTGTCATGCCAAGATGAATTGAATGATATACAAGGTTAGTCCCCAGGCATCACTAATGCATATAACTTTACTGGACCAAACCAATTTTCACTGGACGTTGCCCAATGTCAGGCGACCCTGGGAATTACGAATTATGGGAGCTTCGTTTGGGAGACTTCGTAACAGCATCATGTTACAATCATTTCTTGTTAATACTAATTGAAAGTACTACCGTACATGAATTTTGGTGAATTTATACTATAGTATATTATGGTGGGTTCTTGGTAGGGATGTCAACTTGGTGAACAATTACTAATCGAGTACTCGTTGGTTTTATCGAGCGATACTCGAGTACTTGATCAGGAATATATCTACAAGGAAACACAAAAAGACATATTTTACATTCTGTGGTTTGTCATGTTTGTTGTTCAACGGACAAAAAACCATCTACATGAGTATCTGGGACAAGGAATTACACACCATAATTAATAGCTCATTACCTACAAGTACTAATTGAGTAAAAAACAATAATCTAATCAATTTAATTTAATGAACACCTATGTAAAAATTATAAGAAGGAAAAACCATATTAAACATTAGTATTTTGTAATTGTTAAGAACACATTTAATGTTTACAAAGCCGCAAGGATTAGAAGTTTAATTATTCACTGAGGGTAACCAGAGGATGCGACAAATTTATTTTTTTTGGAAACATTTTCTTGTCAACTATTATTGGGGACAGTCGGTTTTTGTAACTAACAGTCTTGCAGACGAAAATATTTGCTTTGACTGTACTGATGTGAAGGAATGGCTAAGACATGTTTAGTTTAAAGTGTTAACTTAACCTAGGTATAGCCCACATATTTTCGGAGGCATTTTAAATGACAATTTAGCACAAGCATTCGAAACATAATGTATTTTATTTACTAGTATGATTAATCAGTGATGCCTATTTAATTTTCTGGAAGAGGTTCTCAAAGATCAATTTTATATAAAGAAGACATCAATGTTCTAACAGGAAACCGATAAGTCAAGTATCATTTTGGTATTCGATACTCAGTACTACCGAGTGATACTCGAGTACTCGTTGACATCCCTAGTTCTTGGTTTCTTAAAGTTTTATTATTGAACAATACGGTAGATAAAGTTTTAACATAAGGTGATTTCTCAGGAGTGTGTTAGAATTGGTACACACAGTCACATTTTTATATCCAGTCATTGCCACAAATCCAGAAAAAAGGGTTTGACCCATTCAAAGAAAGAATACCTTGAGAACAATAACTAAAAGTTTAGCATTCCCCTTTTTAGTCTGTAAAAGCTGAATATCATAGGTATAATATTGTGTAGTAAAAAGCTGCACACCTTGGTTATCACTATATGCCAAGTAATCTGAGAATAGTGCCACAGAGATAATGGCTCTTCACTTTTTAAATTGATGGTTAGATTCCTTGTTAATTGTTCAAATTTAATTTTTCAGATTATGGAGAGAAAGAAAATCTCGACTTGGCAGAAAGATATGGTGTAACAAAGGAACAATTCCCAGTTTACAGATTGTTTCTTAATGGTGACCTTGAAGGCGTCCTATACAAAGGAGATACAAAAAATGCTAATGACATAAAAACATTTTTGATGACTGAAGCAGGTAAAACATGTATATATATAGAGGTTTAAGTTATAGCTGGTATAGTTTGCATCAATCATGTCATGTACAGAACTAATTTTAAAATAAAAAAAATTTATGTGGCATTTCAACAATATATGAGTTTGTGATTAGGTCAGTTTAAGATGAACCATTAATGGTAAGTCAGTAATACTTGGTATGCAGTTGTATTAGCATTTGCTAGTCTAATTTCCATTGAGATGGCACTGCCCCTTCATCATGTTTCATTGACTTTGAACCATTTGCATAGTTTACATGTTAAAGTTTGTGATTAGGTCAGTTTTAAGGAAACCACTTCTGATAAGTCAATGGTATTTGGTATACAGTTGTATTAGCATATACATTTCTTATTTTCAAATAGGTTATTTAGCCCTATACCTGCATTCATGGTTCATTGACTTTGAATGTTTTGCATAGTTTACATAATAGTGTATTGTCATTAATAATATTTGCACTATATTTCTTGTTTCTGCATTTTATTGAAATAAATTGTTGGTTTTTTTTTTAATTAAAAGTAGGAAAGAACTGTTTTTCCTGAGAAATATCAGTGGTTGTAGCCTTATTCTTGTTTCCAGTCACTTTTTGTCATAACATATTTGAAATAAGAAAAAATGTAACCTTTCTCTCAGTGTATTTAGGAGAGGTTTTTTTCAATTTTTACGTCACTGCAACTGATAGAATATATTGAATTAACAAAAACTGCTGAAAAAGGAGATTACATTTGACTGAACTTGAAGTAGAAAAATAGAGAATATTGTGAATTGAACCATTACTGATTTCATTATCTCCAATTCAAATATTTCATTTTCAGGTCTTTGGTTAGGACTTCCGGATTGTTTACAAGAATTTGACGAACTTGTAACCAAATTTTATAATGCAGCTGACAATGACAAAAAGACAGCTGTAGTTACAGAAGTGGAGAAAGCAGCTGAAAAACTGAAAGAAGAATCTCAGAAAAAATCGGCAGATGTTTATGTGAAAACAATGAAAAAAGTTTTGGAAAAAGGAGAATCTTTCATTGCAGAAGAAGTAAAAAGAGTCGAAAAAATTAGAGATGGAAAAATAAGCGATAAGAAAAGAGAACAGTTAGGCTCAAGATTAAATATTTTAACATCATTCAAACTTCGATTAAAAGAAGCAAAAAAAGGAAAGGATGAACTTTGAAGGATCTCATTTTAATTTTCTGTTTTTCATTTTGTTTCTTTGTTCATCAAATTTGAATAATTTTAAATCTTGTCTTTTTTTCCTATTTTACATTTTATCGCCCAAAAAACTGTTGTTTCGGGTGGGGGAGAATTTTTTAAGTTTGGTTTTCTTTTCCATTTCCATTATTTATGATACATTTTTCAGTGAAGGGATACTTCATAAACGAACTCTTTTGGAGGAAATGAATCACATGTGCCATTTTCACATATTTTGCAATAAGTTGATGAAATGAGATTTATTTGTTATTACATATGTACAGTACACTTGCCAGTTGTGCTGGACCAGAATGTATTGTTAATGTTGTTTTGGAGTTGCAGAATGTAAATGCATTCAAATATTTTATGCTGGCATTTAAAATATTCCAACAGGATGTAGATTTTATACTTTATAATTTTATAAAAGTAATATATTAGAGAAAACATTTATACTATACAAGTTTTGAAATGCCAGGAATATGTGTTTTTGATATGTTATTATAGGTTTAACAATAATAAAGTATAAAAACTACTTTTACTTATCTTAACTTTAAACAATGAGTAGATGAGTATATATAAATGTGAATGAGAGAATTTAAAGGTTAAGAGATAATAGAAAAGAAATTTGAGACATGTAATTTATTTAGAGTCTGTACATACACAAAACAGTACAACATAAGCTCATCAGAGCTTTTAAAACCAACATAGACACTACACATAAATACAAATTAAATATATCATGCACAATACAGATAAACATATACATTTTAAAACATACATATGCCCATAGATACTTGTCATACACAAATCATTTCATGCATTTTAAAGTACAATTAAGCACATATACATGTAATGTTATATAAATTAATCTAAAGCACTAAAACAATGTATTCATGCACTAAGCTAAAGCACCAAACCAGTATATGTATGCACACAGCTCAAATGTACATTATTGACCACTACTTATTTGAATCCGGATGACCATTATGACAACAACAATAAAAACAAAGAGCAACCTGACGGGGAAAATGTATAAGATGGAGCAGAATCCCATTTGAATAGCCTTATAGCATTCATTACATACATCACGTTTAAATTTTGTATGAAAATTGTATTTTACAAAAAAGAAACACCATATCTAATTCAGCCTTAATTTTAAATACCCTTATTTTCCTATATATATTCTGCCGTGATCTTATAGTGGTTAGTACTTCGCGTTGTGGCCGAGACAACCCAGGTTCGAATCCTGGTCACGGTAAACAGCTGTGTAATGTCGCGGTTAAGGTATTGTGGGCAATTTTTTTTCTCTCTCTCATTCCAATTATCAATTTTCACTAATCCTTCTTTGTATTTAGATACACGTATGTTTTTTTTTGTTTATATATAAAAGTCATTGAACATTCACATTCCTACCTTTTGAGTTGTCTAACTGGCTATCACTGCATGTACCGCTGCGATCCAGTACAGCTAGAACACTTTTTGCCTTTATCTACCAAATATAGTAACAAATGAATATTTCGTGCAATGTCGATAAAGCAGTAAAAACTTTTAGTCATGCATTATGCTAAAGCACTAAAACACTATGAAAAGCACAGATAATTTGAGTACATAAAACAATAAAAATCAAATTTTGATTCATGCATTAGTAAATAAATTTTTAAGAACAAGCATTGCAGTGCCAGGAGCTGCCATTCTATGAGTTTATTAACCTTTTGCACTGGCCGAATGATGTTTGTGATCTAAAGTGGTTTGGCAACTCGTTCCATAATTAAGCAGCAGAATATCGAAATAATTTAATTCAATACCTGGTTGTTTGTACTGATGAATTTTCTATAATGTTCTGGTGCCTAAAGCCTACACAAAACCAGAATCATTGCTTTTTTTATCTCAAAGAAACGTGAAGTCTTCAATATATGGCAAAGCTCAAACCTCTATAAAGGTCACCCTTAGAACCAGTTTGAGTGGAATTCTTTGCTAGATATTGACCACAATACCTCTGCATTGCATAACATAGATGGAGGTAAATTTTAACAAATTATAGACTGCAACCATCTACCAGTAAAGAAAACTAACAAATACTATGACTTACTTGACAGAAAATCATGATACAGATTCGAAACAATACAAATATTTAGACAAACACTGGGAAGATCTTTTTATTTTTTTGGATATCTTACACCTCAAGCATGAGTAAATTTTTACAGCCTCCACACATCACAGACAAACCAAATATAACGGAAGAGAAAGGATATGGTGTTTTAATTCATGACATGAAATTCTTACATTCACTTGACAAAAAATAACAATTTAGCCAAAACTTGAGACAACCTAACAACACAAAATAAAATGCATAAGATGACTTGTATTAAATAAAATGCTTGTTTATTTTATATTCCTTGATAAATTTTAGATTTAAAACAAAATCTGTTCCTATTATGCAGGTGTTCTAATTCTTTATGTTCCCATAGTTGACTTAAAAAAAGGTTTCAATCTGCATGTGTTTGTAGTGATGTCTCAGATTTCAATGAAAGTAGTTTTATATCCTCACCCTAAAAGTGGGGGCTAATTGCATTCACCTTGTCAGTTCATTTGTCCTATATATATTTCAGCCACACTAGAATGACTTTGTAGTTGGTGTTCAGCTTGACAGTGATGAGTTGTAATGTGTGAGCACTATTCTGATCTGTCCAACAACAATATCCTGTTCGCTGATACTTTGAATTTTTCAATACATGCATGTTGAATCAACTTTTAAATTTTTTCTTCACACTTTTTTCTAGTACAACTGAACAGAACGACTTTATATTTGGTCAGCTGCTTGACAGTGATGAGTTGTATTGTGAGATTATTATGTCTGTGCCGTTAGGTGGAGAGGCATAAAGTTTACCATTGTCCATCAGTATGTCTCAAAATTAGTTTGCATTTTAGTTTGCCTCAATCAAATATTTTGAAAATTATACACAAAGCTTATTTGATCACCAAATACAGATCAAGTTCACTCTACCTGTTGTATGTACTGATCAAACGTTTCATATCCAGGCTCAAAAGATTGAATGTGAACATTGACTTGCATACTTACAAGTGAGGGCATCTGTGTCCCATGGAGACATTCTTATTTTATTTTGGATCTGTCAGACATCAACTTCCTGTTGGACAATACTTTGAATTTTTCAATATGTTGAATGAACTTTAGAATATTTCGTTACACTTTTCTCAAGTACTTCTGAATAGTATAAAATTAAATTTGGTCAGCAGCTCAACAGATATGAGTTGTAAGGTATATGCACCGTTTGGATCTGTTAAGACGCCTATACTTCCTGTTTCCTATACTTGGAATTACGGTTTGGGGTATGCTTAGCACAACAAAACTTTTACAGATATCATATATTATCAAAACTATTACTTCCATTTTATCACAATTATAGAGATTTTTTGTGAAAATAAAATTCCACCTGCAGAAAATAATAAGAAGTGGTATTTCACAACCAGCTTTTCACGTTTATATCTTTATTTAACAAAGGAAGACTTACATGTACTTTTTAATAGTATTTCTTCTTCTAGTCATCCATGTTAAAGGATAAATGAATTACATTCTAAACATGAAAAAGTTCCTAAAAATCAAATGATTTTGATCTCAAGGTAAAATGTCAATGTCACATGAAGGTAATGATGATATGCAACACACTGTTAAATGGTTATACACCTTCAAATCAAATATCATAGGTCAATGTCAAAAGATAAAAGTGTTGGAACAGACAAGGTTGGATAAGAACAGGGCTTTTGATATTTGATACTGGAGTGCAGCAACTCAAAACGATGTGTCACATATCATGGAACTCAAGGTCACTTGATTTGGATGTCGACCTCAAAACCATGTATTTGATTGTTTGCCATGACAAAATCTTTTTAGTTCACCTTAGGTTTTGACCTTGTTCCCTATATAGGGTTAATTGTTAGGTATCATAAAGATTGTTCAGAACCCACCCATAAACCATATATTTTCTTACTTGTCATAACAAGCAAGATCTTTAAAGTATACCATAGGTTTTGACTACAGGTGCTTTTCCCCACCCTCCATTATCATTAATTGTTAAGTGTATCAAAAACTGTTCAGATTCCCACCCATTAACCATGTTTTCTTAATTGCCATGACAAGACCTTTTTAGTGTACCATAGATTTTGGTCATTTGTTGAGGCTTGGGTCAAATCCCAAGGCTACCTCCTCATATCTAAAATAGTACAAAAAAATATATTGAAAACAGTTACAATTCCAACCCATTAACCATATATATTATTATTTGTTATGACAATACCTTACCAGTACTACAATGTGTTTGTCGTGTGTGAAGGGGAGAATGTAGTTTAAATCCACTAAAACTAGCATCATCTATAGCTAATAAGTTAAGAGATTGCCTTCATAGCTTTCATTTTGGTCTAAAAATCTTGTTGAAAAAGATCATAATTGTACTGTTGTTATTCAATCTGGCATTTTTGTCGAAAAAGCGAGACATAGCGATCCTACATTCCGTTGGCGTCGTCGTCGGCGGCATCCACAAATATTCACTCTGTGGTTAAAGTTTTTGAAATTTTAATAACTTTCTTAAACTATCCTGGATTTCTACCAAACTTGGAAAGAAGATCATAAGATAGTATCCAGAAGTAAATTTTGTAAAAAAAAAATTCCATTTTTTCCGTATTTTACTTATAAATGGACTTAGTTTTTCTGCCAATTAACATTACATTCAGTCTGTGGTTAAAGTTTTTAAAATTTTAACAACTTTCTTAAACTATCCTGGATTTGTACCACACTTGGACAGAAGCTTGTTTAGGATCAAAAGCTAGTATCTAAAAGGAAATTTTGATAAAATTTTGTTCCATTTTTTCCGTATTTTACTTATAAATGGACTTAGTTTTTCTTCCAGTCAACATTACATACATTCTGCAGTTTAAGTTTTTAAAACATTTATTAGATTCATAAATTATCCTGGATTTTTACCAAACTTGGACAAAAGCTACTTACAATCAAAAGATAGTATAGAGAGGAATATTTTTATTAATTTTTTTCCTCATTTTTGTTGAGCCTGCGATTAACACCAAAAGTAGGCTAGACACTGGGTTCCGCGGAACCCTTACAAATTTTTTAGGATGAACAAAAGATCACCAATATTGTTTTTTAGGTATTTTTATACTATAGAAGGAAAGAATTTAGGAAGGGTCCATGAAATAATTGGAAATAAACAAACATTAAAAAACAGCACTTCTTTATTTTACAGTCTTCAATCTTCACTTGACAAATCTGACAACACATCTGCAAAGTCTCCGCAAAAATTTCAATAATGGCTTGTATCTGTTAGTATAATATACAAGTTTTCGGTAAATAGGAAGTTGATGAGGGATGAAACTGAGACTTGTGTCACACAGTATAGCATGTTGACATGAAGCAAAATAAAAATTTTAGGACACTTTGATGTCTAGTTCCCTAGAAAAATGATACGAAAATTACATACATAGATATAAGAAGATGTGGTATGAGTGCCAATGAGACAACTCTCCATCCAAGTCAAAATTTATAAAAGTAAACCATTATAGCTATTATGTTTAGAATATATAAGTATTCGGTTAACAGGAAGTTGATGAGTGATGAATGTGAAACCCTGTCACACAGTATAACATGGTGACATGCATATGAAGCCATAACAAATTTCAGGAAGGTGACGGTCTGATTTGAAGTTTCAGAGAAAAATGTGAAGGAAATAACATGGGACAGATGGGGTTAAAACAGTATACCACACTTCCTTCGGAGAAGAGGTATAAAAAGTTCTCACCATAATGCAAATGTGTACTACATTTGAAGATGATGTGACCTCTACTTCATGGTTAGCTACCTTGACCAAAAACTTTAACCTGAGTATGTACTGGTTTTATGCTTGCTTAAATTCAGAAATTTTCACATGCATTTATTATTGCCATTGTTGAACAATGACCTAAATTTACATCAGGCTCAAAACCAAAAGATGTCATTAAATTTTAAACTTCTCATCACAATGAACATGTATGCAAAGTTTCAAGAAGATGTGACCATACCATTTATGGTAAACTACCTTGACTAAAAACCTTTACCTTAACCTTAACGGATGGCCAAATGCACAGACTAGAAAAAATAATGCCCACCTTCTATAAGACTTATAAGATCAGTTCTAAGCAAAACAACAAATAATAAGAATAAAGCTGGCACTGCCAACTGATGCTCCCAAAATTACACATTTATTGAGAGATACTTCTATGTTAAGTTTTTTTGGTGCTTCCTTCAGATGTGATGAGTCAAGACATTTCCAACTGATTTTTCACTGGTTGTTGTTGGTTGCTTTTGGTCATATTTGGGTTTATTCATGTTTTGTTTATTGTTTTGTCACAAGGGCATTGTTTGTTTTGTTTTTTGTTTCACATTTTGTTAAGTCTGGGCTTTTCATAGCTCAATTTAGGGTATGGGTTTTGCCCATTGTTGATGGCTGTATGCTGACCTATAGTAGCTTAAATCCAATTCATTTGAACTCTCGTCTGCAATCTTATCACATCTCTTTTTTTATATTTGAGGGACAAATATCAAAAATACAGGAAAGATTATTGCTATTTTTTCACCTGTATAAACGTGATTCAATTCATATAGGACATACATATATGTAAAAAAACAATGATCTTCATCTTTGACCCAAGAAACAATAGACTTCTTCCATTTGTATAAGTTTCATTGAACAATAAAAAACTGCCATAAAATCATAAAACAAAGACAGTATTTCCAACATGTTTATTTTCTACAACTAAGAAGACCCATATGAAGATTTTGTAACAACAAAATATTCACTTCCATTTAAATACACAGATGTCAAAAATTTAAATGAATGTTATTTTTTTTGGGAGTAAATTTTTGTAATTACAAATGATTGTCACAAGTTCAATTTCATGTATTCAAAAATAAGCTCACGGCTATTTTGACCTTTAAAATTAAGCTATAAACAATAAGCACTATTTATTGAGTATTTCTCCAAGTTAAGCTACATGTGAGCATATACAGGGATTTCTAAAACTGAGATACATACCTTTCCTGTTACAAATTTTTAAGCAATTTCACATACAAGCCTTCTGGATAACGCATCAGTTTAAAAAGTTTTAAATATTTTTAAGTGACTATAACCATTGGTAATAGTTGGTTTTGAACCATTTTCAGGGATCCATTAAAATCTAAAGCATTCTTAGTAATTTACATCAAAACCTTATGACTGGTTGAAAAAATCTTATACATTGGATATTAAACCATTGTTTTTGTTCTATTTTTTGTGGAGTCAGAACAAAGTAATTTACCTTCCAATGATTTTTTTTTAAATGCTACCAATGTACATTGATATAAATCTATTTTAGTACTAAGGAGTAATAGAATAACTCTTCCAAGATTTCATATCTTGAAAAATATTCAACAAGTGACCGAACAACATATTAATTCACAATTGTTCATAGCGCCTAAGTGAATCATCACTGTTCATTGATCATGAGTTGAATATGTGAATAATAAATTGATCTTTAATGTAATTTAAGTGAAAATGCAAGGACCTATATCTTTTTTTATGCCTTTCTCATTTCAGTTTTCATGCGATGTAATTGACACTTTGACAACACATATTGTTGTATAACTTCAGATACGTGAAATTACAGGATTTATTTCATTGTGAAATTATCAGTTTTTATTTGATTGCAATATCATGATATTTCATTGCAAAAAATGTAATAATATTGTATATTTGTCATACCCTATTAATAATAATATTAACCTCTATCAACATTGAACACAACAAACATATAAATATCAAGATTGTCATAAAATCAATAACATGCATTTCAAAATAAACAATAACAAAATATAATAACAAAACAACAAACAAAATACTTTAAATCAGTACAAAACAGAAATAAATATATATGATTTAAGTTTAAAATCCAATAGGATTTCAAGATATGAAACTTATGCACGGAATGTAACAGTACACTACATATATGCACAAATAAATAAAATTAGTTTGATCATTTGATATACATTGTGCATTATCTTCATTAATATGAAACCGCAAATATATTTGAATTGTCCTCCAAATGGCATTTTCACGCCATACTAAAATTGTGCTATATTTTTACCATGATGCTATCTGAATAGATTTTATTATTGGTTGTATTTTAAGTTCAATAAAGTGCTAAAATTCTAAAGAAACTGCTATTTTTAAATCGCATAGTACACGAATTTTGAAAATACTAGTATTGAGTAGAACACTGAAATTAAGTCTTTATAATTACAAATAAGATATTTCTGGACTAGAAGAATGCCCTTGCATGCTGTCAAATTCCAAGGGTCACATAAAAAAGTACATGTAGAACATCCAAAACAAACAAACAAAACATGAAATTGATCATTATTCATCTGTAACACCATGATCATACACTTATAACATTAAATTTTGTGAATTTTCTATCTTTTGATATAACTGCTGATGATCATATTTCTGTCAACTATCATAGCTTATCAGGCAAAATGTAAACATATCATTTCCTTTTAGTCTAATAGCATGAAGTTTAAATATTTTTTTTAAAATCATCTTCATTATAGTGTTAAATAATTGAATGACTCAATCCTTAAAATTCTAAAGATACCAATATTATATACTTCAGATAATTTTTTGTTGAACGTTGACTATAAGACAGGTTTTAGAATTATATGGGAAAGAAATGGAGACATACAGAGACAAAAATATATCCAAAACTTCAATCTGTGCAAACTTCATTTGGGAGACAAAATGAAAATGGTTTTACAACATTAATAGTACATTTATTTTACAAATATCACAGATATAATACAGTCAGAAAATGTAAAAATAATAACAAAGATATGAATGAGACATTAAACAATAAATATTGATCAGCAGTGACCTTGAACTTTAAAAATATGACAATTATGACAAAGCTTAAATACATGTCATTAGCAACAACCATTTGAAATATGCCTTTTTAAATGTTAACTTATAATAATTGTCAATGTCATCTTGTTATTTCAATAATATCCATTAATGATGCATATTTTTTTTACACTAGAGACCTCAATGGCCAAGTGCTCTTAGGTAGTTGGTTGCCATCTTTGGCTATTTTCACAAAAAATCTTCATTAAAAAAAAAATACTTATAGCACAAATAATTCAGTGCAACATACAACAGATTTTACTTGCAAGATTGTTTGTGTACAAATCTGCTGTCTTTTAAGATAATGGCAGTCTGCACCGAACTACAGTAGAAGTTCACAGCTCAGTAATTCTTTTTCCAACAAAACTTATGACAAAAACTAATAATAGTTATAAAAGTACTGAATTGGAAATTACAAATTACATTTTTTCTCTCAGATTTTTTGTAAAAATTATTACTGGTCATTTAAAAAAATGGCATTGTGCACTCAACTTGTGAGTAGGTAACCGAGATGACAGAAATAACTACCATGAAATTGAATGAAGTGCTATTAACGACAATAATAATAAAAACATCACTTAAAACAAATATTGAAAATTATTGAACTGAATATTTTTCAGGACACATTTTAGTAGAGGAAAACATATCAATATTAAACCTGTGGGAACTCCCATCTACACCTGATACCTAAATATTATCCATTATCTAATTTAAATCTATTATGATACATAACATATTCTTTTATTTGAAAGTTATATCTGTCTATTCAACAATGACTCTAATATCTGATCAAGAAAAATTGTTCAATACAAAAATTAAAAATACAAAGCAATGTATAACAGTATCTTTCATACAGTCAAAGAGGGTAACTGGGTAACTGTATAAAAATGCTTCTTTTTCCTGTTCCTTTTGAATGTAAAAACTTCTATAATTTTTTAGATCTTTATTCTCATGATGAAAGATTTTCTCAGTCCCAATAGTGATTTCTTATCACAGGATTCATTATAACTAATAAGTAGTGCTGCCAATCATTTTAGAAAGTATTTACAGAGCAGAGTACAATAATATCTTCTATACACAACTTAACATTTATACTCAGGTAAAAAAAAAAAAGCTGCCATTTAAAAACACTCACTTTACAAATGCAAATAAAATTTTTCATTTATCTCAAGTAACCTATTGACATAGTGATGAATTAATTAACCTTCCTTATATTAATGAGAAAAAAAATTGAATATCACACTATAAATCCTAGATAAGAAATTCATTTATATCACATAGGTATGCATTTTTCAAAGGGAGATAACTTTGAACATTAACTTGTAAAGTTTGTAACTTAGAAAATGTCAGATAATGATATTTATTTATGTTAACTTTTGCTGTTCTTTAAATCAATGTGAAAGTAGCTTTTAAATAATTGAATTATTCTCCAGTTGATGTCTTGGCCAGTTTTATAATCCTGAAGAGTAACTGCAGAATGCTCTACCTCCTTAATGTTATAGTAATTATCTTAATGTAAGTATGTTTCTCCATTGGTTAATATTTCCATCTCTCTTGATCATTGTGATATAATCATTGACGAATAGGTAAAGTTTCTACAGTTATAATGGATCTACAAATGTTAAGTAATTACCGTTTCCTTTTTCTATTGATAATTGTGATAAGACATAGTTTCTACAGTTATGAATTGTCTACAAAAGTTAAATTATTCCCATCTCTCCTGACTGATTGTTGAGTAATATCAGTAATTCTGTAGTTCCCTGATGTTATGATACAGTTCTAGACACTGTGGATTAGCCAATGCACCTTTCTGTACAACCTCCTCGCCCATCATAGCCTTCCTTACTGCTGCCTCAACCTTCTTACTATTAATAGTGTACTGTAATAAACAAGTAAATAAATATATACACTTTAATAAACATGCAAATAAATATTTGCATTGCAATAAACATGTAAATACTATAAAACATGTGTGGTCATCCAGTGTCCTACAGTAGATTACAGGAACATCAACGTCATTTGGACATATGATGGATAGCTATATATATATAGTTGTCTCATTGGCAATCATACCACATCTCCTACTTTGATTTCTGTTCTAAGCAACTTAATGAACCTGTTAAAGTCAAGAACTGTGTTGATAAGCTTCCTAAATTTTTGTTGTGGGGATGTATAAGTACCCTGTCACGTCCACTCTGTTTTTGTTAGATGTATTTCTGCTGTGTATCCATCTGATGAGTTAAGCCCTTTTCAACTGATTTTTATAGTTTGTTCTTATGCTGTACTGTTACACCACTGTTCCAGGTTAGGGGAGGGTTGGCGCCTTCAAACTAGTTTAACCCCGCCACATTCTGTATGTGCCTGTCCCAAGTCAGGAGCCTGTCATTTAGTGGTTGTCTTTGGTTGCTGTATATCATATTTGTTTTTCGTTCATTATTTTGTACATAAATCAGGCCGTTAGTTTTCTTGTTTGAATTGAATTACATTTGTCATTTCAGGGCCTGTTATAGCTGACTAAGCGGTATGGGTTTTACTCATTGTTAAAGGCCGTACGGTGACCTATATATGTTAATGACTGTGTCATTTGGTCCCTTGTGGAGAGTTGTCTCATTGGCAATCATACCACATCTTCTTATTTTTTATATGTCTAAGTAATTATTGCATAGCTATAAAACAAAAACTTCTTATTTCTCAAAAATACCAAAATATTTAAATACTGTTACATATATTTCAGTTTTATGAACTTGTTCAAATTTTCAATCTGCAACAGGAATATGCAATTTACAAGTGTTTCCAAGAGAACCTAGAAAAATTTGTGTTTTGTTCCATGGTGGCAGCCATATTGTTTCTTTTGCATCATAATAAAAATCACAAACTTCATGTTAGACCTGATCACAATAAAAATTTATTCTATCATACGAAGTAGTTTTCAAAAATATGTTGTCTGTGTGTACTTTCAACAAATAACAGCGGAGTGGAACCAAACATAAACTTGATCTGTAACTCACCATAGTAGACTCACATACTAAAAATCAGCTCAATATGTGAAGCCATTTAGAAAAAAGACCGTATAACTGTTATTTTCACAAAATTTTCAAAGTCCAAAGCCTGTAAATTCAACAAAAACAGCAGAGTGGAACTAAACATAAAATCGATCTGTAACTCATCATAGTAGACTCACATACTAAAAATCAGCTCTGATAGGTGAAGCTGTTTAGAAAAAAAAGACTGTATAGCTGTTATTTTCATGAAATTTTTAAAGTCCACAGCCCTTAATTTCAGCAAAAATCAGTGGAGTGGAAACAAACGTAAACTTGCTCGGTAACTCATTGTAGTAGACTTACATACTAAAAATCAGCTCAATATTTGAAGGCGACCTAAGTGGGCGGGGCAAGAAAAACAGATGTGAAACCAGGTTCTCTGTTACTGTAAGCATATACTGCTGTACTTGTAACAGCAATCATATTGTCCTGAAGTCAAACCAATGACCTTTTATATTTTTAAAATGGGTCAAAATGGTTCGAGCAAGCCTGGAGATGGAATGATCAACCAACATGCAATGGAAACCATAAAGCTTCTTAAGTGAAAATACAAGAAGTCTAAATCATTCTTGACACAGAAAGATATAAAAGATATAAAGTATAGGTTAAAAATAAACATAAATCTTACTGGTATATCATCAATAGGCAATACTACAGTTGGTACATATCTGACACTTAGTTCATTTCTAATACAACTCTTAATTCTGGTAACCAGTTCACTGGAGAAATTGCTTCCTGTGGCCATCTTGACAAACAAAACAACCCTTTCTTCTGAATTATCTTTCTTCCTTTGTGCTACACAAACGCTATCCTGAATTTCTTTAAAGGATTCAACTGCAAAAAAAATATGGTCTCTGTAATTTTCTGTGTAGATCTTTAAGATGTGGCAATGCTTTCAACTGTAATATCCACAGCTTGTAAGTTTAGATTATCATAATTTCTATACATTGATATCGTAAAATGTCAGCCGCAAGCCACAATGTGAACCTTTTTTGGCGAGTGAGCGTAGAGAAGAGCAAAAAAAAAGCTTTCAAATTGCTTTGAGTAGCTAATATTTTACAATATCTAAAGGTAGATAACCTGATAATCTGTTTATGGTTCTATTACTGGTCTTTTTTTATTAACTTTAGTAGTGAGTTTAAAAATAAATAACATATCGTGTCGCTTATTTCTTTGGTCTTTTTTTCAGATGCAGCTATTGGAATGCTGAAATATGTGTGTTACTCTAGTTTGATCGGTTTATCTGGCCAGTGGTCCTGTGGGAATCATGCATCCAAATTAAAATAGCTGTAGCTCATTAATACTCCAGCTGAGTGTAGCTCATCGACACTCCTGCTGAGCTGTAGCTCATTAACACCCCTGCTGAAGTTTAAGCCAGAGAATTACAGTGACATCTCCACAGAATGGAAATTATCCACACAGCTAAGTCATTAAAGTTAGAATAGAGCTACTAACCTACATTGTAGATTTCAGCACTACCAAATCTTACACCATTAGGATTCAACACACCATCACTGAAATAGATGTACATAATGATGGTCATTGGATCTTTACTGAGAAAAACATAGGAAGTGAGGGACTTATTTTCTTTTGATATGCATCAGAAATTTTAATAACAGTGATTGTAAAAAAAACCTATCAGCATTTTAAGCCTACCATGGAGGCAATTTTCCTATACTACAACTTTCCATACCCCCTTATTCTCCATTGATGTAGCAAATCTTTCCATCTATAAAATTTACTTTCTTCAAAATTTACAATTAAATCAAGTTTCCATTAAAATTCTGTTGTTAATTTGTGTACTGTTAATAATTACTTCAAAACATGGAATTTTCCTGCCATATTTTGTCCCAATTTACCAGAAATTTAGATGAGAAGATGCATCAGATGTTTAACATGACCAGTGTAACTAGTAGAGCAAAAACTACTAACCCTTCCAGAGATTAGAGATTAGAGAGAGTTTCTGGTAAGAGTTTGGGCTGCTCAATATTTAGTTTACTGCATAGTGTTTTGTAATTGTTAATTTTCTTTTCATCTATTGTCTATTGACAATTATTTCGTCTATCCTTAAGACTTATGAATCTGTTGCCCCCTTGTAATTAATTCTCATACTTTTTTATCTATGAAAATGTGAAACCAAAAGTCTAGCATGGCCTTTGGCCAGCTGAGCTAAAAAGTGTTTGAATTTCATTAAACATACTGACATTTTCAAGGCATAACCATATTGCTGTTTGAAACATAACACATTTGATTATACATGTACTTATTCCAGTACAAACTGAAAAAAAACCCAATCTGAGATGAATTTGGTGCAAATATCCAAATATAAATCCCTTTTAATCACTTTTTAAAACAAAAACAATCAATTCCACAAATAGTTAATTTTGTTCTGAGAGATAAGATCTGAAATTTTGCCTATATTTGTTTTATTTGGTCTTACCTTCTACCCAGCATAACAATACCACCTGTGTGACTACTGATACAACAATGATCTCCATGTGCCCATACACCTGCAATTCAATGCATTAAATCATAATTCTGAAATACTGAATAAGGAGTCCAACTTTCCTCATCTCAAATATCTTGAACACATTTCTTTTCATCAATGCTTTTGGTCATTTCTTATTCAAGTTTTTGGTGATGTAATTTGTAGCTACCGTAAATTCAGAAATTATCGAGTGCATTTATTATTGCGATTTTTGTAGAATGGACAAAAATGTGAGATTAATTATTGCGATATCAGGAAAGATTACATATACAGACATATGTATCAGAATGCAAGTTGTTATTATTGTGAAACTCACCCTGTCACACTATTGGCATTAATAAAAAACCTCTCAATAATTTCTTAATTTACTGAAATACATTGTGATGTCATGACATTATAGCAAGGATTCATTGTCATTTTAAAAAAAAAATTATTATAAAAAAAATCAAATTGATTATAGAAACAGACACTTCAACTTTCACACAACACTGAATACATTAAAATTTGATGAAGATGGTTGATTTGATTTTAATGATTTTTTAAGTAGCAATTCTTCTTCTAAAACCAAAAACTTTTGTTTCTCTGCATTTTCAAAAAATGATGACAATTTGCACAATTACCGTTAAAAGGCTTGTATGGTCCGTGGTTTTATTCTCCCAAATTGACCCTGACAGCAGGGGTGCGGACTATAGAGTACAATAAGCAAGAAATAAGAGAGAAAATTTCAATTTCGCGATGTGGTTTGTTTACGTTCCGCCATGTTTGTTATTGACATTGTAGAGGGCGCTCTTATCATTTTTCAAACCAATAATTTTACCCAATCCATATTAATAAGTTATTTTTATTCAATATCAAATTAATACTGATAAATTTAAAAATTAAATGCTTCATTACAAAATTCTTGTTTCTTTTCAATGCATTGCTAAATAGAAACTGGTATCTGCTTGAATGAAATCGTACAAAAAAAGTAAAAAAAGACAACCGTAAACCAGCTTACGATGTGTAAACTACAAAACGTAATCGGTTATTATTCGTTCCGTTTTGGTGTTTCCTATTGACAAATATGTTTTGTATTAGCTTAAGACCATTTAAACATTAATGTGATAGATATATTAAACACTGTTTTACATAAGGAAGGAACTGTTTTACTTTCAAAGTCGTATTATAGTGATATCTATTATGTACGGATTTCGCCTCTCACAGGGTTTTTTCATCTTTTACACATGCTTTTCAAACTTCCGGTTTAAACATACACAAGTTTCTAAATTGTTTTTTGTGTGATTTAGACTTATTTTAACCAGCGTGAAGTGTTTTAGAACCATTTACAAGCAGTTTCAGCTTCTGTTTGGTGATGGAAAATAGGTTTTTCCAAGAAAATACCGCAAACGACCAAACATGATTTAAAATTACCGGAGTTTCATTAGACCTTTTTTAACAGTTACAAAAAGTTTTTTTACCTGAAATTTCGTGGGGAGAAGGGGGTGTGGACTATGTACCAGTGCGAACTATACAAGCCTGATTACGGTAATAATAGGTTTAATACATTGTTTTTCATGTTTTTTGTACCTGGAAACATTTCAAAGTAAGCCTTTTTATACTTCTTGCCATCAGGATCATTCCAGAAAAATACAGGCATTGATGGAAATGGTTTGGTACAGACAAGTTCTCCTGCTTCATCATATACTTGTTTGCCTACAAGAAATCAAGGTTGTATGATATATCTATTAGAGCAAATATCATACCGACCAAAATGCAATAAATATATTTATCCAAAAAAATGCAATAAATATATTTATCCAATATGAAAATTAAGAGCTATTTTCATAAGGCGTGTAAAGTGCATAGTGTGGGTTATTTTACAACTTTGTTTATAGAACAAAACACTAAGAACAGAAATTGACTTTCGTAAACTGCAAAAAAACAAAAAATGGTGTTTGTATTTCTATATTTCTGCTTTCTAATGGTTCATTTAGAACAAAAAACTGAAAAAGAATTCTTCAGGTATTTGTACATATCCAAATGAACTTGCATGTGATAAAATATCCAAACCAGAATAACGAATATATATCACATTTACCTTCTTCATCTCTAGTTTCTATGGCACATCCCAAGTTAGCACCCTGGACCTCCCCTCTATATACTGGTACAGTCCAGTTCTGACCCATAAAACATGCTATTATATCTGTTCCACCTACAAAAATAGAGAAAAGTTCTATGTATCTTCATACCTAAAATGTACGATAATTAGCAACATTATTTATATTCTAATAAAATTGAGAATGGAAATGGGGAATGTGTCAAAGAGACAACAACCCGACCACAGAACAGACAACAGCAGAAGGCCACCAACAGGTCTTCAATGCAGCGAGAAATTCCCGCACCCGGAGGCGTCCTTCAGCTGGCCCCTAAACAAATATATATACTAGTTCAGTGATAATGAATACATGTTAATACATGTTTACGGTAATTTAAATGTCTATTTCATAACATTTCCCAAGAAAACCTCTTTTTTTTTAATTCTACATGAAAAAGAAAAATGTTCCTTAAATTGTCAATAGTTTGATCCATCTTAAAGTTGATCATCAATATCTGAAAGAAAACATTTTTCTACTTATAGTATTTTTATACTGAATTAAACCTGACAAAAACCACTGTTAGATTAATACAAAATTTATTTTATGATCTTTTACTTTTTATCTCTTCAGTAAACTTTTATATTGAAACTTCTTAACAAATATTTTGAAATGGCACACATTTGTGCTAAGTGTTATCTTTGTTTACTGCATTTTATATTTTGCTCTTATCTTAAATTAACAACAAGAGCTTTTTCATTATGTATATATTTTCCAATGTGTGTATTAGACTTGTTATTAACAGCTTTGTTTAATAAAATTTAATAAGATATGAAATATAATTTTGAACTAGTCACAGCAACAAAACCTTAGAATATTACACAAAAAGATCACAATTCAAAATTCTGAATCTTTTGTGAACTCATTAAAATAGCAGATCATACTTACTCATCTTGTGGCAACAACCACTTGGTATTCAAAATTTTGTTTAAATTTTACAAACTTCTGTAATTACCAAAGTGATTAAATTCTGTTTCCATATATTACAGCATTACAGCTCCCAAGATTAAAAGTCCAAAATGAATGCAATTAAACGAGTTAGGAATAAATAGATCACCTGATATAGAAGCTAGCAGTAGATCTTTCTTTATATCTGTGTATACATAATCATATGACTGTGGTTTTAAGGGAGATCCAGTAGATAATATGGCTTTAAGACTTTCCAGCTTGTGTGTTTTACCTGAAGAAAAAAACAATGCAATTATCAAGTAAGACAAAATCTAATTATAAGCACAAAGATAAATTATTATCTATTTAATTAAAACTCATTTCTATGTGATATATTTTTAGTTCTATGACAGATTGAATCTTAAATTAATGCATATTTATATTTTGGAAAATGGTACTTTAAGTAAGTCTGTAGCTTATCTGGTGTTTGTGATAATTAGTCAAGTGCTTTAACTATATTGTTAATTCTAATATGACGTGCTTCTTTCGTTTTGTAAACAACACCGTGATAAAATTCTCGATATATCTATACTTAGCGCAGACACAGAGATGTGACTGTTACATTATACCTCCCACGTAAATCCACATGTATCGTAACCTATGTGCAAATGCTATGCCGATTTCGCTGTGTTAAAAATTGCAATTGAAAAAAACTACAGAACCTGTATTCTTAATCTGATGCATAACAAAAAGAATTAATGCATTAGAGCTTGGAAAAAATGTACAAAATCAGAATAAAATAAAATTCCACGAAATTCCATTAATGCTTTTGGTGTATCAAAGTCATTTCAAAACATGAATTCATACGAATGAAAATGGTAAACCTGAAGCTTCATCTGTTACGTGAACCCTCCAAATTCTGATAATATTGCATTCAAATGAAGTTTTGAGGTAGGTGTTGTTTTATTTTTTATTCTATTGCATTATTCGCACATTTACTGATTTCAACAAGTCAACATGGCGGCTCCTTAGTTACGAAATGTCAACTGTGGATTTGACGGTAGCTTACGAGAAAAAAATGTTAATTAAAAATGGCAAATGTTGGGGTTGAGATTTAAAAGAATTAAACACATTTTTTCTAGCGGTTATTTAAGAAATAATTCATGCAAGCTATAGATTTATTGGAAATTTTTACCTTTATCTAACAAGGGGTAAATTAGAACAGCCACACACATGGCATACCCACCCTCACTTCAGTTTTTTTTAAATACTGTATTTGTCAGGATAAAATTCTAATATCACGGCCCAGGCCATGTGTAAATTTCCAACAAATCTATGGCTTTCATGAATTATTTCTTAAGTAAACTATGCTATTACATATTTATTTTATATTTTTTTTGTTTTGAGATTTGCTCCTAAAAAATAAAGGCTTTTAATAGATGTGGGAACATGTCTACCACTTTGAAATCTCAATGTTTTGTCATGGTAATTACATATCAAAATTGGCTTCCTTCCATCAGGATTTGTTAAAAATCTTGGTTACACCAAATTTTATAATTACAGCAAAATGCATTGAGTGTGTAGGTAAAGGTAATATCTTTGACTAGCTTGCTTGCTAGCTGAACCGTGAAGTCATTATTAGGTAAGGTATACTACCCTCCTTTCGGAGTAGTCTAGTCCTACAGACAGATAGATCGGTTATCTATCGGACTAGTCTACTCTTAAAGGAGGGTAGTATACCTAACTTAATAATGACTTCATGGTTCAGCTAGCAAGCAAACTAACCAAACATATTACCTTTACCTACACACTCAATGCATTTTGCTGTAAATACTTAGTAATACAAAATATTGTTGATTATTTTGGATATGATTAAATCAGGATATCTTAAATCAGTATGCCTACAATTGTAATTTTGTATATGAGAAAAAAAAACGTGTCTGATTTTTCTTGCATACTCTTTTCATAAAATAAAAAAAAATGACACCAGACAGCATACTTTAAGCATCTATTTACCCGGTTTTAATCCTCTATCTTCCATTACAGCTAACCATTTTGCACTCGTTCCTAAAAATGTTATCCTGAAATTCAAATTATTAAAATCTGATTTTAAATAAAATGCTCTGCAAGATGCAGCTTAATACAACTGCAGAGGTCAAACCCTGAACAGATGGGGCAAGTATGGGCACAATATTCAAGCTTGATAAAGCTCTGAATTTGGATTGTGATTAAATATTTGAGACAGCAAAGGTTTCTAACACAGAATGAATGTAAAACTTAAAAATTTGAAATTTGATATTTACCTATTATAGTCCAATATCCAAAATCAAATCCCACATGGTTGGATTCATCATATCAAAGAACCATAAGAATCAATTTTTGATTAAATCAAGCAAACTTTAATTTTGGACCCTTTAGACCTCAATGTGGACCAAGTGAAAAACAGGACCCAAAACCTAAAGCTAAATACACGGTTAGATTCAGCATATTAAAGAACCCAAGAATTCAAGACTTTAAATTAAACCCAATTGGAATTGGTCAAGAAATAAGCAATTTATACAAAGTATTAGAAAAGTATTGTTTTTGGACCCTTTTTCCTAAATGGTAAGGGCCATAACCCCCAAAATCAAATACAACCCTCTTTTTTTTTGGTATGGAACCTTGTGGTACAATTTCATAGAGATCCATAAACTTATACTCAAGTTATTGTTTGAAAACTAGAAAATCCTTGTTTTTTGGCCCTTTTTTACCATACAATTTGGGCCATAACCCCAAAATCAATCCCAGCCTTCCTTTTGAGGTATTGAACCTTGTGGTATAATTTCATAGAGATACATACATTTATACACAAGCTATTGTCCTGAAACAAAAAACATGCTTGTCTTTGGCCCCTTTTTGGTCCATAATTAGGACAATAACCCCCAAAATCAATCCCAACATTCCTTTTGTGGTATGGAACCATGTGGTACAATTTCATAGAGATCCATACACTTATACTCAAGTTATTGTCTAGAAACCAAATGGCTTTCGACGAGGACGAGGACAATGACATCATACCATTTTAAGGCCACAAAAATTTTTCAGTCGTATAAAAAATTTCAATGGAATACATGTTATATGGATATTGCTTATTGACATCAAGTTTTTTTCTTCATATTTTGCATCTAATATTGGTTTGCTATTATACATGATGTTCAATTCAGTTTAATTTCATGTAAATGCATGAAGGTGTCTATGTTGAACTTATATTTTGAAATTGTGACCATGATTATCAACATACAATTTTCTTCCATAAACACAACAAACCTACTAGTATTGTTGAATAATCTTTCCAATTTTCTTCCCTTAACTCTATGTGTTCTAAAGTTAGAAAGTGGAAACCATTTTTGCATATATGTGGAGGGGTGCAGGTGGCTATAATGAACTGTTTATTACGGTGAGTTTCATTTTCCCTTTTTTTCTTGTCCACTACAGACTTTATGGTAGTTGGCAATAATTATGCCAAACTTCTCTCCCTGCAAGGGTTTTAAAGTAAGAGAGCAGAAACCATTTCCGTACATATGTGAAGAGGTGGCTAAGTTGTCTTTTGTATATATCACTTTGTTTACCCATAATCATTCTAAATTCAAATAATAATTGGTTTAATGTACATATGATTGAATCCTCAGTCTAACTACTGTCAGAACCAGTTTTTCCAAAATATCAATAACAATTACCCTAACTCATCAATCAGATCCCACATAATTGTATCTTTTGGTACCAGAGGTGAACCATCATATAAAACAATAGCTGCTCCAACAGCCAACACAGATACCAGCCAATTCCACATCATCCAACCAACCTGTAATAAAGTCCACTATAGGTTACTATCAATATCAACACATTCCAAATCAATATAACATCATTTAACTTCGATGTGACTTATTTCAAATTAAAATACATCAGTGAAGTGATGTCTTTTTGTATGTCTTGGAGACAAATGTTAAATGCAGAACTAGATTGCTTACCTAACAATCCCTTACTGTATTATCGCCCCCTGTTTAAAATATAAATGGAGAATATGTCCATGGGACACAGATAATGCCCCCACTATCATATAACGTTATGAAGGGACATAACTGTAGACCAGTAACAGTTACACAACCCAAATTTGAACTTGATCTTTTTTTTTTGTGGTAATAAGCATTGTGTACAAGTTTCAGAACATTTGGTTGAGGCAAACTAAAGTTAGAGATAGGAAACCAATTTTGGGACGTACATATGTATTTATGGACGTCCAGACATACAGACGGACAAGGGTAACACTGAATGCCCCATCTGCTGTGGTGGGGCATAAAAGTTCATCTAAAATTTTAGGAGTTTGGACTACCCAAGTTTTAGATTATAATATTTCTACTCCCCAGAATTGGATTGTAATATTTTCTCCTACCCAAGTTTTAGATTGTAATATTTTCTGTCTTTATCATTTGATGCTATCTTCATGATTAGTAGTGTTCAAGTCTTTGTCTTCTATCTGTTGTCTTGGTTATGTATTGTTCTGCAGATTTTCAGCATTTTGATTTACCTTGTACATTAACATATTAGTATTTCTGCAATCTTTTAGCCTTTTGTATGGAATGAAGTTAAATCACCAAAAAAATCTTTCCTTTCAGAATTTGTGCATTCTTATTGTTCTAGAAATTGCATAAAATGAAAACAGAGCCATATATATTTCTTGTAAATTCTTACTTACAGTTGTATAATATAACATAATATCATCTCTATCCATATCACTTTGTATAACATGCTCCTCCATGTGTTTAAGTAATGTCCCCTAGAAAATGTAATGTTTGTATTACCAAATAAAACGTAAAAGATTGAATAAATAGTAGTTGCTAATATGAGAACATAAAAAAACACTACAGCCAACACCCCAACATAATAGATAGATTGTTGGCTGTTAACATCCACTGGCAAATTATAAATGCATATTCAATAAGGTAATGTTAATATGATATAAATATGAAACCGGCTTTGTACTAGATCAACATGCTAAGCCAAATGTTTAAGATGCTGTATACAGGAAAACATGTTACACTATCTAAACACATTATTCTGACTCCTAGCCTACCACTATTTGCTCTTATTCCTTATGCTTAGCAGACAAGCATCAAATACCAATTTTTAAATCTTTGGTTTAACCAAGCAGAGGATCTAATCATTACCGCTACTAACATCAAACCACAGAGTCTATTCTAACATTAATAGATTACTCAACAGTTACTCATCAACTTGAAATTTATTACTGTAAATTCAGAAATTATTGCATGCATTTATTATTGCGATTTTGTCATTTTAGACTAAAAAGTGACTTTAATTTAAAGTATATATACAATGTATATTGTGCATTAAATATACAACACAAGAATTGATTAATATATACTAATATTCATTGCTTATGAAAATTTCAGGTGTTACACCTCCTTAAGTAATAAATAATGTTGGATGTGTCTGTAATATACTTACCCCAACAGAATGAACCATACATTTAGGAGCACCAGTTGTTCCCGAGGAATACATGATAAACAGGGGATGATTAAAAGGAACTTGCTCAAATTTTAATTCTGTTACTTCATCCAAGTTCGGTAGGAAATCCTTTAAAGCACAACTAAATATAAAGAAAATGTTTATTGTCAAACAATATAAACTTTATAATTGGCATAATAATCTAAACATAAATGAAATCTGCTCCACTTTAATGGGAGTTGATTATTAAAAATGTTCACAAATATTGCTCTAAGTGAAAAGTCATTTTGATTGATATCAGTTCACCATAGAAATATTTTGTAAAAATTTCACTAAAATCCTCTTGCTGGTGTAGTTTTACATGCATATGACTTATTTCTGTTCATTGACCTTAAACTTCCCCAAGGGCCACAATGACTAACTGCATGATCTAGGCATTTCAACAAGAATAATTTGACCTGTCATTTCGGGATGGGGCTGGGGAGGGGAGCTTCGAATCCAGGAATGAGTTTCACTAAAAACTTACGACTAAAGTTGATCATAAGTATACTGAATTGTGTCAAACTTACAATCAACTTTATTTGTAAGATTTTTTGTGAAACTGACTCCTGCACTTGAGTTTTCAGTATTAAGAAAACCATATGTCTGTTACTGTGGACATTTTTACCTATTATGTCTGTTTGTTGTCAATATAATGGAATTCTATGCGACTGTCATACAAGTGAGAGGTTTAGCTAGCTATAAAACCAGGTTTAATCCACCATTTTCTACATAAAGAAATGCCTGCACCAAGTCAGGAATATGACAGTTATTTTCCATTCATTTGATATGTTTGAGCTTTTGACTTTACCATTTGATAAGGGAATTTCCGTTTTGAATTTTCCTTGGAGTTCGGTATTTTTGTCATTTTACTTTTTTATCATTTTCCAACTGTTATCAATTTTCAAAACAATTTTGAATTAATTTTTTTTAGTATCATTTTTTCAAAAGTTTGTATTACGTCAAGCATAAAAAAATCATTTTTTTTCTGCTTACCCATCAATCATATACACCAAAATTAGTATCCCACAAATATCAGTGGGTTTATGATCTGGGTACTGCCAATAATGAAACCATAAGCCATGAAATGCAGAGAAAGTGGTATTAAACATGATTAAAAATATACAACAAGCTTACCCATTTTTTATATTAGACAAATCAAATAATGCATCTGGTACAAATGGTATCACAACAACTTTCTCTAATTCTGGTAAACCTGGAAAAAATTTAAAAAAAAAGAGTTTATAGTATTTTCATAAATGTTCCTTTGATCTTTAATTTCTGTGTGTTAACTGATATATATATGGGTGTTCTTGTAAACTAAATCTAGTAGAGAGAAAATGCGATGACATCATAAACTGACATCATTGACATTGCCTGGGAAAATAGAGATAAACAGATTATCAAAGGTCTTTCACCTCAAGCATGTTTCACGGCTCCCTCTTGTTTTCAGAACCATAGATAATCTTTAAGTATTCCTATATCAAGCAACAATAATACTTTAACGCACAGTTTGTTTTATAATTGTAAGAAATACATATTAAGTTTTAATAATGTGCCTTTCCTTTGATTGATGATTTCAGCCTAATATATTTGGAAATGCAGAATCATGCACAACCATTTTATTCTCCTCCCTATATTTGTCCCCTTTATATTCATAAAACTTTTAAAAGTATGACCTTTTTTAATTGTCGTTTGAATTCATTTGAAACCAAAATTGCTCATTAAATCTAGCTGATTCACCTAAGAAATATTGATTTAAATTCCTCATAATTTTTTAATAGTTCCTTATACAATCTAAAATTGTTCTGAATACTTTCATAAAAAAAAATTAACATACAATTTGTTTAAAATATAAGGTTATTAAGCTTGCAGTGGGTTAATAAAGTTTGTCTGCCAATGAAGAAAATAAGTCTTTTACTATAATTGATTAGCCTCACAACAGAAAAATTTTGAAGCACAAATCAAAAGAGATTTTTTTTATAATGCCATTAGATTAACATGTATATCTAACATTGAGTCGTAGTACTGTACATTCCAAGAACTTAGATGTTTAGATGTTTATTTCAAAATATATTATAATAAAAAGATCAGCTACAGTAACTGCGTAACAGGAGCAAAAATACATACAATGAACATGTTTTTATATAGCGAACAAATCGAGTAAAACATGATAAACATGCAAAGCAAATATTTGCATATACATGTATTGATTATATTTAACATTATAGTTTCAGAGTGCATTCAGAGTGAACCTGTGCAAATCAGTATAAACAATTCCATGAGGTTGACACTGTCTGCATATAACGAACATATAAATAACACATAGAGTATCAGAAGGGAAAAAAACAAATTCTAAATTACATGGATATATGTGCATATAAAAATTATAAGATTTGATCAACCATCTTACTACATTTTGTGTGTACAGCTATATCACAGTATTTGAGCATATTATACTTTTTACTAAGGCCAAAAAAAAAATATATGTCTGTTTAAGGTTACATACTTTAATAAAATAGGGTAGATAGGTCGGTATTTCCATTTTATTTTATTTTTTCATTTTATTTTTTGTGACATGATTTTGAGTCATGCCGTTTCGTCTTGTCGTGGTCCGAGTTGACCATGGGCCGAGTTTACCCGTATTTTTAATGATTGGATTATTTCCCTTGGTAATTGGTTGAAAAAAAATGGCGGCAAAGTGTTTATTTCATCACACCAGTTGCTAATTTCCTTAAAACAGCTGTCATATTTACGATTGTGAACATTGGGATGTATCAGGCAATTGATTTATATTATTTGCAACACTAACTTCGCTTTTGACACGAGTTGTTTATTTTTCACTTTACGACTGAAATAAAATGACTTAGAGTCGGCGCTCAAAAGTATGGTCGGTCATGTAACCGTAAACAGACATATATTTTTTTTTGGCCTAAATTGAAATTTTCCCTCAGATCATCACACTGTACGTGTTTTCAAAATTATCATGAGGTAACTTATATCTTACCTTGTACAACCTGTGAGAGTTTATCTAAATGATTATGTATTTTTCCATTGTACCAGACTGCATTTACACTAAAAATAACTTTAGGTCTGATCTGTGTAAATCTGTCTAAAACACCCTACAAGATAAAAACAGTTAAATCCTCATCATATGCAAATCTAATTTTGCAAAAATTTTCAAGCAAATTATTGTTCTCAATATGAGCTTAACAATAATGAAACAACACTCAATTAATGAAATCATATGAAGCAAACCTGCCAACATTTGTAAAACTCCATGCTGGACTTATTGTGTGATCAAATTTAAAACAAGAATAGGATTTGATTTGATTTGATTTTTGGTGTTTTATTGCCACTTTTAAGCACCGCTTTTGGGCTATTTCGTGGCGGCCAGTTTTTATTGGTGGAGGAAGCCAGAGTGCCCGGAGAAAACCATGACCTTCGATAGGAAAACTGACAATCCTAGTCAATTAAGATTGGAGTCGAGTGCACCCACACGAGCGAGGTTCGAACTCACAACCTCAGTGTTGACTGGCTAGTGATTACAGTAGTAACTACTTAGACCACTCGGCCACCGAGGCCCCAACAAGAATATGTGTGCGTAGGACACAATGCCCTACATGTACATATACAATCACATTTCAATATTCATTGAACTCTAAAATGAGGATAAAAAACAGTAAGTTGACATATAATTTAAAATTTTCTCATCAGGGTGAACTTGTGTACTAAGTTTCAAGTTGATGTGAACACAACTTAATGGTAAAATTGAGAATGGAAATGGGGAATGTGTCAAAGAGACAACAACCCGACCACAGAACAGACAACAGCAGAAGGCCACCAACAGGTCTTCAATGCAGCGAGAAATTCCTGCACCCGGAGGCGTCCTTCAGCTGGCCCCTAAACAAATATATATACTAGTTCAGTGATAATGAATGCCATACTAAACTCTTAACCAAACTACCTTAACCAAAAACTTTAACCTGAAAATTCAGATTTTGCAAAATCTCATTTCTATGTTCAGTGAACCATGAAATCAGGGTCTGAACCATAATGTGGTTTATAATTCAAAAACTGTATATCAAAATGAACATTTGTAGTGGTCACTACTTCATGATAACTTTATCTGATACAAGACATGTGCAGACAAATGGTGGAAGGAAAACATAGTGCCACTTTGCTATCTAAAGCAGGGCATAAATATATCCTATAGAGAAGCTATTACAATCTTTTCAAAGTCCTTACTATCAATTTCTGAAATAACTCCTACACTACCTGAACACCAAAATCTGGTGATGTAGAGCTCCACACAGCACCAATACTGGCTACAGCTAACATAGCTTCTAATGCCTCACAACAATTTGGTATGTATCCTAATGAAATAAAGATGTTCTTTAGCAGTTATTATGCATTTTCCATCTATTTCTAAATAGATGGAGAATGTGTCTATGGACCACAGATGCCCCCGCTTGTAAATATGCATTAGTCAACTTCCACATACAGATGCAGGATTCAAGTAGTTAAGAATGTTTTGTGATTATAAGCATTGTGTATAAGTTTCATAACATTTGGTTGAGGCAAACTAAAGTTAGAGAACGGAAACGACAGGTTTAGCAATTTTTCCATTTAAAAAGAGGCATAACTCAAGAACGGTACAAGTGACGCCACCCAATATCATGTTGGATCAGTGTCTTGTGGTGATAAGCATTGTGTATAACATGAGGGTTCCCAAATTGCAGCTATTTTGACAGTTTTTTTCACCTAAGTTTATTTATGATCCAGAAAAAAGTTTCCATTCTGTGTTTATTTTGTAGATGTGTCCTTATTTACTGTATAGTTCCACCAATTTAATTTTGAATCCATACTGAATCATAGAAAAAATGAGTTTGAACCGACCTCCAAACGGTCCATGATTCTGTAATGAGGAGCACCCAAATTGCATCTATGCTTAATGTTGTCTCATTGGCACTCATACCACATCTTCTTATATCTATTAAATTCACATCCTTAAAAATCGAATAACAGACGTTTTGTTTTATTTCATCAAACAGTTAGAACAATTTGACATTAGTCCATGCTTACTATTCATTTTTTAAGAAATGGATGCTTGTTACATATTTTATTTGCTCATTTTTAAAAGATGACATTTTATGGACATCGCAAGGCGACATTTCCTTAGATTTTACTTTTTCCAGTGGATTCTTCATCTGTTGATATATACTGTGTACTTTTTGTGTATATTTAAATATATTTTCCTATGTTGAAAGACATGTATAATTTCAAATCATAAAAATACAAATTGTTAAGTCACCAAGAAAACTTATAAGATTTCCGCTGCTATTTTTGCTGAATAGGTGCAATTTGGGTACTCGGTGAATTTGGGTATTGTGACGTTAAGTTTCATAACATTTGGTTGAGGCAAACTAAAGTTAGAGAACGGAAACGAAAAATTCAGCAATTTTCATGTTTATAAAGGGCATAACTCATGAACGGTAAAAGTGACGCCAACTCGAACTTGATCTGTGTTTTGTGGTAATTAGCATTGTGTATAAGTTTTATAACATTTGGTTGAGGCAAACAAAAGTTAGAGAAAGGAAACCAATTTTGGGGACAGACTGACAGGACAGAGGGGAGGGATGGACGGACGGACAAGGGTAACACTTAATGCCCCCTTGCTACGGCGGGGGCACAAAAATAAATACTTTGTTTAACTGGGTATTATCAATAATCCTTATTCTAATGTGATATAAATTAATCTATTTTGGCTAAAATATGGCCTTTTTCTGTCCCATGTCAGTGAAAACTGCTATTATGTTGAAAGTATTCTTGTAAATTTGGAACTCTTCCCATTTAAATTTATTCAAAGAAAGTTATTTATCAATGTCATTTGTTCAAAAGGTTGGTTTTTAACTTAATGATAAATTTTGTGTATGAATTGTCATATAAGAAATTCCATAGTAATTTTAATTGAATTATACCTTGTTGATGCAAAATTGAATGTCTGTGAAAGTTGTTGAAATTTACACTTTATTGCAAACATATATTCCCTTTTATCATGTTTATACCCGTATGGGCCCTGTTTTCTTTAGATACATACCAACAACTCTGTCCCCTTTTTGTACCCCCATTTTCTTCAGTGCTGTAACATATCTAGTTACTGACTCTCTCAACTGTCTGAAAGACATCTTAGATACACCAAGACCTTCTCCTAAAAGAATAAATAGTTAAAACTATTTTTACCTACCACATATTAATGCATGTTGTTGCTGTTGTTGTACCATTCAGGTTTTTGTCCAGTAATGGAATTCAATGTTGAAAGCAATAATTGGTAGTCTCTTTACTGAAATAAATTGTTTACAAATTGTCTTATCTCTGAAATTAATATTTGATACACACACGTTTGTCAATGAAGACCATTTGTTATTTATTATTTACCAGAGTCAAGATGTCTTTGTTTCTGTTTATCATATGTTTTAATGTTTACCATCCATTTACCTGTAGCATAAACAGCAACCCTGTCATCATCATATCGTAATATATTTTCTGTGAAGTTAAGATGACAACCAGGGAACCATTCTGGTATGTCTGCAATGTTTTTCTCTTTGTCAACAACCTGCAAAAACATTTCTTCTTGTTTTTAAGAATACATCAAAAGCAAGCAGAAGAAATGAGTGGAAATCACAAAACCTATTACTGGACATTTCATTGCATCATTATGCAACAACTATCACATTGATAAAGAAAATTATCATTACTATTGGCAATGATAATACTGAAATCTACAAGACTCTACTGCCTCAAGATAATGTCTACTTGACGTATGAAATATTCTTGAACCCCATACTTTTGTAGATTCATTGCAACTGTTGATAGTCAGGAACTTCTCAACTGATTGTCTATTGTCATTTAAGGAATTTGGTTTACCAGTAAATGGCAGACCTTGGAATCTGTTAAACTTGTTCACACTTTTCTAGACTTGGGACATTAAGAGCTTTTAATATTTTGAAAAGACATTTGCTACTTTCGAAGACTGTATGTATGTTGACCGTTATATTTCATGTTACAGTAGGTCTTTTAGTTTTTGTTGTTGTTAAGTTTGCAGAGTTCACAAAAAGAAATCTTTTTTCCCTGGTTGTTCTTGAAAAAAATCTGATGTTCCTCACTATTAATTCTATTGCAAATACCAAAATTGTGTCTGTGTTGGTCCTTTTCAAAATTTTGGTGGTCAAAACATTCGGACCACCACTTTTCATGAACTCTGAGTTTATGTTTCATTTTTTGTATACACACCCAACATTTCCTCTTATTTATTTACAAATACCTGTGAGTAGGGTTGAGAATGTATAATGTCTGTAAATTTGAACACTTCCTCCCAGAATTCACTGTAATTGTCACATGACCACTGATGAAATTCTCTGTATGTTTCTGAAAAGCAAATAAATATGAATCCCTTAAATATTCTGAACTTTTCCTTTTTTTTTTTTAATGTACGTACATGGATTTTCAATTATTGATTTTTCAAATTTTGATTTTAAATCCTCTAACTTATCACACGATGCTTGACAAGTTTAATGTTGCAGTCTAAACAGCAGTGGGGTGCCTGTAGTCAGAAGGGGGCAGGACATGGCACCAATCTATCTTGGGCTACAGATGTCTAAAATAAATAAATACTGGTAAACTTAAAATTTTCTTGAAAATTGATTTGTTTGAAGGATGGCTGCTTAAAGTTCAATGGCAGATATTACATACATAACCTCTGAGCATTCAATGTAAAACAAAGTCATGAACAAATGTTTTGTTCAAAGTAGATGTTAAATTTTCTCTTTTCAAGTCTTGAAAGGGAAATACAGGCAACTTGGTTAAACAATCTCCATCTTTTGTAGATCTTATTCTAGCAGAATTTTATTAATTAATGATTTTAAAAAAGAAAACTTGTAATTGTCAACTGTTGAGATTGAATTGTCTTCCCATGTATATTTTTTTATTTTTTTCTTGATAACTTATTTTTACAGTTTGATCTTATGTTTTGCTGTACACCACTGTCCAAGATAGGAGGGGGGGGGGGGGGGGGGGGTGTGCTGGCAATCATGTTTAACCCAGCCACATTCTGTATGTGCCTGTTCCAAGTTAGGAGCCTTTAACTCATTGGTTATAGTTTGTTGCTGTAAAGCATATTGTGTTGTTGTGGATTGATTTGTACCTAAATTAGATTGGTTATCTTGTTTGAATCGTTTTACATTTTTGTGGTTTGGGTTTTGCTCATTGTTGAAGGCTGTATGGTGACATATAGCTGCTAACATCTACCTCATTTGGTCTTTGGGGGATAGTAGTCTCATTGACAATCTTACCAGCTGTTCTTATTTTCAGAAAGATTCTTTCCCTTTGTACATATTTGTTTTTAAAATGTGTAACTTTAAATCAAATTTTCAATGACTCAGAAAGGTAAATATGGAACACTTCATCATACGATAACTACATGTAATCTTAGAAAAAGAGCTCTAATTGCAGAAAGAACGCCTTCAGATTCTAATAAAGAGCTGCGCCATGAGCGCATGATAAGCCAGTCACCAACTGGACAGTTTTCGACAATTTTTCAACTGATAAAGTCCCATAACTCTGCAATGTCATATCAGAAATCTGTAAAAAAAAAACCAAAAGGGAGCTTATTTTAATAGATATAAACAAGTCACAAAAGTATCATGATACATTTTTGTAACTGCTACATTTTGAAGACTATACGTTGCGTTGGTACGACTGCAAGTGGAATATGGAAACACAATATGGTATCTGCATTTGAGGAAAGATATTAATTAACGCAGTAGAAAAAGTGCAGATGAGAGCAACTAAATCCATTCCAGATATAAGACATTTGGGTTATGAAGAAAGATTATAGGTACTTATAAGTTAAACTTCCTTCTCTTACTCACAGAAGGCGAAGAGGTGATATGATACAAGCTTTTAAAATTATAAAAGGAATCGAAGATATATCTTATGAAAGATTTTTTACTGTTATCAGGACAAATACCCGTGGGCATAATTGGAAATTAGGGAAACCTAGATGTAACACTTCTTTTTGTTAAAGACATTTTTCACAACGTATTATAAATGATTGGAATAACCTACCAGTTGAAGTTATTTCTTCAAAAACTATGGAAGCTTTTAAAATTAGTAAAGAACGTCATTGGGAGTCCTTAATGTATCAGTTCAGTAATTGATGAGGACACAAATAATTTTTCTATACATGTAACTTTTAATTGTGTGAAATATTGCACCAAACCATGCAGGATTGATGTTTGTATCAGTTATAAAAGTGTACCAAAATAAGGTGGTCTAAAAATGATAGGATCCTTCCATATGAGCCCCACAACGATCTTACAGGTAAAAGCGTTTTTGAGTTATTGTCCGAAATACTGGATAGTTGACAGCATTCGGAATAACATTAAAAAAAATTACTTAAAAAAATTGAGAACTGTTTTTTTCATAGGTACTAAATCGTCATTTTTGCCTAATATTACAGACATACACTGAACTAATGAATAACGATGAAGACCTCTAAGCCAAAGATTCTTAATTTTCGTTATAAATGTTAAATTATTTGACAAAATGAAAGTAGACACTAACTCAATTCAACTGAATATTTTTCATTGATCAGCTGCCTTAGCTTGTCCATTTTGGTATTTTTAGAACAATGTGGTTCCCATTTAATTGGTGGAACCAAACCATCCGAGTCACCGGCGCAATCCATTTTTTACTTCAGAATAAATTTTGTTGATGTTCACAACGTGTCTTGAAGGAGTCGAAGTGCATCTGAAATTTTCATATGGCGACTTCCGGTTATGTTGTACAATATAGTGCATAGGCATTTGGAAATACGTGAATATTATAGTTTGTGAAAGATTTTTTACATATTACAACAAATAGAAAATTGTTTCTAATATTAAAAAAGTCCACACTGGGAATTCTATGAAACATATTATCACTTTTGACAACGCTATGCGGGTAGTAATATCTCGAACCATTTTCTCAAGATTTCATTGGTTACACCAGACACACCTCTAATGTGCTGTAGTTTTGACATTTTGACGGTTTTCGAATTTTCAAATACGAGGCAAAACTATTTTTGGCAAGAGTTCCATCAACAGCCACATATCAAACGTGGGTGTGCCATATGGAAATATCTCAATTTTTTTTGTAAAGGCAGAGGAAAAAAAATAAGGGACTGGTCATTTGTAACCTGAAAATGGGGGGCTTGAATTTTTTTTGAGGAAAATGGAAAATGGAGCTGTATCCAATTTTTCAATACTTCAGATGTGAGGGGGCATCGCAAAACGTTTACAGGGCCGCAACTAGCCTCTTTTAAAAGTGAGGCAAAATATATTTAAAAATATTTTAAGCGAGGGGTCGGGGGCCGCTCAATAAGGAAAAAAAGACGCAAAATCATGCATTCTGAGCGTTTTTCCGGATCATATCTGAATCGAAACGCAAGTTTTGTTTTAATTATTTTTTTCGACAATATTCTGGTCTCAAAGCAAAATATATAAATTATGTGGAAGACTTTTAGTTTGTAGGGGACAATAACAAAGAGGGTGGTAAGGGGGGGGGGGGGGGGGGGGTCTGAATTAACACGGAAACACGTGAAATAAAAATCGCAAAAACGTTGTGCACGGAAAATAAAAATTGGGAAAAACGGAGCACGAGATATAAAATCGTAAATATTAAGGTAAAAAGTACTAGAAGTTATTACTCAGCCGTTCTTGGAGATCATACAGTCATTATTAATGGACATGAAGACCCTGCGGTCACCTTTTAGCGTCCGCTAGTTGTATCTGATTTGAAAAATAAATTATTCATAGTTATACTAGGCTACAGTTCATTAATACACAATTTAAAACAATATCCGGACTGACTTTGAATTAGTCCCGGTTTACTTTTTAATCAAATGCGAGACAAGCACGAGAAATAAAGAGTACCGACACGAAACACGGAAAAAATAAGGGGAAACACGACTTGAAGCACGCACATCGAACCAAACACGAAAAAACGAGAAATAAAACGTCAAAACACGAAAACACGTGAAATAAAAAGGCCGAAAACGTTGCACGAAAATAACCCTTTACCTCCCTCATCAAAAGACCGAGATCACGGTAGGATAAAGCTAAAATCGTAATTCACATAGTTAAGTGTGTGGCTGCTGTTGTTTTTTGTTTTTTGTTTGTTATTGAGTTTCGGCTTGCTGAAAAACGTATTTAATACCTGTCAATTATGTGTTTTTTTTTCAAATTAAGTTAAGAGGGGGCTTGATGTAGTACCCAACTGAGATAAAAGGGTAGGCTCAGTAAAACTCATTGCTACATTTTTGTGCTGTTTTAATATGTGTACTGGCTGATTAATGTCGGATCTGTCTGTTCTGGTCTTGTAAGGTGTGAAGACTTGGTGTAATCTTTTTGTGACTTTGAAATTTATTCACAAGTACAATACTTTAAATACCGCTTAAGTCGACGCTAGGGACCGTCTTGACCTTGTTGTAGGGTATGAATGATTCGTTCATTGTTGAAGACCCTCCACCGACTGTCAAGACGAAGAACAGGAATAAAAGCCCTGTTCATTGATAGTTTGTATTTTTTCTATGTATTGTGTGCAATTTTGTCCCATGCACATTTACTCCATATCCCTTTATTTTCTATTTAAGGGCCTGAACACGGCTTAATGCAAGTTTAGCCCTTCAATGTAAAAGATCATATGGCAATACAGTAATTTTCTTTTTAAATGATTTGATTCCGGGAGATTGGTTGTCTGACTTTAATTTATCCCACGTCAGCTTTTTAGTTTTATTTACAGAAACGAGAACCAGTTTTGCATTCTTTAATATATAAAGTTTAATTTTCCATGAAAAAACGACCATTTGTTTATGTCCGGTAGCATCGTATCTTCTCAAAACCGATCGGTGGACATGTAAGAGGGTGTTGATGGGGTTTACAGAATAGAGAATAATGGGCAAGAAAACAATAAAGAATAGAGAATAATGGGGTGCTAAAATAAAAAGAATAACTGCAAAAATTAAAGAATTGGGTAAACATATACTGATTACAGAAAAGAACAATGTCCAGAATACAGTTATCAAGTAATTACAGAATAGCCATTATTTTTAAAGAGAAAGAATAATGAGCGAAAAAAATACAGAAATGAAGGACCCTTCATCCATACCCTCATGTAACATTGCCAAACCACACAACTGTTCACCCGTCATCGTAGATCTTTCTCAAGTCTTAAGTCTACGCAAAGCAGAAAGACAAACTCGGGAACAGATAAGACACTGAACGACAAACAATAGACAATCAACACTGAAAACTAAAAATATATTAGAAACATGGATCCCGAAAAAACAGGGGCGAAGTCAGAGGGTGAACAGAACTTGCTTCTTGCAAGACGAGACCAGCTTTTGTTTCATCTTATTATTTGTTTTTTGAAATTTCGAACATGAGGCATTTGCCTCAATGTAGTTACGGCCCTGGTTTATAAGATTTCAAACATGCAAAACTTTTAGCTGATTTGAAGAATACTCTAAACCAGTATGTGGATTGTTCAGGTGTATTACCACTTGATTCAGATATATAATATCTGGGACTATTTATATACATGTTATACTAACATATTATGTCCCAGATCATAATTATATATATATATATATATATATATATATATATATCTCGTGTCATAATTTTTGTCTTCAAAGTTCATTTTGTTGTTTTATTCATGCGAGTCATGACCATCTTCTATTTGTTTGTTGGACAGGAAGAATGACAGTATTATTGGAATGATAATGGTTTGATGTCTTTGTTTTTGCAGGTTTTTTCATTATTATACCCATTTCCATTTAAAAAAAACATTGATCATATTAATAGTTGTTTCCTTACATGATTAATCATAAAACTCGTGATTGAGCATATATTTCCGGCAATGGTTCAAGATGATATCTAGGAGTAAAGTGTGGTATCTTAAAAATGTATTTAAACCTATACATGAATATTTTTTTCTTGATGACCTGGAGATGTGGAGTCAAGTCACCCACACCTAACACTTCCCCCGACTGTAACGTGCAGGGGGTCCTACACGCCAGATGGTACTTTATGTACCCGTGGATCCGTACCAGGGTTACTTCCCTGGATTTGTTGTGTATCGTTGGCTAACCCTTACAAATGGTAACGTGTAACCTGAACTTAACTTAAATTTAGATATAAAGCCTTACGAGAATAAACGACAGATTACTTCCGGTAAGTATACTAAATGGAACCCTTAACCTAACAATGGAGTACAGCACAAGGGACGCTTTATTGGAACTGTGACTTAACCTTACTTCAAAATTAGATATATGACTGTTCACCTATTTGCCTTACAGTGCTTTGGTTCTTTGATTCAAAGGTAATATATGAAAATATGGTTTCCAGTGCACCCCTGGTCCTTGTTCAGGGCCAAGGTGTCACTGGTCCAAAGGGACAGTATTACGTTGTCTATATACGTTGTTATATACCACAGGACAATATGTCACCACCTTATTCAGATAGTACAATTGGCTCTTGCTTATGTAAGCTTAACCAAAGGTCCTTGGTAAGCTACTTCTTATTCAGAAATAGTTATAATTACCTTTTCTTTAGTCTTTACTCTGCGAGCTCCGACGACCGACTGGTTAACGTTGTGAGAAACTCTACTTATATACTAGAATAATCTCTAACCAAAATGCATATAATCTCTAAACAGAAATAAATATATTCCGTATTACTGTTATGTTTTAATGTAACGCCTATAGTACTTTAATATCAAGCACTTAATTTTCAACTAGGAATGATTGGAACCAGTACCAAAACTTCGGAAATCGTTTTCCGTATTACAACCGTAATTAGCTTACGTCATTAACAAACGAAAGTGAAAGTAGAATTTGTTATGTGAACATTCACTGGATTTAAACATTTGCCGACTTCCTAACAGACAAACTTAGAACTTCTTAGCATACTTAAGGTAACTTTATAATTTTCGTCACATTACCCACGCCTCAAAAGAAATGCGTCCCGCATTTACAATACATGAGCTTAATCATCGACCTCTGGCCCTTTTTCAGACCCAAACTCTATCAACTATATATTCTACAGTAACCACTGAGCATGTTCTCAAAATGCAAAGTACTCTCCATGGTACTATACAAAATTAACCGAACAAAATAAATGTCCACCATATCAACTCGTAGACAATACATCTACCATATGCTCAGATTTCAACCAGCTCCTATCAATACTTTGCCTACTACTATGGGTAATGGATTCTAACCAAAACTATTTAACTTAATACCCTACCCTTACTATATAAAATTTAAACACCAAAGGCATATATCACTTTGTCCCTTGTACTTAACTAAACAAAGATATTAACAAAAACACTATGGGCTGTGGGCATCAGAACGGAAATTAATAACTAACAATTTGGATCGTAAATCCGGTGTCAAAGGGAAAATTTAGACTGTCACTGGAAACTTAACTTTCCGAAATAATCCTGGTTGCAAAAATTTAGCCTATGTAGCGGCCCCAAGGAGCCTACTCTTAATGAACTCTACAAAGGGATCTTTAACGTGCACAGGACGTGACACTTCCTGAACACGGGGCATCGGATTTAACGTCCCCAGTCCGACCGGACGGTCATACAAAAAAAATTAAAACTAAAACACAAGAATAATATCGGGTATCTTTTACCATATCTAGATCTACAATTATAAAACAAATACTTAATATTAAAAATATATATTTACACTGTCTATTTACAACCCAAAACACACAATTTAACGTTCGTAGTCTTTCATCCACGATGGAGGTTTTCTAAACCTCCTTGGCCTATCATTATCTACATCCTCATGATCATCTAGATCCAATAAGGGCAAAGAGTCAATGATAACTTCTTCCTGAATCTCTGATTCTAACTCGCCTGTTTTCTCAGGGTTTTGTTCGTCGACAAGGTTTTCCCCCCTTAGTATTTGTTGGGGACAAGGGCGCATCCTATCTACATGTATGACTTGACCCGCTCCCTTACGCCCACAATTGACGGTGTATGTGACACTTGAGTTTATCTTAATCACCTTATATGGACCACGCCACTGATTAGTGAACTTTAGTGACAAACCCGGGGTCCTAAGGGGAAAATAGACATAAACCATGTTGCCAGGTTCAAATTTAGCCCAACTGACATTTTTGTCATGGATTTTCTTTTGCCTTAACATTTGTCTCGAGACATGTCTCTGAACAATCTGATGTGCCTCTTCCGCGTGTTCTTGTAATTCCCATGCCCATTGATTCTGAGGTATTGCCTTTACTTGGAATGGTAACTTATATATTAAGTCTAGGGGTGTAGACACTTCCCTTCCCAACATTAATCTATTGGGGGTGTAACCAGTGGTCTCATGTTGAGAGGACCTATAGGCCATCATGACATAAGGAAGTAATATGTCCCAATTGGAGTGATATTCATTTACATACCCCGTAAGCATTGTAGCAAGAGTTTTATTGAATCGTTCTACCATCCCGTCAGATTTGGGGTGATAAGGGGTCGTACGGGTTTTTTCTATCTGAAGCAACTTGCACATTTCCTTAAACAAGTGGCTCTCAAATTGACTACCTTGATCGGAATGGATAATAGTTGGTACCCCAAACCTAGAAATCACCTCAGTCATAAGAATGTTTGCAACTGTAGTTGCCTCCATGTTGGGCATGGGGTGACTCTCTGTCCACTTAGTATAATAGTCACTTATAACTAATATATATTTATTGCCTTTGTCACATTCGGGGAGTTCCCCGAGGATATCCATAGCAATTCTCTCCATGGGATAACCTGACTCTTTAACTTGCATTGGGGCCTTTCTCTTAGGAATTGGTTTCTTTCTCTTATTACATATCGAACAACCAGCAATGTAACTCCAAGTATCACCTCTAACACCTGGCCAATAACATTTTCCTTAATCCTAGCCAAAGTTTTCTTAATGCCCAAATGAGCAGCTGTCCTATTATCATGAGCAAACTCAAGAATTTTACGTCTTTCCTTCATTGGTATGACAACTTGTTTCAAATTTGTTTCCGGGTCTTCCCTAAACAATATACCATCTTGAACCTTCAAAACATTCCACTGGGACCAAAGGGACTTAACAACATAACTGTGTTTCCGGTTTGTGAGTATGAAGGTTTTGAGCCAGTAGTCAACGATCCTATGACAGTCTGCAAGTCTTTGTCTGTTTCTTGCAATTGTCGTATATCTAGCTCAAGATCACCATCCTTGCCCCCCTGAAATTGTACCATATTGACTGAGCCAACTGCTTCCCAGTTTTCAACAAAGCCACACTGCTTACAAGGAATACGACTCAAAGCATCGGCATTGCGATGTTGGGTACCTGGTCTATGCTTAATAACCATATCGTATGAACTTATAACTTCCAGCCAACGGGCAAGTTGACCCTCTGAGTTTTTGAATCTAATGAGCCATTATAATGAGCTGTGATCTGTCCTTATAATAAACCGCCTACCGTACAAGAAATGCCGAAAATGTTTAACAAAATGGACCACGGCTAGCAGTTCCTGCCTAGTAACACAATACCGGCGCTCTGTTTTTGAAAGGGTCCGATTCCCATATGCTATAACATGTTCCTCGCCATCAATAACCTGTGATAAAACACCACATATCGCTCTGTTACTTGCATCCGTATCAAGAATAAATGTTTGGGAGAAGTCAGGATGACTGAGGACTGGGGCACTGACTAATTTGCCTTTCAGCTTTTCAAAGGCCTCCTGACTATCATTTGTCCACAGAAATTCGCGACCCTTTTCGGTCATTTGGTGTAAGCTCTTAGCCGTATCTGAAAAATTTATTATGTACCGGAGATAATAACCACACAAACCCAAGAAGGATCTGAGCTCTGTCACGTTCTGGGGGACTGGCCATTCCTTTATACACTTAATTTTATCGGGGTCGGTAGCAACACCCGATTCTGAAACAACATGTCCGAGAAAAGTAACCTTTTTAGCAAACAAATGACACTTTTTGGGTTTGAGTTTAAGCCCTGCACCTTGTAACTTTACAAAAACCTTGCGTAAATTATGTATCATTTCGTCAAAAGTCTTAGCCATAACTATGATATCATCTAGATATATGAGACAAATGTCCCATTGGAGCCCTGCCATAACATTCTCCATTAGCCGCTCAAAGGTGGCAGGGGCGTTTACCAGACCAAATGGCATACAGCGAAACTGATAAAGACCCTTTCGTGTGGCAAAGGCTGTTTTAGGGCGATCTGATGGCTCTACTTCTACCTGCCAATATCCAGAACATAAATCCAAAGTTGAAAACCACTTGTTTCCTGACAACTGCTCCAGCGAATCATCAATTCGGGGCAAAGGATACGCGTCTTTGATAGTGCATGCGTTTAACTGTCTATAGTCTACGCAAAACCTAGTGGTCCTATCTTTCTTTCTTACCAAAACTATCCCGGAGGACCATGGTCCTTCCGAAGGCTCAATAATGTTTCTTTCCAACATATCGTTAATATGTTGATCTACCTCTTCCCTAAGACCTATTGGGGTGCGCCGTGGTGGCTGCTTTATTGGCCTTGCAGCACCAGTGTCAATCCTGTGTTTCACAATATTTGTTTGTCCAAGATCCGAATCCGAAGCGGCAAAAAGATGCTTAAATTCCAATAACAACTCTGTGACCTTGTCCTTTTGTCCATGTCCAAGATTCTCACTAGACCTATCTAATAACTTTTCCAATTCATTATTAAGAGCATAATCCTTGTCATTGTCTACCTGACTAACCACTTCAGCTCCGCTGAGATTTCCGACCACAGTACCGCCATTTAATACTTGGACACTGTCACTTATATTCAACAGCCTAACAGGAACTGTCTTATCAGACATTACAACAGACTTCCCTACAAGAGCCTTTCCTCGATCAAGAAATTCTTCACTTGGTTCAATAATGCCAGTTACCTTCACAGCTGAATCATAGTTCAGTACTTCACCCTGGATTACTACTTCTGACCTTGGGGCTATGCTAACTTTTTCTTTGACTGCCACCCGATAAACGCCTAACTTTCCCTGTAGTAGCAGAGGTATCTGTTGATTATCCCTTTCCATAACTCGATTGCCTAAATCAACTTTACAACCGTTTGTTTGCAGAAAATCTAGTCCAAGAATACCTTCCACTGACAAACCTGCTATAACACCTTCAATGACAGTGTGAAAACTACCAATTTTGAGAGAAAACAGTGCCTTACCAATGATTTTTAAAGACTCTCCATTAGCTGCTATTATTTCCTGAGTGACCTGCTGTACACTTGGCCTATCACGGGACTTAAATTTCTCAAAAAGAGTATCCGACACCAAACTAACTGTAGCTCCTGTATCAATAAGAAACTTGGCAGGGATTCCATTTATAAATAACTCTACATAGAGCCTTGCCTCATTGTTAAGTGTATTTGAGCCGAGGTACAAAGATTTACGTTTCCGTTTACCACTACGGTTGTTCGTACGCCTAACCGAAGGTCCTGGTGATCCTTGGTTGTTCTGTCTCCTATTTCTAGGAGCATTACAATTTCTAGCCATGTGGCCGGGTTTACCACAATTATAGCAAAGAAATTTCGACCTATCAGCTGGCCCAGGCATGTTGGCTTTATTCTTAAATTCATCTAACTCTTTACGCATACTTGCCAATTGATCATTGAGAGCTGCTAACATGCCCTCAATTTTATCTGAAAACCTATCATGAGACTCCGACTCTCTTACCACCTGTTCATTATTGTCCACAACTCTTAAATGGGCTTTCCCTACTTCAAATTGCTTTTCTGCCTTGTAAAACGTTTCTAACTCTACAGCTAAACAAAAAGCGGAATTAAGGTCAGGGGGCCGTGATTGTTTGATTTTTATACGCATTTCGGTATTAATCAATGCATCCAAGAAGTGTTCTTTAGCCAATGTTTCCTTAACTTCTCC